TTTCCTTGTATATGGTGGACCTGCCCATTAATTCCAATTTTCATGAAAACAATAAATGCAGTTATAGAGAACATTATCAAGAAGATATCATAATCTCCAGAATATTTACTCTCTCACCACAATGTAAGCCTAATCATAAACTTTCTTTGCTGTTTCACGTGTTAATGTCTGCCAAATCTCTTATGCCATTAAACTGGAAGAAAACCATTAGTGATCTCTTGAACAGTTCTCAAGAGATCACTACTATCTTTAAGGTAGGATTTTGAAAGTTTAACGACTGGTTGTAGCAACACGTCTATATACTGTGAAAGATTTGCTGTTAACGAATCTATCCCTTTATATATGTATTTTGGCTCCGAATAACAAAGAAATAAAAGGTAATGAAACTAAATAATAATGAGAAAACAGAGGAACATAAATAGTACACTTTCTCATTGCGTGTAAAATCAGGACTCAACTGTAATGTCAGGTATATGAGACTGTGTAGATCTAAACTATATGTCACCATGAACTATCCATTATGTTTAGAAACGGAATTTATCATTTTAAGGCTCAAATTGATTATTTTGTAACCGAAAATCTAAAGAAATATAAATTGTGTACTACATCATACTTTTATAATGTGTAAAAAATCTGAACTTATACTGATCCGTTTGTTATAGATTGAAACTATCTGCCAAAACTATTTGCTATAATTCATTACCGTTTGTTTGTAGGAATTGGTTTATGTCATACTGACTAATGTTTTAACTATATAATTCAAACTGGTTAATGATAAACTGTTATAAGCCACATCAACAATTACAGAACATGGAGATTTACAGAAGATTTATATGTATTAGACAAATTTCTTGATTTTTAATTGAATAATTTTTTAATTGAATGATGTTTATATGGAATCACAATCCCCCAGAACACTGTATCTTGAGAAAGCTCGTTGGAACGAGCAAAACGCGTAGATCGTGTTTTTGGCAGGATTTTTGAATTTGGAGTGTGTACAGCAGTACCGATTATTTGGCGTTTCGTGAGGACTGATCCGTGTGCACAGGACCGGTCCAGAATTGAATACCAACGGAGCGGTAACCATTTATCCACCAACCAATACTCTGTATTACCAATGTTTTATTGTGAACCTTAGAAATAAGTTTCACCACTTTATACTGTAAGAGTTCTTCTTATGGGGGTTTTTTCGTATGGGAAATAAAATACTGTAACTTTATTACGCTATGTTAGTATCCTCTTTATGGAAGGTTGGATACATATAAAGACAAAGCTTACTGTTACAACTATCAAAAATCGCTACGGACATTTGAAAACTCCCACATTAAGACTGAAATTGGAACTCTTCTGTTTTATATATTTCTACAGTTGATCCCTATATGCATTATAGGGGTATATTAACTAAGCGCTGATACTGTTTTATTTTTATTTGTGTCATATATGATGTTTTAAAACTTGGGAAGGTTTTTGAAGTATTTAGCAGCTTTATGTATTAATTGTCTCTTGTGGATGAATTATATTTTGCGTATTGGCTGAGAAAGTCCACTATATTATAAGAAATTTGCGCTCTCTGTAAACTTGCTTTTGTAACATTTCTACTATATATTGGCCACAGTCTGGGCAGCCATATATTTATATTCATATATTTATATAGCCATACATATTGTTACATAGTAATACTAAGGTCCATCAATTTCAACCTTTAAAACAATTAACTTTATGTTGATGCACATAAATAATTATTACCTCTGTTTCCAGCAATGTGAGTGTAGCTAGAGGCAGGGATAGGATAGGAATTTACAGCTTAAATGCATGCACACTTGAATGGTACCAGGAAGGAACATGTGAGTCTTAGAATACAGAGAATGGCAGACGGTGGAATCCTTGCAGTCATTGTACGCATAGAATGATTAAGACCCTCTTCACTCCCTTTATTCTTTATATAGGGATAGTGCATTTCTGGGGCCTTAACTCACCTCTGGGCCCAACCTATGGTTGCATTTTTGTTACTCCTGTTCTGATGCCCAGGCATAAAGATGGTGGGATGAACTGAAGGTGAGATATTAGTAGGGGGATTGAGCTAGAATCAGAGACATGAATGTGGACATGGACTTAATAATGATATATTAATGTGAGGGATTTAAACCCTACCTGCAACACAAATACGCGAATTGAATAGGAGACAATATTAACAAATATTCATATGCATTACATACACCTCCTACATTAATACTAAAACATTTTGCACAATTACAAACCAATTACACATACACTGCACACACAACAAATGCACACTATACTTTCACACTGTCATTAATGAGAAATATACTTTTTACATTTGCACACACCTACAAATATTCCCCTATTTTAAGACAAAGTAAAACACGTCACTAACTCCCTGCATTCACATATACTAATATGCTAATAATATTAATGCCTTGCAAATATACCCAACACAATGCTGAAAAACTCACACTGACCTGCTTTAAATATACCACAACATTCACACACTTACATTCCACAAAATATATCCCTATATTCACACACTCGACATAGACTCATATACCCAGACACAAACACAGACATTCCACGCAAATATACTCAGATGGGAGAGGCATAAGCCATCATATTGAATGCAGAGGGTGGGAGGTGCCATTGAGGAAACTGGCCTTGAGGCTGTCTACAGGATAAATATGTTCCTCATTGTTTGACTATGATCCAGTCGGAAATACCTTAAGATCAGTCTTCAAAATAAATCAAAAAGACATATGAAAATATCTGTTTTGTTCCCAGTGATTTTTACACACGATGAAAGTGTTTTTTTTCAATACACACCTTTAATATTTTACATGCCAATATTGGTCACATCAGAGATGTTTTCAATTAATTAGAGCAAAAAGACATATGTAACTTAAAGGAGCACTATATTGTTATGAATAAAAAATGTATACCGAACACTATAGTAACCCTCTGCTTCCACACACACCCCCACCCCCACCCCCACCCCCCGCGATATAAAGAGCTAAATAAGGACATCAGCATTGGATCAGGTTCCTTCTCCTCCGATGTCTGTCGATCAGGGGAACCTAATACGTATTAAGTCAGTGCTTTCCTATGGGGTTATGCAAAGAGTGAGGACGTCCATCGTCGTTTCAAGTTGTCAAAATCTGTGAAACTTCTTAAGTCTGCAATGTAAACATTGCAGTTTCTCTAAAACTGCAATGTTTTACATTGCAGGGTTTAGGCAATTGGGACACTGCAATAAGATTAAGAGTGCCCCTTTAACCCCTTAAGGACACATGACGTGTGACATGTCATGGTTCCCTTTTATTCCAGAAGTTTGGTCCTTAAGGGGTTAAACCTTTTATATCTGAAGTTGAAAAGCAATAACTTGATCAACACTCATGAGTAACACATACCAGGTTCGCAGAGATCACCAGAGATCAGGCTAACAGATCAACCTAACAGTCAGAACTTGTATAAGAGCACAGGATTACATACAGAGCGCCAACACGTGTTCCTGTTCAACACCAACTTGTTGACATACTTTGTGTAATTTCTTAGTGGGTGGAAGTAAATCATAAAAACCACTCTTTTGCACAACTTCCTTGACGTTCTGCAGAGCTGAGGATGCACAGTGGATATCAAAGCACATATCATCCCTCCTGCATTCTCGCTGATTTAGGCTATTGTAACTCTTATTGTGATGGTGGTTTTTGTATACGGTGGTAGGTTTTGTACTGTGTGGCATATTGTGTATTCCAATTTTCATGTACGGATCTTTGATCCTGCAGAATCTAGCATTTTTTTTTTTAGGATTGTATGGCTCGCATGTGGCAATGGCATCTTAGGTACCAAACAATGCACTTATTTCTGACAGCTAAATATCTTTATTTTGGATGTATCAGACAGCTTAATCTCCCCAGTAACTGCAGTATCCTGACTATAAGAATGTATGATATCCCTGGATTTGTTTGCAAGTGTCTGGTGTTTGAGCAAAAGAGCCACCAGGAACAGAGTTTGAATACCTTAGCATTCAGATTTTTAGGAGTTCTCCGTAATTGTGCACATGACATACCAATAGTTGCAGGGATATATAATGTCATTCTTCATGTTTTAAGCAGCTGCAGTCTATCAAGCCAATATATTGATTGTGCTATGTGTGTAGATGCAATCACAGAGGGAGAGTCCCATATTGGGCCTCTATATGTGGAGTGGAGCTCTAGGGTCTTTTGTGATTAATTGCTCAGCCACAGTTACACACACAAGTTCCCTGTTAATATGGCTGTAACTATCAGAAAAAAATGATAGAACAAGTATAATAAAATAAGTATTTTAACTTGGTCCATTGTGCCATTTCCAAATATTTAAAACAAAAAGCCATAATTTCACTTGTGCTGTCAAATCTCACTGTAGGGGTTTATTTTAACTGTTTCCTTTACCCATCCTACATTCATCTTCTTCAACATGGATAGGAACCCTTTGTAGTTAGGCTGGATACAATTCGCAGTAGTCTGTTGACTGACTCCATAGCTTTCAATTGGAGGGCTGTCTCTGTGTGTTCCATTGACAGACAGCTTCAGGGCTCCCTCACACTCAGTCATTATTCTGCTTACGAGTCCGAGGGAGCCCTGGTCTGTAATGCCACAGAATGCATTAATTACATCCTTCTAGCTAGACATCAAGAATAGTGTTTTTTTTTTTTATTTTAACAAATGTGAGCAGCAGAAGGTAGAGAACAATAATGCAATTGGCAATACATGTGTCATTGTGTGTGTGTGTGTTTTGTTAATGTTTTGATGCACATCATTTTTAAAAAAAATAGCAAAGTGGCTTTATATCTAACCACTGGCACACATTCCACATAAACAAACTGTTAATAACCATTACATTTAAAAGTTTTATAGGCAAGTGTCAACATGCCCGGCTTGAAAGCTTTACAAAGACAGACTTAAAACAGATTTCAGATTGTTTTTAAGTTTTATTAATTGAAAAGTTGACACGCAAGTATGAAATAGACTTGAACATAATTTTTCCATTTATGACATAAATAATAGAGAATTCTTACATAATTCGGCAGTAAAAAGAAAAAATATCCATCTTTGTTTTTATTTGATAATACAATTTCAAAGAAATGCAGGTTGTTGTATTTCATAAACACAAATATTGTTTTAGATAAAACTGCAACTTTAGCTGTTAACAAATTGAGAACTTATTTATCAAGCACAGATTGTATTTTTTTTTTCAGGCAATAATGGTGATTTAGTGACCCTGTACTCCAACTTTCTTACCCTTTCTATTCATTTCATAATTTAATGGAGTAACGGTAAAAGTCACAGCTATTCCTGAAAATGGGCAGAAACTAGCTGGTGTTTTTTTTTTAATCTGACAATCCATACCCAGACGAAACCTCAAAGCTCCAAGGCTCAGAGCCATTTGGTGAACAAGATGATCTTTAGTGTATATACCAGAGGTAGTCAACCTTTTAATACCTACCACCCACTTTTGTATCTTTGTTGATGGTAAAATACCTTGCCGCTAATTATATTGTGTAATTTAAAAAAAAATGTTTTTAGAAACTAGGGTTTTGTTTTCTTTTTCAAATATGTACTTAAATTTATATATTTTCCCCCCTTTTTTTCTATTCTACTTTTCTTTTTTTCTATGTGTGTCTGTGAGGTTCGGTGTGAGAGTGAGAGTGAGAGTGAGAGTGAGAGTGAGAGTGAGAGTGAGAGTGAGAGTGAGAGTGAGAGTGAGAGTGAGAGTGAGAGTGAGAGTGGGTACTGTGCGTGTGTGTAGAAGAAAATCTCCCCTGCCGGCCTTGGTCCACGGTGCAGAACCCACAACCACCCACCTGAAATCCCAAACCGCCCACTAGTGGGCAGTAGGGACCAGGTTGACTACCCCTGGTATATATGGTATCATATTATGGTAGTTCTTGACAATAGGCTCAGTAAAAGGGTTTTGTATCGGGTGGGTGTTCTATACTAAATAGGTGGTAGGCCAAAGATGTGTCATTTCAGTGAGAGAGACCTCTTGTGCCCTGATAGGTGTACACAATAGTGTCTCGTATTATTACATAGGATATAAAAAAAATAAAAATCTGCCGAGATTATATGCAAGTATAAGAACAGAAAATTTCGATATCTTGCTCGATTACATCGACAAATTACACTCGCTGAGTACTATTACCTAATGACTGATAAATAATGTGCAGTGTATTTCTTACAAAATACTTGTATAACCTTATGTACAAAGTATAAAATGTGTACTTTATATTTTTTTCCTACCACTTATAATTTATGCCATCAGCAGTATTTTTTCTGAGGTATCATTTATAAAGTAAACATACCATTCATAAATAAATAAAAACAGCCCAAGGCAATGTCTATCTAAATAAAGTTGAAAATAAAGCTTGTTCTACATCATGTCAGCATCACAGGTAGCAACAGTGTTTAAAGTTTACAAAAAACTTTTCTTTCCTGCATTAAAAATAAAGAAACCTATCGAAATGTAACTGTGACTAAGAGTTAGGTTTGACTTGCTAACTAGCAAGGGCCTGGTGTCCTACGAACTGTAAACACTGCAGTTCTGTTTCTGATTTAGTTTAGGATTGCCACAGTCTATTTTGAGAAGGACTGAATGATTAGCAATAATGATAACTTTAAAATACTGTATGCAATGTATTGGCTTTTTATTTATAAGTGCCAGTCTGTCATTATGCATCTGTGCCTTAAAGGACCACTATAGTGCCAGGAAAACACTTGTTTTCCTGGCACTATAGTGCCCTGAGGGTGCCCCCACCCTCAGGGTCCCCCTCCCGCCAGGCTCTAGGGGGAGGAAGGGGTTAAACTTACCTCTTTCTCCAGCGCCGGGCGGGGGACTCTCCTCCTCCTCTCCGGCTGAATGCGCATGCGCAGCAAGAGCCGCACACGCATTCAGCCACTCATAGGAAAGCATTCACAATGCTTTCCTATGGACGTTGGCGTCTTCTCACTGTGATTTTTACAGAGAGAAGCGCGGAAACGCCTCTAGCAGCGGTCAACGAGACAGCCACTAGAGGCTGGATTAACCCGAATATAAACATAGTAGTGTCTCTGAAACTGCTAAGTTTATAGAAGAAAGGGTTACACCTAGCTGGACCAGGCACCCAGACCACTTCATTAAGCTGAAGTGGTCTGGGTGCCTATAGTGGTCCTTTAACCCCTTAAGGACCAAACTTCTGGAATAAAAGGGAATCATGACATGCCACACATGTCATGTGTCCTTAAGGGGTTAAAGCAACACTACACTTTAAAGGGACACTATAGTCACCAAAACAACTTTAGCTTAATGAAGCAGTTTTGGTATATAGATTATGTCCATACAGTCTTACTGCTCAATTCTCTGCCATTTAGGAGTTAAATCCCTTTGTTTATGAACCCTAGTCACACCTCCCTGCATGTGACTTGCACAGCCTTCCTAAACATTTCCTGTAAAGAGTCATCTAAAGTTTATCCTTCCTTTATTGCAAGTTCTGTTCAATTTAGATTTTATCCCCTGGTATGTTAATAGCTTGCTACACCCTGCAAGAGCCTCCTGTATGTGATTAAAGTACAATTTACAGAGAAAAAGATACAATTGTTTAAGGTAAATTACATCCGATTGAAAGTGAAACCAGTTTTTTGTGTTTTGTTTTTTTCATGCAGGCTGTGTCAATCAGAGTCAGGGGAGGTGTGACATGGGCTACAGAAACAAAATGATTTAACTCCTAAATGGCAGTGAAATCTGAGAAGCATGATCTATACACTAAAACTGCTTCATTAAGCTAAAGTTGCTTAGGTGACTATAGTGTTCCTTTAACCCCTTAAGGACCAAACTTCTGGCATAAAAGGGAATCATGACATGTCACACATGTCATGTGTCCAGCCACTTCAGCTTAACAATATGGTTTTGGGCCAAAGACTATGTATCTTTGCCATGGCTGTTTTACATTGCCACAAAAAGGAAAACCACCATCTTTAGTGGCAGCTGGGCTGGCTACTGCCACTAGCGGCATTTCCTCATTTAAGAGTTCAATGTTGCTGAACATTGTGGCTGTTATTCATAGAGAAGCATAACATTTTGTTCTTCTCTGAGAAGCATCTAATTGGCTAAGCACAGTGATGACTGCACATGCCTTGTATCCCCCCCAATGTTTCTCTGAGAAGCACTGGATTGGATGATTTCAGCAGTGGCTAACCAGCTACTGGGGGGAGACTGGCTAATGCTGAATTACAAGTGAGTAAAAATGTTAAAAACAATTGTTAGATTTTACAAGCTTCAAATCTTAAAGTAAGGAAAATCAACATTCAAAATATTTATTTTTAATGTCAGTGTTCCTTTAACTATATTACTTTGATTTGGAATCTCCTCATTTACTGACCATAGAACTCTGTGCTACAGTCTGGCCAGACCATTTGAGAAAGACCTATAAATGTCACAGGTCCACAAGGGATTACACCTTGCAGCAATTTTTAACTTAACATTTCTCACTCCTGTTCACACCAGGAGAGATGAAAAGGATCTCACAAAATTGTATATACTCCAGTATAGAAGTGTTTCCAGCTGAGGATGCAGAAGGAAAACATTTTTTTTTCTCCTTCTCAAAATGTGCGAACACTTTTTGGATTGCCTCCTGGCACCATAACCACTACAAATGGTAAGGTGATTGGAGTTGTCACAAAAATAATAATAATGTGTAGTTCAGCAGTGTTAACACGTATATTCCTTTGCAAAATCTGAATTTTGAAAATAAAGCCTACATACATATTTACAGTATTGTGCTTATTACTTAGTGACAAAGTCAGGCAATAGCATTCTATTAAAAATTCCAAGGTGACTTCAGATGTAGAACCAACTACAAAATGCCATGACTATTTTTTTTTTTTTTACCCTTTTATAAAAAATAATTTGCATGCCGTTTATGTGATAAGGAGATTTAGTTTAATCACTTGCTAGGACGGGATTAATTAGAGGGATCATTAAAAATGCTGTATTATTAAATGGCACTGCATTCGTTTTGCTGGCACTGGTTTTAGCAGGCATTTTGCCTCTTAAAGTGGATTTTTTTTTTTATTCTGTGCATTTTGCTTGAATTTTATAAAAATATTAAAAAATGTTGTGCCGAACATGAAAGAGAGAGGATCTTGCTAATTCTTATGATTCCAGCGTCCCTTGGTAAGGAGTCATCATTCTATTCTCTGAAAGGTCTTGAATGACAATTGATGTCAGCAGGATTGCGCATGTATAGAAAGTTACAGCAATCTTCCTGTGAAAACACTTATTTACAGAAGCGTCAACTACACTTTGTGCGAAAATATAGCTCTGATGTCTGCCATCAATGCCTGACGTCAGATGTAAATGTGAGTGCTTATAAAACGATATGCTTTTTGAACCTGTCAAATATTTATACTAAATACAAAAGCAGTCTGTATGCTCTTTAGTACATTATTTAAAAAAACAAACAATGAAAGAACTCCAGAGTCAAAATTTCCAAAACTATATTAACACTAGTAATATGTAGCTTTTACAACAAAGATATCTCTATTATCAATTCTCAAATCACCAGTCTGTAGACAAAATGGTACCCAACTCATAAAGCCGTAGTAGCTGGGGTCTATGGTGCAATGGATGGGCATATTAGCCAGAGTCTAAACTTTTTAAATATACCGTATATATACATAGCATAATATGTCAATGTAAACTAGAAACACTTAAACGAACACTCTGGGCACCATAACTCAATGAAGTGGTTATGGTTCAAGGAGATTCGGTCTTACCTTAAGGGTTAAACCGAATACAAACGGTTCAATTCCAAATTTGTGAAGACGGCATCCTTTAGCGGAGCCTAAGGTTTCAATGATGAAACCTTTGACATAGAAAATAAGGTCATACGTTTCCAAACAAATCCATTACACCCGTAACTCCAACAAAGATTCAGTATTTTATCATTAGAATGTAGATATGGGTATTTTTCAGTTCTATCAGTGGCTGAGCTGATGCAGACAAGACAGAAATCCCATCTATTTGCGACAGAACCTCCTTTTATTTGGGGACAGAGCTGTAAATCATTTCCCCACCAGAATGATTAATTCACAAAGAGCCCAGTGGCAAAATCTTAAAGCAATGAGTGAAACTCGATGACCAAACACCGCTGTCTGGGATTTTGTCCCAAGATGACCGCCACCACGTGTTTGTACATACGAACGACAACCACCCAGTCGACCACTTAGAATGTTGAGGTGCTTGTGGTTACAGTGGTGTTAGCAGAGGTTAATGTGGTCAACAAGCGGCACACTCCGCACATGGGTGTTCTGTCGTTCGGTAGATTATTCGGTATTCGGACGGGGCAATGTTAACATATTTAGTGGATGTATTTCACCGAACAAACAGGCGAGGGGAACAAAGAGCTGTAAAAGCCAGGGACAGGGAGTTCTGTCACACCATAGTCTTGTCCCCATTCTGGGTGTGGCTAAGACAGAAATTACACTTCATTGCCATTGCAGATGAATCTGTATGCCTAGAGTTAGTGGTATGTATTGGTATGCATGCAAGGAAGTGTGTAATTTCTGGCTCAGTCACACCTGAATTGGAGACTGGGCTAAAGGAACTCAGGGACCCTCACTCCGTGTTAAACTGCTTTTAACACTAGTGGTTTAACAGTGAATAGAGGGACAGCGCCAAGGGACTTCAGGCACTATAATTAATACAATGATACCATGGTTCTACTGCCTTTATTGTCCTTTTAAGACACGCCATTGTTCTAGATTCAATTCATATCCTCACTGGAACAAAGCGGAGAAATGTCCAAATTCAGGATTGCTCATGTGTCTAGAAGCCTAGTTTTGTTCTGGCATCCAACATACTGATTTAAATATTAACACTTATTCAGTAGCTCCTAGATGTTTACCATTAACAGGAGCACCTAACGGAAACTATTTGTACTTTTCTTAAAGTAGCTTCAGCCCAATATCTGCTAGGCAATGTAAAATGAATAATCCACATCACAAGTTATTTTGGTCATATCCTGCCCTTAATCATGCATTTTTCATATGCAACTGGATTAATAAATAAGCCACCTTTGTTTTTGCTCATCCATGCTGCTTTTCTTTTTTCAACACTACTTTAAAACACATTATCCCTTAAATAATTAATACAGAGTTTGCTCTAAAGCCATTTTAGGACCAGAACAAATGTATTTTCTGGTCTATTAAATGTTGTCACTATAATTATTGCAAAACAAATTATACTACATCTTTAACCCGATATCCGGCTCTATGATAGTGTAATATATAACAAAGACAAATTTTGGGCAGCCCAGCTGCTTTGAATATGAACTGCCACAATGCTTAACAAGCTATTTTTTAAATTTTTGAAGAAACGTATACACAGTTTATCTGCCAGTACAAAATATTTTATCACAGATACGTAGCCTGTTGCAGCCCAGCTGCTATGGACTTCAATTCTCACACTGGCCAATGCATATAACCATTAATAATTTTCTCACCTTTCTATTGCGATTTCTAATAACGTTACAAATCACTATAAAAAAAAAAAAAGTTGATTTACAGAGATTAACCAGCAATTCCCTATATTTAGAAAGAAAAATAAATAAATCTTTAATGAGAATAAAACAGTTTTCTTTTATATTTTTAACTTTACAGATTATATACAAAATAAAGATTTTCCGAACCCGTCCTTTTTTGAGGAATTAAACAGATTGAAGGACGCATAAATCAGACTATAATCTGGCATATTGCTTGTTACTATGCATAGGAACTATTGGAATATCATAGTTGATTATGCACGTTATATGGCATAATCGATAGAGCTTTGGTCATGCACATAAGCCTCAAATATGGGACATTACACATAAGTCTACGACCGCATTCTGCAATGAAGGAGCTATTTACATGCAGGTTATTCACACTAAAATTGAGATTTGAATAGATCTACTTAATAACAAAATGAAACTAATTATTTTAGTTCTTGTCTGAAGTATCTATTGGGCCAGTTTTATATCCGAATTATATTATATATTAATGTTTGTAATCTGTTTGCAGAAGAATGTGGTAATCGTGAAAGGTTGTATCTATCTCACGACTTTTAGATTTTGACAGAATGTACAGAAATATAATGTTTACATTATGAACATGAAGCTGATTATACCTTCCAGGGAGGTACAATGAGATCTGCTTCTCTTTAGCAGTGTTGACTAAAGCCTTGGATCACCTTGTTGGGCTAAGGGTGAAAATAACTTTACACCTATCAACAGGACTCTGAATTCAAATACTCCATGATTTGCACATCAGTTTTCCTGGCACTGCAGGATCCTGCAGTGCCCCATCCCATGTTGCTGAAGGGGTTAAATCCCCTTCAGTGACTTACCAGAATCCAGTGCCGATGTCCCTCGGCGCTGGGTCAGGCTCCTCCCCTGCCGTCAGCCAGCGGGGAAGACCTAATGCGCATGCAATGCAATCCCAATGCTTTAGAATGGGGATTCCGGCGACGCTGGAGGTTCTCATGCATATCATGAGGACGTCCAGCGTAGTTTAAAACACTTTTCATGTTCAAAGAACACAGAAGTCCCTCTAGTGGCTGATTGATAGACAGCCACTAGAGGAGGAGTTAACCCTGCAAAGTAATTATTGCAGTTTATAAAAACTGCAATAATTACACTTGCAGGGTTGAGGGTGGTGTGAGTTGGCACCCAGAAGTAGTCTGGGTGCCTGGAGTGTCCCTTTAAGAAGGATGTATAATGGAGCTTTGGATTAACTGATTTGCACATCACCTCGGGTACTTATAGTAAAGGGACATACATTACTTGATGATTATTTTTTTTAAACAAATGTAAAAACCAAAATAAAGCAAGGAAAACTTTACAAAGTATGAAATAAACGTTTCTAATCTTGGTCATATTGCATCGTTGGGCATGCCTCTCAGCTAGAAGAGTTTCCCCTTATCCAGGCATGTCAGTTACATACCACTCCACCAATGACAGAAACAGGGAATTATTGTGCAGCAGCAAATAAGGGAAACCCAACACCGGAGACTGATCTTCTCCCCCTGTCAGGAAGTTACAAGGTGAAAAGATCTTCCAATTGCACACATGTAAACCTGTCAGGCATGCCCAATGCACTTTTTCCAGCATTCCTAAGGATAGGACACTGATTGGTCAGATCAGTACCCCCCCCAGCACCCCTGTAGTTGGTGTGGAAAGCATAAGGAAGAAGAAGCGGGTAAATATGAAAGAGGGGAAAAGACCGCCTGCACAGTTAAGGCTTTTGAATGAGATTGTTAAAGTAATGAATGTTCCTTTAAATAGGCATTGGCAAGCATATGTGCTTAATCTTAATCTTAGTGATGTGCTTAATCTTAAGCCTACAAAAGTGCAAAATAAAAGCTTTTTGAATACTTATGGAATTAAACTAATTGATCACAAGATGCCCTACACCAGACCGCACCTCCCCTTTTTCCCACAAGACCCCTTTCATTTGGGATATAAAGAAGCGGCAAAACATGACCAAGTCTCCGTAAAGAGCAGAACTTTCAGATGTTCCATAGATTATTGGAGACCTCTGTTTTAGTTGCTTCTTTCCCAATGAAGGTGGTAGCAACTTGCAATGACCTCTACAATCATAAACACAATACAACTGTGATCGTTATACAATTAATATTCATAATTTAATATTACTTGGTGTCAGTGCATTCTGCTCATGCACTTGTACTGAAAAGTGCCAGTAATTAAAGGACCACTATAGTGCCAGGAAAACAAACTGATTTTCACAGTGCGAAGCGCGGAAGCGCCTCTGGCGGCTGTCGGTGAGACAGCCACTAGAGGCTGGATTAACACTAATGTAAACATGTTTACAGCTGCAGGTTTTAAAACTAGAGGGACCTGGCACCCAGACAACTTCATTGAGCTGAAGTGGTCTGGGTGCTTATAGTGGTCCTTTAGCTAACTAAACACATGAACAGTATTTACGGAATACTTTTTAGGCATTTGAGCCTCCATTCGGTCTTTTAAAGATATGTTCCAACATATAACTTATTGTGGCTTGTGTTCCCTAGAATGTAAGTTTAGCTAGAACTTTTTTTGGGGGGAGGGGGGGAAGAGAGAGAGAGAGAGAGAGAGAGAGAGCGCGCGAGTTCTTGCCCTTTCTAAGAAGTGCCCATGATGTCATGAGTACTCTTATCAATTTGTTAAAAAGTTTAATTTTTCCACTTGTCCCATCATTAATTCTACTTAATGTTAAATTAACATTTCAGGCACTACATGTTTTTAAAAGAAATCATGGTGAGGATTTTGATGTGATCCGTAGCAAGTAACATACAGTTAAAAATTTCCCATAATCCCTGTGTAACAATTTCTCGTTGTGCATAAGAGATGGTTGATAAAGCTGCAGTTACTCTCAGTGTAGCTGAATACATTGAAAAGTGTATATATATATATATATATATATATATATATATATATATATATATATATATATATATATATATATATATATATATATATATATATATATGTATATATATATATATATATATATATATATATTTTTTTTTTTTTTTTCTTTCAAGGGGCTGAGAAGCAGGATGCCACATATACAAAACTTTGTATTTACTTGAATGAGCAATAACATCTCAAACGTGCATGACTGTCTTACAGAAGGCTATGGGAGAAACAGAACTGGCTGGGAGATTTCAGCCACGTCCTGGTTGAAGATGATGTCACTTGATAAAGATCAGAGCCCAGGGACTTGCTGCTACAAATGAACGTAAAGTGGTGAGTATCTAATTTATTTATCCCTACGGCATGTAATAACAGATTTAAAAATTTACCCCCTGGGGTGTTTTTTAAAATCAACTATTTCATACATTGGCACTTCATGACTGGGGCGGGTTATAGTTGCCATATGCTCATTATGCAATCTGTGGATTGTCATTATTTGTAATCCATATTTTGCATACTACTGGCAAATGTGCATTTATTGCTTTAAATATCAAAGCGGATGTATAGCTATAAAAAGGTTTCTTTGCTAATGTGGTGACTGTTATCTCAACAGATTTGCAGTTTGAAAACTTTGGTTTACAGACAATATTAAAAAAAAAAACCCATAAACCTTTGTTATTTGAAAAAGTTCATAAATATGAAATGTACTAAAATTAGGAAAAATGTATATGCAATAATGGATCCTACATTCCTGCATGAAGGTTTAATTGCTAAAATAAAACTGGGGATGTTTTTATATTAAAAATAAGTTGCGTTCTGATAGTTGAATGTGTGTACATGCAGAAATGTATATATACACTTAAAGGACCACTATGGGCACCCAGACCACTTCAGCTCAATGAAGTGGTCTGGGTGCCAGGTCCATTTAGGGTTAACCCTGCCTGCTGTAAACATAGCAGTTTCAGAGAAACTGCTATGTTTACATTAGGGTTAATCCAGCCTCTAGTGGCTGTCTCATTGACAGCCGCTAGAGGCGTTTCCGCGATTCTCCCTGTGAAAATCACAGTGAGAAGACGCTGCCGTCCATAGGAAAGCATTGGGCAATGATTGAATGCGCTCGCGGCTCTTGCCACGCATGCTCATTCAGCGCTGACGTCTGAAGAGGGAGGAGATTTCCCCAGGAGAAAGGCAAATGTTTAACCCCTTAACCCCTCTTAAGCCCGGCGGGAGGGACCTATTAACACTATAGTGCCAGGAAAACGAGTTTGTTTTCCAGGCACTATAGTGGTCTTTTAAGCACATATACATTTGCGCATACAATACAAGCACACACTGACATACCTCTGTTTGCTGTCTCTCACAGTGATTTCATTTAGAATCTATTACTGTATATGTACATATACAACTCTGTCTGCATGTTACTTTCCACCTCGTGAAATACCTTATCAGACAAGACTGTGTGAGTGCTGGGATTCTGAGACTATTCCACTAGCGTAACTTGAACAAAATGGCACATGGTTACTCTAATTACATTTTGTAAACGCAGACATGATAAAAAAAAATAAAAAGCATGTATTATAATAAACAATATATAAATTAGAATGCAGTGATACATCTTGTAACCTCTTTGCAGATTAGGTTATATACAGGGTTCAACATTTTAAGTCCACGTTACTAGCCAGGCCCTAAATGTTCTTGGCCACGGCAAGCCATGGAGGTCCATGGCACACACACCAGAGGTGAATTTTTTACTTGCCAGAACTAAATTTACAGTAGTCAATGGCTAGTGGAGATTTTGATCCACAATTTTACATATTTGTTTAAAGGGCTTAGAAAAATTTGATTTCGGGTATATTATTAATACTATGCTCTCCGTTACAGTGAAGTACAACAAGCTAAAAAATTTCCTATTAATTTACAGCTAATAATAAATATATTGGCTTTACTTAATATTTGTAAAGCATAGTAAATCTGTGACATTATTAGAAAGCACTTGCTAGGTACACCTGCATAAAATGTAACTGTGTGCAGCTAAAAATCACCACTAAATCTATTTAAATCCCAGCAGAAATGGATGCTGTATTTACAGTGGCATTAACCCACTCGCTGAGGTTGCACTTCAGCGCAGTCAATAAGCAGTGTAGTCACCAGACGACTTTGTCTCAGTGCAGTTGCCAAAATATAACCTGCAGGTATGCGGTCATTTAATATTCTTGCTTTAAACCACCTGTCCACATTTAATGGCCAACTCAATGGCACTGCTCTTCTTGTTGCCCTGAATCGACAAAAACCATACACGTCATGTTTATGGCGCTAACTTTTGGTCTAATTTTACTGCAGCCCAAAACCTTCCGCATTGGAAATCGCTATTGTCAATTTCTGCTTTAATTCTTTCTTTGTTTTGTAAGGAGGTAGACAGAGCTGATTAAAACAGGTGTGTGCTGTTGGCAACCTAAAAAAAAAAAAAGATATAAAATATTTATTGAAAACATGTTTTTAGACCACGTCGAAGTACTTATCTATATGAATTAACATGTGTGCAATCTGCTATTAAAAATCTATAAAATAACCAATTGTATATTGATATGTCTATCCATCATTCAGTAAAGGAAAAAAAGTATTTGATCCCCTGCAGATTTTGAACGTTTTTCTGCTGAAAAAGAAATGATCAGCCTATAATGTTAACGGTAGGTGTATTTTAACAGTGAGAGACAGAATAACAAAACAAATCCAGGATAACGCATGTCAAAAAAGTTATAAATTGATTTGCATGTCAATGAGTGAAAAAGGTATTTGATCCCCCATCAGAAAGATTTCTGGCTCCCAGGTGTCTTTTAAACAGGCAATGAGCTGAGATTAGGAGCACTCTCTTAAAGGGAGTGTTCCTAATCTCAGCTCGTTACCTGTATAAAAGAAGCAATCAATCAGATTACAAACTCTCCACCATGGCCAGGACCAAAGAGCTGTCCAAGGATGTCAGGGACAAGATCGTAGACCTACAGAAGGCTGGAACGGGCTACAAGACCATCGCCAAGCAGCTTTTTGAGAACAGTTGGTGCAAAATCTCACCTCGTGGAGTTTCAATGATCATGAGAACAGTGACGAATCAGCCCAGAACTACACAGGAGGATCTAGTTAATGATCTCCAGGCAGCTGGGACTTTAGTACCAAGAAAACAATTGGTAACACACTACACCGTGAAGGACTGAAATCCTGCAGCGCCCGCAAGATCCCCCTGCTCAAGAAAGCACATGTACAGGCCCGTCTGAAGTTTTCCAGTGAACATCTGACAATGATTTAAAGAACAGGGTGAAAGTGTTGTGGTCAGATGAGACCAAAATCAAGCGCTTTGGCATCAACACAACTCGCCGTGTTTGGAGGAGGAGGAATGCTGCCTATGACCCCAAGAACACCATCCCCACCATCAAACATAGAGGTGGAAACATTATGCTTTGGGGGTGTTTTTCTGCTAAGGGGACAGGACAACTGCACTGCATCAAAGGGGCTATGGACGGGGCCATGTACCGTCAAATCTTGGGCGAGAACCTCCTTCCCTCAGCCAGGGCATTGAAAATGGGTCGGGGATGGGTATTCTAGCATGACAATTATCCAAAATACACAGCCAAGGCAACAAAGGAGTGGCTCAAGAAGAAGCACATTAAAGTCCTGGAGTGGCCTAGCCAGTCTCCAGACCTTAATCCCAATCTGTGGAGGGAGCTGAAGGTTCGAGTTGCCAAATGTCAGCCTTGAAACCTTAATGACTTGGGAGAGGATCTCCAAATAGAAGAGGAGTGGGACAAAATCCCTTCTGAGATGTGTGCAAACCTGGTGGCCAACTACAAGAAACGTCTGACCTCAGTACTTGGTGGCAAAACCCTTGTTGGCAATCACAAAATCGAAGGGGTCAAATACTTATTTCACTCATTGACATGCAAATCTTTTTTTTAACTTTTTTGACATGCGTTTTTCTTGATTTTTGTTTGTCATTTGTGCAAACGTTCAAAATCAGCAGGGGATCAAATACTTTTTTCTCTCACTATATATAACAGAACCTTTTGCTAACACTGTTTTCATGCTATATGTTATTGCGATTTATACATTTTTACACATTTTATGGTTGAACTGGAGACCTGGGAATGCAGCTGTGATGGAGCACTGGATTTCCAAAGTGCCCAGAAGTTCTACATCCATTGCACCCCTCTTTCACCTACTGGAAAGTAAAATTGAGACCCGCACAGTCTATGGAACAGATCTGCCTTGCCTCTACCTGTTTGTACAGACTGAAGGAACGCCATGATGCCCTACCAGCAGAACAGGTAAGCAAAGGGTGTGGGATTACATGTATGCCAATCAGATGTCCTCTTGTCTCTTTTCCACATATAAGCTCTATCTACTAAAGAGAATTAAAAGGAAACAACATGTAAAACCCATTTACCAGTTAGTGGATGTTTCAGTCTTGGAAAGCTTGAAGTTTAAATCTGCCATTCCACCCACTGGTACTCTGTCACTTCCTGTAGCAAAATGTAGTAACTTCTTCTGAAGCTCAAGAGGAAATCCTAGGACCACATCCCAAAAGTGTCTGCGGAAGGAAACACACACACACACGCTGGGTTTGTATTACATGAATTTGCTGTAGTCATCTTGCCTCCTGAGCCTATTATTGTGATTTTCTGCTCCAATAAAATTAGCATCAACCCCCTCTCTTTATGCTCCTTGTCTTTTCAAAGCACGGCCAAGCAGGGGAATGTTGAAAATGCAGAGGGTGATGCAGAGTTCAGCATCATATTTAAATGGTTCAGTTTCATACCATCTGTGCTAGCCTACCCACACAAAAGGCATTGGAGATTAAAATGTATACAAATAGATCGCATATGCTAACCTTCATGTATAAAATGGACTAATAATGTGATTTTTTTTTTTTTTGCTGCCCATGCAAATGTCATGTCGCATTTAATACTACCTCCATTTTAACAGAGAAATCCTAAATAGTTAATTACATTCTCTTCTTTACCAATTGTTACAGGTAAACGGCAATTTCGGAATCGTATAAAAATAAAACAAAATTTTCATCCATGTTGAGATCTTATATATAAAATGATGTGGCACCTAACAATCATTTTCCCATTTGTGCATTGTGTATAATGCCTTTACCCATGATCAAAGGAATATCACATTTTTATTGCCGACTCTTTTCCTCTTTTCCCCAACTCAATAGGCAATTTAAAAGAATACTCCAAGCACCATAACCACTACAACTCTCTGTAGGGGTTATTTTGATTGGAGTGTTCAGTGTTTACTGGGGTGAGGTATGCAGCAGACATAAGTATAACACACCTTTTGCTGTACTTCTAGGTAATAATGCTAAGATATTACAGAGACACACGTGCAGGGTTATGCACTCAACCGACCGGCAAAATTTTGTGACAATGCTTTAATTCCAACTGGAACAGTAAGTCTCATATTTACTAAAGCGAATTGTGGTTAAAAATTCAGTCAGTCCAAGCAAATTTGCAACATTCAGCCAGATGTGAAAAGTACTGATGTTATACAAAAAAAAATGTATAATCCGGAATATTTACAAAGCACTGATTTTGAACTAAAATTGGGACCAAATGCATCCAGTAGCATGCACATTTCCAAATTATAGTAAACTTGCTTTTTTACAAGTGAATGTTACTTCGCAGTAGTATCTGGATTCTAACAGCACTAGCAATAGTAAAAAAACAAACAAAAAAAAACCCCTTGAATAACACTAGACAACCGCCACAATATAAAAAGGGGTAGGGAGGAGGAAGCGGGAGTTCCTTTTCCCCTTGCTGTGCCACTATGAGGTCATATCTACTTAATCCGGGGGCTGCTCACCAATTAAATCTAGCATCTGCCAGCTATTGGACCTATCACACGTCAATCACCCGTTGGCATCAGGTGGTGCTTAAAATTAAATTATGAGGATGGACAGGTCATTGTCCTCCCTCCAACCCCCACCTGTGGTTAGCAAGTGGAAGCGCTATTAAAATAAACATGGGGGGGACATTTTAATAACAGAATGACCACCCTACCCACCCACAACATTTGTTTTAGTAACCACCTCTTCTCTAATGGGCTTCAGTTGCATGTTGTATTGATAAAATACATAACCAGTGCCGGGTTCTATATCTAGGACAGAATTGTTGGACTCAATCAAGCGGATTAAAATTATCCTTAATTAGAAAACAAAATCAAATTAGGACACAATGTGGGGGCACAAATAAGGGGCATGTTAACACGTTTCGGCACTTTTTCTGAGGTTTTGAGCCTACGTGTGCCAAATGGCTAAATCTAGCACCAAAATCCATGGGCATGACTGCTTAAAATGGCAGAGAACAATTCATAGTGCCGTTTGGAAATGCATATTTTCTGATCTAATTTTAAAAATGTTTAAACTTTTACTTTGTAAATAGCCTGTATGAATTAATTACTGCATTATGCAATACAGGATATTAAAACAGTACTTTGTCCATGACTTGTACAATTCATTATTTTGTAACCTTTCCAAACCATTTGGTATTGCATGAGCTGTTTTGATCTGTTACTCATTTAATGGTCTCTTGATCAAGAGATGCATTTTTTTGCTTGAAAATTTCCCAATATAAATAAAACATTTTTTTAAATGTTTAAAGCGGCACTGTCATGCCAAACTTTGGCCCAAGCGTAGAAAAAATACATAAGACAAAATAGTCTTTGTCTTATGTTTTAAAAAAACTAGAGCTGATAGGAAGAAATGAAGAACAGATCCTGACAGAGGGAGAGAAGAGGAAGCGATTGGGGAAAGCAGGGCCGTCTTTAAGGAGGGGCAAACGGGGCAGCTGCCCTGGGCCCAGTTACTCATGGGGGGCCCAAAGCAGCTGCCCTGTGGGCCCCGTCGCCTGCAATAAAAATTATTATTTTTTAAATATTTCCCTACCTAATGGGCCCGCGGTGCTAGTATTGCGGCTGCACCGGGGACCGCACACTAAGGAGGCCCACCGGGTGGCCCATACCTTTAGGGCCACCCAGTGAGCATGTTCCAGCAGGGGTCCGGTCGGCGCTGTGGCCCTTTAACAGCGCGACCGGGTCCTTGCTTAACGGCTGCATGGGAGGAAGTGACGTCCGCGAATCACTTCCTCCCACCTCAAAGACATCGGGCCTTCCGGGAGGCTGCTGAGCCAGCATCCAGTGAGGAGGGGGAGCAAGAAGAGCCAGACCCCAACTACCCCAGCCAGCACACTGGACCCCAGGGAAGGATGCCTCTTTCAAAGGTAGGAAACTGAAGAGTGTCTGTCTGTGTGTCAGTATGTACGTCTGTCTGTGTGTCAGTATGTATGTCTGTGTGTGTGTCAGTATGTATGTCTGTGTGTATCTGTATGTTGTTAGTATGTATGTATCTGTGTGTGTGTATACCTGTGCATGTATCTGTATGTAGCCAATGTGTGTATCTGCATTTGTCAGGTTATGTATCTGTGTGTCTGTATGTTTGTATGTTGTCAGTGTATCTGCATCTGTGTGTCTGCATGTGTGTGTCAGTGTGTGTAAATGTGTCTGTATAGCTGCATCTGTATGATTGTGTATATCTGTGTATCTGCAAGTGTTTCTTTGTGTGTATGTGTATCAGTGTGTGTGTTTGTGACAGTGCATGTGTATTTGTGCATACATCTCAGCATTCAACACTACACACCTGCATTCAAACTTCAACACTACATATAAACACACCTTTTTTTTAAACAACAAAATTATATATAAACACACCAGTGTATTCATAAACCAACACTACACATAAATGCATACTTGCATTTAAATGCCATCTCCACATACAAACACACCCCTACATTCACACAAACATACTCCATACAAAAACATGCTTACACTCAAACACACAAATGCTGCTCAGTGCTAAATATAACCCTGCATGCATGGGAAAATGGTAGCGCCCCAGCTGTCAAAGCATTGTTGGAGTTGCATGACAGATGGGGATCTACCTTTTGCCCCCTCTTGCCCAAAATAATTCATGCACCAGAGCCCTCTCTACTTTACGTCCGCCTCTGCGTTGGGGTGGGGGGCATGATTGCATGCCAGTGAGGGGACGACCGGGTTCAGGGGGCACAAGCAAATGTTTGCCCAGGGTCCAATCCATATTAAAGACGGCCCTGGGGGAAAGGTAAGTTCGGCATGAAAGTGCCGCTTTAAATTTAAAGGTTGCTGAATCTGAACAAAATGCTCAAGACAGAAACCTACAAAATGTCCACATTAGCAAAGGATTTTATTTTATATTGCATTATCTTTTAGTCAGATTAGTATACATATGATATTGCCATGTAGAAATTACAATGACAAAAGCATTAGGAGAAAAACAAAAAATCTGTGAAGACCAGTCAGTGCTGCAGATAATATGTACAGAAAACCCCCCACAAAAACCATGTGCTTTGGAACAAAAAACTCCAAATATATGTATTCGTAATTCTTTGCCAAAAAATAGTGATGTTTCTCACATTTGATAAATCATCCTAAAAAAAACATTAAAGTCAAATGGTAACTTTGGAAACAACCATTGGTAACTTTGTAATTATAAAAATAAATTTATTAAGTGATCAGTGATGTTAACCATCTGAATGGGTGAAGCCTTCAAAATGGTTCCCACTCCCCCGAGAAGGTCTGACTGTACCTTCCAATAAAGAAGTAAATTTGTAATCAAGTGTTTATTCCACCTGAAGGTACCGTATCGATGTGCATTAAGGAATGTGAAAGGGTGGTTCATCCCATTTTGCAATCCCTTGTACTATCCTCTGGCACTCAAAGTTACAAATTTGTGTGAGCTCACCTTACAGTGAGGTCCGTTTTCAAATAGCCATCATACTGGGTGTTCTTCTGGAGTGCGAGCATATCTAACTCAGGACTTCCACAAACAAGAATCTCCACTTCTTCAGGGCGCAGTAGCTTAAAAAAAATCGGAAATACTTATTTATTTAAACTTTATTTTCATTTAGTTAAAAAAAAAAAAACAATAGAAGTTAAGCCTATGTGCCAAAAAAAAGCGGAAGGGTCCATATGTGGAAACTTATCTATGCTTAAAGGAACATTCCAAGTACCATAACCATTACAGCCTGCTGGAAACTCATTTGAGTCTCATTAGGCTCCATGGGTCCAGACTCTGCTTCCAGATTCTCCCTGCAGAAGAATCCCCTTAACTCTACTGTACTAAGCAGGGTCATGCTCATTGACTTAGATTGTCAGTTGAGTACTCTCAGCTAGTAAGCGAGGTCCTGTATTGGCTGTGGTTAGGCTGCAGAGAGATATTTGCCTTGTAAGGATGAAGAATATGGAATGCAACATGGGGGACCCAGGTAAGTTGTCACCCCATTTTAGAACAAATTGACAAATTACAGTGGGTCAGAACCAGGACACTCCTGACAGGTTTTGGCTTTAAATTAATACTTGTTTGTCCCTGTATATCCATTTAGTTTTTAGTTTTTCAAAATGTAACTTTTTTTTTTTTTTTTTTTTAGGTATGCATATGAAAAACCTCATGCAAACCTCATGAGGAGCAAGTAAAAAAAATAAAAAAAACAGCCGGAGAAAGCGCCTATTTGGACCACCACCAGGGAACCTCATCAACACCTCAAAAAGGAAGGTGTGCAGGGTGTGAAATAAATGTTTTAAATATGTATGCAATCTGGTTGTCATTCACAAGGAAGCTTTGACTGGTTGGTAAAGTGAAGTACCACAGGAGGGTGGTGAGGGGGAGGGAACAACAAAATAAAAGTTAATATGTAGGCAATCTGTTTTTGTGGCAATGGTTCTAGGGGGCAAACTGGTGCTGTGGAAGCAATGTGGGGCTAAGTAGGCACTTTGGCAAATGATATGGGATAAATATGTCACTGTGAAAAGCTGGAGCATGCATGGCACTGGTAGTTTTGTGTGGTTTTGTGTTAAGTGGTGGGATAGTGGGGCACAAGGGCAATTTTCCCACAGGGGCCTGCTATACCATCCCCAGGGTCTGGATTACTATATAATGATAGGAGTCCTGCTGTACAACCCTCAATGTCTGGATTGCTATATAATGATAGGAGTCAGGCTGTACCACCCTCGTTGTCTGGCTCGCTATATAATGATAGGAGTCATGCTGTACCACCCTCAAGGTCTGGATCAATATATAATGATAGGAGTCATGCTTTACCACCCTCAAGGTCCGGATCAATATATAAAAATCCACACTAAGTCTTCATTGAGTACTATTCTACCAATCTACTTCCCTAATACTTCCCTTAACTTTTGTGTCATTTTACCCCACTCCCTCTAGCATGTAAGCTCATTGAGCGGGGCCCTCAACCCTTCTGTTTGTGTGCATCAAACTTGTCTGGTTACAATTACATGTTTGTTAGTCCACCCATACAGCACTACGGAATATGTTGGCACTATATAAATATAATAAAAATCAAGTCTGGATCAATATAAAATGATAATAGTCATGCTGTACCACCTTTGATGTCTGGCTCAATGTATAAATGATAGGAGTCATGCTGTACCACCCTCACTGTCTAGATCAATATATAATGATAGGAGTCCTGCAGCACCACCCTAATTATTTTGTTGCTAATTATTCATGTTTATTTACTGGCTAAGAGTGTCAGCTGTGCATTCTTTGCCATTTAATGAGTGCATGTGCAAGGAATGTGTACAGAATTTAGACACAATTCACATGATAATTCTAGGCTGGATAATGAAGGTTACCGAGTTGCACTTCTTCAGTAACATAACATTCCTAAGTTCAAACAATCTTTAACCCAATTTCAAATATTTTCTGTTTTACAAGAAACCTCAGTCTGTCTGCTGTTTGTTTATTCGGCCGTCTTAAAACACTTTTTTTGTACAGTCCCTCAGTTCACTCTAAGCATGATGGCAGAGGAAGGAGTGAGTCACTAAAGCAATCCTGTATTAAATATTGCCTCCAGATCTCTGATTAAACATTTAACCAAACGTGTTAACAATTGTCAAGTCAAGAGTGCTGACTTGTAAAAACAACCCATTGTACTAACTAAAATAAGCCCATATAACTCTCTAAATTCCACAGCTCTTAATGCCCCTCTGCCAGCGCAGTTTGATACCATTTATGGTTGATGCTCATTGTATCCATAATGCTATAGGTTCCAAATAAGGAGTTAATAGTAGTATAATTTAAAAACATATTTACAGAATTTTACAACTGACATTGGCAGTGGCTGTTGAATTGTTAGTGTAGTTCAGGGGTTCCCAAATCATTTTTCCAATGGAACCCCTTGACATAGTGTACCAACACACGTAGTGCCATAGCACAAACCTTTTAATTAACAGAGCGTAAATGTTTTCTTTATCAAATTTCTAAAGAGTAGTAAACAGATTGCAGTACTTAGGAGCAGGTGTGGCTCTGTGTGTAGAGTTGGGGTTTGTATATAATTTTAGCATTTTAATGGTTGTATGTTATGCTTGCATTTACGTGTAGTGGTGTGTTTAGATGTAATGTTGGATTTTAAATGCACATTTACATTTGTGTGTAGAATTGGTGTTTGAGTGAAGGATGTGTTTTGAGTGTTTGTATATAACTTTAGAGTTGGAGTTCAGTGGTGTCTTTGTATGTCGTGTTTGCATGTTGTGTTTTATTGCTGGGATGTATGCACATACACACTTACACAGATATACATCCACATTAACAAACAAAAAGATACATAGAAACACACTGATGCATGCCATCATATACACACTGACACATTATTATTTATAAAGCGCCAAGTTCTGTAGCACTGTACAATGGGTGGACTAACAGATACGTATTTGTAACCAGACAAGTTGGACACACAGTAACAGAGGGATTGAGGGCCGTGCTCAATGAGCTTACATGCTAGAGGGAGTGGGTTGTAGTGACACAAAATGTAAGGGTAGTGTAGAAAAGTAGGTTGCTAGGATAGTATTCATTGAGGGCTTAGAGTTTTATTTTGATGACCGTTTCTATATCTTATGGGAAGCCAATATAGGGTCTGACAAAGGGGGAGGCGTGGGCGGACATTAAGATGACCCTTGCCGTCGCATTCATTATAGACTGTAACGAGGCAAATTGGGAACACTTAAGATCACTGAGAAGCAGATTACAGTAGTCAAGGAGAGAGAGAAGAGCGGCACGGACAAGCACCTTTGCCGTATCACGCGTTAAATAGGGTCACATACACTTGCACAGATACACACAGATATACACGCACACAGATATACACACTCAGATACCCTGGCACAAAGATATACACACACACTGGTATACACAGAGATACACACTGGCACAAAGATAGACACACACTCACAATCACACTCTGATACATACACTGACCGATAAACACACTGTGTGTATATCTGTGTATTAGTGTGTGTATCTGAGAGTGTGCATCGGAGTGGCACATTGTCACAGACACTGACACTCAAATACACACGGTGATAGATGCACATCTTGACAAACCGAGACATACACACACAAGTCACATTTTTTCTAATTGCAGTCACCCTCCTGTTAGGTTACTTTTTTTCCTGCAAGAGGGTGTCTTGCTTGGAGTGCTGCTGGCTGCTGCCTCTCTCCATCCTGCTCGGCGCGGTCTATGTCTGGGAGGAAGTAACAGGCTGACACTTCCTCCCAGCATCCGATACCATAGGGGCCCGGCCGTGCTATTAACCTTGGCCCAAAAGTATTAGGGCCACCCAATGGGCAAATCGCAGTGGAACCTCCAACACTAATTGGGAAATGCTGGTCTAGTTTGCCAGTCTGAAGCAATACTAATCTGTTGTATTCATGCTTTCTGGAATAGATATAGGAGAATAGGTGCCCCAAGAAGGTGGTGTAATCTTATAAAAACAGGTATTAAATGGGGTACACTGGCATTGTGGAAGACTTATGCAATCTATGTTCATATGCTGAAGCTATATTCATAAAAAATGAAAATGCACCATAATCACTACAAGTTTCTATAGTGCAAGGCAATGACAACTTATCTTGGATCCACCAGGCACCAGTTACCTAATCTTTGAGAGCTAGAATATCTCTACATTGAGTTAAGCCCGGTGATGCTCATTGGTTGAGAGTTAGAGGTGTTAAGCCAATGAGCTGCCCCTATAGGCCAACTGAAGTTCCTTTCTTCTGGCTCAATGAAGAAGATGAATGGTGCCTGGCCCACTTCAGACATGTTGTCAAACTGTTAAATAGCTTGAATATGTAGAATATTTGAGCACCAAGGCAGGTCTACAATCATAACCACTACAAAACGCTTTAAAAGGGAGGGAGGTTGAGTGTGCATGATATATATATATATATATAAAAAAAAAAAAAATGATTTCTTATATAGAATATAATCTTGAATATTTTACATTGACTAAAAATTATATAATGAATGAAAATAATAATACAGTCATAGAGTTGCTATATAGTTACGTATAATACTTTCAGGATAAATCATGTTAAACCATGGCACTTCAGACTACATCTCCCAAAATAATATTACAGCCATAATGCTGGCAAAGCATCAAGGTAAATGTAGTCCACAACGTCTGGATTCCCAAAGGTTGCCTATTCTTGTGTTAGACTAAAGAAAAATCACTGTAAACTATTTAACAAACCATTGACAACAAAGTTTAATTGAACAATGATATATATTTATCCTCAACAAAACTGATAAGGTGACTAATAGGGGAGTTAGTGCATTCAGATGGAATCAGGTCAGATGAACTGAGGGATGACAACCGGAGTAATGAGTTCTTGAGGATCTGAGACAATTTTAGCATAGAGTATATATGTATCTCTCTATATGTATCCTTACAAAGTTCAAAAGCAGACAACGTTTATGTACTTAACTGGATAAACATTTCTCCCTCAAAACAACTTACCATTAATGCATTTGATGAACAAACACTGTGGAAACCATAGTAAAATGCTGAGAACTGTTTGTAGATTGATTTATTGAGGAGGAAGTCAACATACAGTTGCACGTATTCTAGAAGAAGAAAACAAATGCATTCTGGGTCACAATAAATTAATACAACACCATTAGGAATGAAACGTGATGTTGAATGATTGCAGAGAAAAGATAAATGATGGGTTATTCTTTACCTTTTCTATTCTGATTGGTCACTGGAATTTTATCACCTCCTGGTTTTAGGTTGTATGATTTAATCAGCCCAAATTCTTCTTGAAATACCTAAGAAACCAGTTGATACATAACAAATAAGAAATTTGGTTTTAAAGTAAATGTATTGGGTTAGCAAAACCTATTTTATATAATTCAACATGTGATGGTAACTGACCTGAAAAGTTGAATAAAAGTCTTCTTCCACGTTGCCTTCATAAGTCAGAAGTTCATTTAGTCCATGTGCAAGCTCCTAGGATGTGAACATTTATTTACAAATTTATTATTTTTTTATACTATAAGTGGCCTTATAGTTACCCTGTTATAACTTCTCTTAAAACAACACACCATACACCATTACCACTGCAGACAACTGGTGCCAGCCTCCCATAGTAAGAAGTCTCTTTAAGAACAGTTTGGCAACTTACCTTGACTCCTCTAGGGCAGCAGTTGCCTCCCCAACTGCAGCCTCTCAGCTGTTACTTGAGCGCTTTCAGTTAATGAGCTAAGTCATGTACTGCAGTTTCATAGAAACATAGAATGTGACGGCAGATAAGAACCATTCGGCCCATCTAGTCTGCCCACTTTTCTAAATAATCTCATTAATCCCTGGCCTTATCTTATAGTTAGGATAGCCTTATGCCTATCCCACGCATGCTTAAACTCCTTTACTGTGTTAACCGCTACCACTTCAGCTGGAAGGCTATTCCATGCATCCACTACCCTCTCAGTAAAGTAATACTTCCTGATATTATTTTTAAACCTTTGCCCCTCTAATTTGAGATCACAATGCCTGAAAGCAGCCTAACGAAGGCGTTAAGCATAATTCAATTTAGTAAATATTACATTATAAATCATGGATAGGTCACGGAGCTAATTTTACAACTGAAAAATTAATTCCCAAGCTATTGACACGTACGCAATTTATGTTACTTTTAATAGAGGTGTATATGAGAGCTATACAGAATAGAAGTAAACATGCATTTAAAGATGTAAAAAGACCACAGACTTCTTTGCATTAAAGTATTCCTGGGACATTAAAGCTCTTATGTTATTGGCTTGATTGAGAGTAGAGAGCTTCTGGTGACTATGGCCACCTTGACCTAGAACACAGATTACATTGTCAAACTCCCACCACTTCCCTTTGTTTTCATTTGTAATGTATCTCTCTGCTACCCTTTATCTTTCTATGTAGTAAATTGAGTAAGATATGAGTTGTGAGTGTAAAATAAAAAGAAAGTAAGATGCTCACTATAACAAAGTTTCATTCTAACCCAAACGGCAGCAGCAAAACAACAAAAACAACCTGTGAATAATGCAAGACCAAAAGATTAAAGAAACTGAAAAGTATCTATTTTGTTAAAGTTGGAGCCTATGCTATGTAAATCCCCCTCACCTCACCCCCCAGTTTAGCCTAAAATTTGAATGAATAACCCTGTAAGTGCCACTTAAAAACTCTGCAGTGGAATTTGGTATTGAACCATTTACCTGTTACCCATGTTTAGGTACATTCATACACACAGCCTAAACAGTCCTGTGCGTAGTTGCCATGTTGTCCTACATAATGTGTCTGTCTTTCTTTCCACTGAATGGGCCTCGATATGTGTGATAATGAGATAAGCGAGATAAATGAGTTGTCCAGATAGTCAACATGAAGGTGCATACGTTAACGCTACCAAGGCTCTTATTTTTGTAAAGACTAGACAAAATAGTAGCTTTATAAGTCTAGTGATGCAGATAACAACATATTAAATAACCACTGTACCTTTAAATGCCTTTTCTATTGGACTAACAGAATTTTTGAAATTACAAACATTTTGGAAATCATGAACTTGAAGCACTTGATAAAATGGAGGATCTCCCAAATGCTTACCATGCCAAAATTTGTTTAGTCCAATAAAAACATTTGGCATAAATGTTAATTCACCTACTCTATTTGGACCAATTGCAGTGCTCTCAAGTCACTCATCATAGTGGAGATAAAATAGAGCTAATACTCACAGGCATGATCTGATAGAGATCGTCTAAAGTGACAGATCCAATTCCTACAGGGATGTTCTGGTCACAAGGAACGATTGGTGGGCTCAACAGCTTCTTATAACAGCATGGTGGGAAGCGAATGTCCAACGTGATGCTATTGTATACAGCAAGCCCCATCAACTTGGAATGTTAAGTATAAACAGTTATGTTTTGCAATACAATATACGGAGCAACCACAAAGACTACTTTATTTATTTCTCTAAAAATATGATGTTGAATTCATGGTTCCTATACAAGTTATATAGCAACAGCATATGAGCGATTACACGTTTTCAGGCAATGTAAAAGGATACAGTTCCAACCAGCCGAAACTCTGAATAGTTGTCACATTTAAAGCTGCTAAACCAATGGAAGTTTGAGTCCTTGTGGTACGTAAACATACCTGTTAAAGAAAAGTACACTTAATAAAAATGGTACTTATACTGTCTAGTGGTGTAATTATCATACAGGATGCATCAGTAGTAGCCATTTGTAAATATAAAATGCAAGGCTTCCAGGACTGCAGAAATAAATCTGTTGTTCAGTGGACATTTATTGGAATTGTTTAGAAAATTTAGGTTGTTTTACATTGTATTCTAGATGATGTGAGATCATATGTATACACTGGAGGCCAAGAAAGGACCTTAACTGTGGATGTAAAATGCAATCCGAATCTAAAATAATCCTATGTTAATAAATATTGTGATCGGGTTTTAGCGGTGTTCCCTTTAAGCATGTCTTTATGAATGGCCATGCTCTGAAACAGAAAAGGAACATTTAAGAAGTCAACACTTGCCAGTTTATGTAGGAACAGCAGGTTTTTTTATGATTCCCTTCATAACCGTTTCAGTTCTAACACTCTCTTTCTTAGTGGGAACTTTGGTATCTGGCCCTACACATTAAAGCCACAATTCAATATTTTTAAGATGAGCTTTTCAAATGTATTACATAATTTTGGATACAGTTTTAAAATATTTTTTTTTCAAAATTTAAGTTTTTTTTAATATTTGGAAAAAATAATGTTAAAACTTTATTGAAAAATACTAAATCAATAGAACAACTTGTCCAAAATTAATTAAATCAGGGCCTAAGTCTTTAGATTGCACTGACGCGACCATTAAAAGAAATATAATATATTCCTCTTTTATGCAGCTTGGCTATAGAAATATTCCCTGTAAAGTTACTCTAGACTCACCGTAGTCCGGATGGAAAATTTGTCTGATTAGGAGAAGAAACCATTCCTTTGTCAGACCCCCCATGTCAAGACCAGCTTCACCTACGAATGTCACCTTCAACTTTTTTTTCAAATCTGTTCTTTTCCTTGTAAGCTGAAGAAATAAACACCATGTCAATTAACAAGTGTTAAAGATTAGCAGAGTTTTATAAAAATGACAAGCTTTACAGTGATAAATGGGGTGATCTGTAAAACTCAGAATTAAGGTGAAAATGAGTAAAATGTCATTAAAGCATTGGGTATAATCTTAAACATAAATTATTCACTAATTCTAACAATAACTCTAGGTAATTGTAACCCCCTGAAGGACCAAGGCATATGTAACATGTCTGTGACCAAGGCATTTATGGCACTTTTGACATGCATTCATTCTACCACAATTTCCATTTTTCTGTTTAGGTTCACCCAAACAGATTATATATACACATCATTGTTTTAAAGGAGATACAGGGCTTTTTTTTTTTTTATACCCTATTTGTATACATATGGTAATATTAAATCGGAATAACTAAAAATATTAAAAATAGAGTATTAAAAATAGAAGACAAATTAGAAAAAAAATATTCTTAGTTTTACATTTAATAATTTATACACACCAAGTGCAATTAAAGAAGACTAACTCGAAATTGATTCACCAATTATTCCGGATTGTTAAAACTCCTAATAAGTCTAGGATTTCAATAAAGTTTTAGACGATATAAAAAAAAAAAATATTGCATGTAGTGAATTACAGTTTTAAAACTAAAACCTTGCTAAATTTGGCATTCTGAGATTACAATTTTAATAGTAGTCACAGAATCCAAATCTGCTACACAAAAGCATATATCTATAGAAAGTGCATTCCTCAGCTGTGGCCTCAACTGACCGATACCTGAGGTTCCTTTGTACCAGCAAATATTTAACCCCTGCTGGTACCTTTAGTGCATGATGGTCTATGCTATCAACGGGCATTAAATTCCTGAGCACTGAGTGATCAGAACTACAAAGCAACCTGCATTAGAATTAGACATAAGGATTTCACTACCTTTTGTAGTCTGGCTACAAACAGTTAAGGAAGCTACAGACATTTTGTAAATTAAAAGCAGCTCAATTAATTCCTACGTGATCTGACATTAAACAAGAGAAAGCATCACTACACACTAGAGAACATAACGAGCACAGTGGACAGCAGTGATAGGCTGCAAACACTGGAATTAGCCATTTGTTTAAGGGATCATGCCCTAAAATGGAGTTATTGCTCCTAGCAATTTATAGATAAGACTCTCTATTGTGTATGTTTACCTCATCAAGCGAATCGCTGACCAACTGCAGCCTTCGGACTTTAATGTTGAGAAATAACATATTCATGTCGGGTTTTTGCCTTCGAGACACTTTATCCACAAGGCTTTGCTGTAAGGATGAAAATGTATTTAATAAATAGAGCAAATCATTTTTCAACTCTAGTTCCGGGCTGGTTGGTGACAAACCTATGACGCCACTAGAGTTGGAGTTACACCTTCGGCAGCTAAGAGGTTATTCTCTGTATGTGCAGCATTTCGAAGTAAAACACTGGAAATACAGACTGCATGCACCATGACCACTTCAAGTCACTGAAGTGGTGATGGTGCTTGGAGAAACCCTTTAAAATATAATTTAGACTGTTATACACCTACAAACGTATAGTGAGTGTGTGTATGTATATATACACATCCACACACACATACACACACACTATATTTGAAACGTGCTGCAGAAAATATTTTAGATCTCTGTGTGTGGGTGTGTGTGTGTATATATACATATACACACACACACACACACACACACACCCCCACACAAAACTGTCTGGCCAAAAGACAGTTTGTGCTTCCTTGGACGGCCTTTAGCTTTGATTACGGCACACATTCGCTGTGGCATTGTTTTAATAAGCTTCTGCAATGTCATAAGATTTATTTCCGTCCAGTGTTGCATACATTTTTCACCAAGCCGCCATTTTGTACTCTGCATCCATGTTCTTGTTTAATTCTTCAAAGCTGTTTACTCATTTATATAAAGACAGTATTCAAATTTATCTTATTACTAACTTTTTTTTTGCGCAAATAACCTTGTACCAGATGTTTCCCAGTAGATGTTTAGTAAATATTTTAGGGAACAAACAAACAAAACTGCAATTCGGTCAAGCTGACCCTTCTCTCACTACTAATGTGTACCATACAAGATACTCTATTTGCAAGACTCCCTCCGATGGCTGATACACCTGCAAAAGTCCTTCTACTGTATCATTTTTTCTCACCCGTGCAATGCTGATCATCTGCTGTTCTGAATCCTTTTGAATGATTACTTTTTTTGCAGCAATGGATATGATGAAGGGAAACTGACAAAATGAGAATCTACAAGTAAGAAAAAGAAATAATCTAAATCTGTATACAAGATTGCACCCATTTATATAACTAAATATGAAGTGAATCTAATAATTAAGAATCACAATTATTAAGCATCATGGGAAACGTAGAGTGAAAAGTTTGCCAGCACTTCTCTAATATCTGGATGAACCGAACTACTGCTACAATTTTTGATGGTTTTGTTGTTTTTTTAGGAATTATTTTATGTGATATTATTTTTTAGATGATTATTCAGTATCAAGATATGAAACGTGGCATTGTCCTAAATATATAGGTTACGCAATTTTTTTCAAAATGTATTTTGTAACTAATACTAGCTTATATTGCACCGAAATTCCCCCCCAAAAATGGAATTTGCTTAAACGATAAGCTGAATTCTTAAAATGTGCATGGTTTTCAGTTAATGCCACACAAGAGATCATAAAACATTAAATCTGAACGGTTGAACGCTATAAATGATCTGCCTAATAACAGTTTCCTTTCTGCAATGCTACCTTTTGATTACAAAACTCAATAAACACAGAATGTTTAAAAAACATTCAATCTGAAAGTCATTTCCTGAGAACCCAGCAATCCGTTCATTTGTCATATGATGCCACCTTGTGGCCAATGCACTTACATACAGTGTGGTGAGTGGAGAGGTTTGTCTGATTACATATAGTAATATATATCTTGATACTCCAAAAAGAACAGAAGTATAGCTGCATGCAACTAGGCATTAGGCTAAAGCAGTCTATTGTTAACTGACCCTACAGAAATGGGAGCTGGAAATCTGAAATTGCAATACTCATTTGAATATTTTGCCTTGCACCCTGGAAGTGTCTTGGAGACACAATCTTTAACCAAACGCTACACTGCAAATGTCACTTATTTGTTTTACCAAAATGTTGAGCCTGATTGTTTCAGGTCCAGCCATGGACCAGTAAAGTTTGGATTAGAATCCTGGGCATCACTCACATAGCATATCTAGAATTTAGACATTTCACAATTTTGTTCCAATGAGGACACAGACAAAACCTGGACTGCTGGTATGCCTTGAAGACTGAGTAGGGAATTTCTGTTATGCTATTTTATGATATATTAGGACAGAATAAAATAACACAGTCTCTTTAATTTTACCTGCTACAATTTTATTATTTTGGCATGTATGGCGCTATTTGTAAATATTAATTTCGTATCCATGGCGATTGCGCTTTACTTTTGGGCCAGAATTGATCTATACATATGATCCATAGACACAAATATTCACACAAAGTAAATAAATCCAACCTGTGAGAGTTTCCATAAAATTGCCAGGTTTGATATTCTTCCATGAGATCAATATGATCCAAAGTGGAATTGTAGAAATCCGTGTAAGCAATTAAAGGTGGATTACAGAGAGTGTTTGCAGCATCTGTGAAGATACGGTGAGACATTATGTATTTATCCAACCAAATATTTATACTACCAACTGTGTATGGAAGTATATCAAGAACATTTTAGAGAAATAACAGGATTCTGAATCTCTGCTTAGGTAGTAAAGTAAATATACTAAAAGTGAAATCGTTCAAAAGTTCAGCATGTATAATTCCAGGAAGGTGCCACACAATAACAGCATAGTACTTGAAGTGTTTCTTTAAATCCAAATGTTAGAAGCTTTGTACAAAAGAAAATTTAGGGGTAAATAAAACAGCATTTTGTCTATAATTATGCATAGATAAAGGTGAGGGCTCACTTCTTGTTTTTAGGAATTTTAAATCTCCCCATAGTTCACAGCACTACTTGCATTCTGCCTTAAACATATTGTATTAGGAGATTAGGCATATTTGCTCAGCTCAGACAGGCCCTGGACCATACATAGGCACACCAAAGCACCATTGATGTTTTATAATATATATTTTTAAGTTTTGCATTGGCACACATCCATTATGTTAGTGTGCAAAAAAAAAAAAAGGATATGAATAAGAAAAAAAAAAAATTATATATATATATATATATATATATATATATATATATATAGAGAGAGAGAGAGAGAGAGAGAGAGAGAGAGAGAGAGAGAGAGAGAGAGAGAGAGAGAGTGTGTGTGTTTGAAAAATGTCCTTATATTCCATCTAACATATAAGGAGAAAATATGAATTCATTTTGATAATAGTATGCACTCAAACAAAAAACTTGTTGTATGCATGATCTACTTAGTTCAACTCGTGTGATTTAGGAATGTATAGAACTACGCCTCAGCAATAATTGTCGAGGCTTGATCATATTTATGATATTTTAAAAAGTATCTGTGCATTATCGTTGCTCTGGTGAACAGGATAACACTTCCATTTTCAATATAGATGAAGTAGAAAAAAAGCTTAAATCTCTACTAATTGGCCAAAAGCGTAAAGGCCTTTTACCAGAGGGAGTGGTGAGAAAAATATTTTTAACGTGACATCCTGAGAACGCTCGATGACTACATTATGACCAGAGGCAACATTGCTGTTGATTGAAGCAAATAGATGCCAGATGCTGATATGGGTTGGATTTACATGAGAGATAGATAGAGAAAGACTGGCTTATTCATCATTAAAGTGACACTCTAAGCACCATAACCACTGTTGTGTGCTGTTCTTGAACAGTTTGATATGCAATTGGTTCTCGCTGGAGTCTGCACTCCTTACATTCTTCTGTGACACTCGCAGCCAGTAAAGGATGTCCTTATAGGGACATTGCTGAAAAAGAATGGGAACGTCCATATTTGCTATATCACATAAGATAGGAAAGGAACACTCTGTGCCTGTGGCACTCAGACAAGTATTAAACCATTTAATAATGGTTTAACTTCTTACTGTAGGAACTGCTTTAGGTGACTTGTGGCACCATAACCACAACAGAAACGTGGTGATAACGGTGCTTAGAGTGTTCCTATGGATGTCACCTAAGTGTTTTCTTTTGAACCAATTCTGTATAAGTCACGTCACATAGATCATCAGGCATACAAAATAAAGTTTCAAATATTCGCAGTTAATTTTCCAGTATTCGGATCTGATTTAATTTGTAACCTTGAATATTTTGTACAGCATCAACTCTTTGTGTTGCTAAACGAAAGACAAAAACTCATTGTGTTATGTGAAACGTACTTAGTAATGCTAGAACTTTGGTTGCTGATGGAATCCACCAAGTGCATTTTGCCAAAGGTGGAAAGTCTTCAGGTTTTGCAGGAAACAGCCGTAAAGAGATAAACTGCAGAAGTCTGTCAACCAACTGCTTGAACCTCTTCTGTGCCATCCTTATAAAAGAGAATATGCTTTATTCACAAGACATCCCGTATTTTATTTAACACTTTACTGGCTCTCTGTATGGGAGGCTTTACATGGTAAAAATGTGAAAGTTAATGTTAAACACGCCAAATGTACTGGTTCTACAATCTTTAGGCTGATGATGACAAACTATATATATATTTTTAAGTATAATTTTTTATTTTATTTATTTAGCTTTTTCAATGAGCTCTTGCTAAGTCAGTCTCACTCATCTTTCTAGTTGTATTTATAGAAAAAAGAAAAAGAAAAACTTGTTTTCAAATCCCAAGGGATAGGGAGAGAGGAAAAGGAATAAATGTTCTAAATATCATCCTCAACCAGTAAAAAACGCCCCCTTTCAAGGTTCAAAAAAATTACAAATAAATAAGCAAAATAATCTAATGTAATTACCATGGAGTGTGGGTATTGAGAGAAATAAAAAATAAAAAAAAGAGAAAGAAAAATAAACGTATAACCAATAGATAATGCTAGTGACCAAATACAAAAATATATTTTCCAATAGGTCCTTGATTATAATAATGAAATATGAAAGGGATTGATTGTTCAACTCTACTCACACACAATGAATCACTCCTCTTTCTGTAACACTGCTGAGCATATCTAAATAGCTAACCTCTGATCTAGGCAGAGATTTGGGGATTCTCAGTTCCCCAAAAACTGCCTTGACAGCAAATGAGGCAATATTTTTGAGCAAAAACTTTAAAAAAAAGTTGGAAGGAAGGGGCTGAAATGATGGGCTTCAGAAGCAAAACTAAATTTTTTTCCCACAACAAACCAGACACTAATAATAAATAAATAAATAAATAACTAAATAAACACAAACATGGCTATCTGTAACCTAAGTACACAATGCATTTAAGAATCAATAAAAGCCAATGTAATCTTAACAAATTATCGTTCAAGGACTTTATACAGATATGAAACGCTCTGAGAATGCAAAATGAGTTGGAGAAAGTATACAAGTAATACATTTATTACTGGCTAAGATTGTCATTGTACTGAAGTGACTAATATGCCATATTAACTACAAACAAGAAGGGACAGCTTACAGTGATTTACAATTATTGTAGCATTGTTTTGAAATTGGCTCAGTTATATTTCGCCAACAAATTACACTGCTCTGAACACTTAAACGGCTGTTACTATAGTAAGTGAAGTGCGGATTACTGGCAAGTATGGGTATGTGTATGTGTGGCTCTTGTTTACACCACATGCGTCCAACGTGACACTTATCAGGTTCGTCTCTGAGCCAAACTACAGACTGGAAATATGGGAGTATAACTGGGGCGTTGGAGAGAGAAACTTTGTATATTGCAAAATAGGCACACAATAAGGGACAGGAGATAACACTACAAGGGCTGTAAAGTTCTGTTGTTGTTGACCTTGTGATTAATGTTGCAATACATTTTCACCTTTGTCAACAGCAGCTATCAGTTAAAAATAACTATTGGATCATGACATACCAATTTAAACATTAAGCTTGTTACATGTAACCGAGGGGTTAGAAATATATGCAGAACTAGGGACCAAGAACAGTTGCATTTTCGATCGTACTGCTCAATGCATTTAACATATTTCAGCTTTGCAGTTTACTTATTCCATGGCCGTGATGATGCTAGGGGCAGAACAGAACTCTCACCCTCTGATTCTCTATGTGGCAAACGGCAAGAGAACAAAGGATCCGTTACACAAAAGCTTTAGGAAACAACTTTGGTAAGAGAGGTTTGGGCATATGGGCTATACTTGTAAATGCAGGCTGCTGTTATGAATAGATATGAATAGGTATTCATAGCGCCACCCTGCATTTAGAAGTATAGCCCAGATTACCAAACCTCTCTTACCAATCGGTTTCCCAAAGCTTTTATCAATTACAATTTAAACGTAAAGGGGGTTTGAGAAACCAAACAAACAGTCATACTTTTCCTCTCTCATTAGTTCATGCTCCCGCAATACCAGGTGTCTGTTTGACACCTTTAACTCTCTTCTTCGCCCTGCTGTGGCCACTCCTCAAACTAACCTTACAGCCGATAGCTTTGCATGCTACTTTACCGACAAGATTGAACAGCCAAGGAAAGAATTCTCCCCACCCTGCCTTTCTCTTTCTCAACCAAACGTAGATACAAAAAAAATATATTGATAATAGTGTTTCTTCTATTTGGATTATATGATCTCTGTATTGGGTGCCACCACCGACTGGTAACTTAATTTACAATAATCTGTATCACTGAGGGTGGTGGGGCATCTCTTTCAAATATTGCTCCACTTCTTGTTTGATTTTACACGTAGATCATGCCTTTTATTGGGCAGACTAGATGGGCCGAATGGTTCTTATCTGCCGTCACATTCTATGTTTCTATGTTTCTTTCCTACCCTTCTGACTTTCTCCCCACCTACTGAACAAGAGGTGGCTGCGCTTTTCCTTTCCTCTCACCCTATCACTTGCCCGCTTGATCCTGTCCCATCTCACCTTATCAGATCTCTCTCCCCTTGTCTTGTGCCTTCCTTAACACTCATCTTCAACTTCTCACTCTCTTTTAGCATTGTCCCTGCTGGCCTTAAACATGTCACTGTAGTACCCATCCTGAAAAAAATCTCTCTCAACCCGTACTCCCCCTCTATCATCCTATATCTCTGCTTCCTTTTTCCTCAAAGCTTCTGGAAAAAGACTTGTCTTGACCAGTATGCCTCACTTCCTCAATTCCAACTCTCTGCTTGACCCTCTTCAATCTGGCTTTCGCCCCCTCCACTCTACTGAGACTGCTCTTATCAAAGTTACTAATGACCTAATCGCAGCTAAATCCAAAGGCCACTACGCCATACTAATTCTTCTTGACCTCTCTGCTGCCTTTGACACCGTTGAGCTTTCTCTACTCCCTCAAACTCTTCAATCACTCTGTCTCTGTGACTCTGTCCTTTCGTGGTTTTCCGCTTATTTCTCCCAGCGCTCATTCAGTGTCTCCTTTTCTAATGATACCTCCTCCCTTCGTCCTGTCTTAGTTGGAGTCCTCCAATGCTTTGTCCTTGGTCCCCTTATATTTTTTCTTTATACTGCCTCTCTTGGCAAACGTATTACCTCATTTAGATTCCACTACCACCTGTACACCGATGACACCCAGATATCTCTCTCCTCTCCGGAACTCTCCCCTGCCGTCCTAAAACGTGTCACTGCTGGACTTTCTTCAGTCTCTGACTGGATGTCTTCCTGCTTTCTGAAACTCAATCTCTCTAAAATTGAGCTCCTTGTCTTTCCTCCTCCTAATACTGATCCTCCTCTTTTGCTCTCCCTTCAAGTGAGTGGTACCCACATCAGTCCATCCTTGCAAGCGCGTCTTGGTGTCATACTTGATTCTGGCCTCACCTTTGAGTCTCACATCCAGTTACCAAGTCCTGTAGATTCCATCATAAAAACACAGCCCGCATCTGCCTCTTTCTTACGCAAGATGCTACTAAGGAGCTTGTCTATGCTCTAGTAATTTCCTGCATGGATTATTGTAACATTGTCCTAACTGGTCTTCCCAAAAACCGTATTGCCCAGCCACAGTCTGTAATGACAGTCCTCTCACACCTCACCCCTCTGTCAGTCCTTACATCTGCTTTCTGTATCATACAGGAGTCAATTCAAAGTGCTAACCCATACCTATAAAGCATTGACCAATTCTAGCCCCTATTATATCTCTTCACAGATCTGTAGGTATGCCCCTTTTCCATCTCTCCACTCTGCCTGTGACTTTCTCCTGTCCGCTGCTTGCACATGTACAGCCAAATCGCACTTGCAGGACTTCTTGTGGGTGGCTCCCCTCCTGTGGAATAGCCTGCCTTTCTCCATCAGACTCTCCCCTAGTCTTCAATCATTTAAGAAGTGCCTTAAAACTCATCATTTTAGGAAACTTATGGCCTTCCAGAGTAACCTCTACCTCACATACCTGTCTCCTGCTGTCTCCTAAAGGAAGGCACTCTACTCACTCCTCCAGGTCTGATTCACTCCCATCTTATTTGATTGCTATTTCTGGTCCTATTGTGTTTTAAACCCCACCTCCTATAGACTGTAAGCTCGTTTGAGCAGGGTCCTCAACTACCTATCGTTCCTGTAAGTTTTCTTGTGATTGTCCTATTTATAGTTAAATCCCCCCTCTTATAATATTGTAAAGCACTACGGAATCTGTTGGCACTATATAAATGACAATAATAATAATAAATTAAAGCCATTAACTGTGTCAAGGTTAAAGAGTTATTCTTACTTTTTAAACCAGTGAATTAGTAAATGGTGATCTGTATCGGTAAGCGTAGCGATCTGCCTGAGTAAATGAGCATAAATAACATAGGTTGTCGTACTGCTGAATTGTGGATTCTAAGAAAGGAAAAAAAGCTGAATTAATATAAATGTATATATTTTGTAAATAAAATATATATAATTGCATGATCTGTTAGCTTTATTAAATGTGTAAGTGTGACGTATGTATAGCATAATAAATCACTATTAGCCACATCTCCGCAAGATATTAATCATACAGCCTCTCTACATACTTCCTGAAAAGATATATCAAGGTTGTACCAGAGTGTTTACTTTAGGAATTGCAATGGTGTTCTTTTTATTTCTCTGCTTTAAAGGAAGTGTTCACAACTGTTAATTGCCAGTTCATGCTAACAGCATGTCCACTGCCAGCAGCCTCCTGTGTGAGAAAAGTATCTCACAAGAAAATTGAAGAATTAATTCAATTGCAGTAGATAGAAAGAAGGATTCTTTAGGGCCTGTAGGCCTCATCTGGACAGCTAAGAAAATATAGGAATAGGCAGTTGGGAAGGGAATTTTGAAGGACTAATATGTATATTCTTGTTAAAGGAATTGTTCAAATTAAAAATATGCATTTTGTAACCTATATATTCCTTTTAATAAGTTAATTTAACTGGGCACTGATTACAAACTACAACAAATAAAGGGGAGTATGTATTTTTAAAAAAAAATGTCTATTGGAAAAAATTATGCAGACATGGAAATGGCACCAATGCAAAGTGCCTAATATGTCCATTAGTCTCCATGGTGACTGTACCACTTTTAATACTTTAGACCACTTTTCAAAACATGCATAACCCCAAAATGTATGTATTTATATTTGTTTTATTTTTTTGTTGCAATGCTTTATGCTGTGGTATGTTATGAGACTGTATTGGTATGTTGCTGTAATGTTTTTTTTTTCATGTTCCATGTGCAAACCATATCGTGATTTCTATCTGGTAAATGGAGAATTCACCCCCTTTCGGAGTGCATACCTTGCACTTCAGCAGTCAAATGCCCTTTTCTTCAGTATGAGGGAAAATTAGAGCAAAACGGTCTTTTTATATATCATTGTAATCATGTATTAAAAATGCAAAACAGTTAAAAGTACATAAGAGAAAGTAAAGCCATCTCAGGGTTCAGAAAATAGCAATATTCAGCATTTATGATGTGTAGAGAACCCCACAATAACCATTAATACCAAGTTCACATTATGCATTTTATAAAGTAATGAAATAATAGACAATTTTCTTCAAACATATATTCAGGTTAGCAGACAAAAACCAAACCCACAAATTGTGTTACCTGTGTTAAGATAAAGTAGGCTCTGAGGTCATCTTTTGTTCTGGGTCTAGATAAAAGACAGTTAGAAAATAAATATATTTAATAATATATAATCCACCTATTGAGTTGAGTCAGCTTAACATGTTATATATGAAGATTTTACATTTAAATTTTACAGGGATTAATTGAGCTGGGTGACCTGTAAGCTCACATGGTTATTACGTATATCATGAACAGTGGAGAACGGACATGGAAATTGCACATTTTAGGCCATAATAAAGTGTGTGTTGGGAGGAGGGAGGAAAAGATGCCCCCTTTTCCCAGTTCAGCTGTTCTGGCTTTATTTAGCAAATCTCACCTGAATTCTTTAAACTTTCTGGGCTACTGAATACCCTTGTTAACATTTTGGAAACCTAATGGACATTCATCACATGAGTATTAGGAGAAGAGGGGAAAACATTAATGCTTCCCTTTTACAAACAGACATATATCCAAAACACAACTATGTGTTTGACTGCAATCACAAAATACTATAACAGATTTATTTTCTTGCATAAAAATATAGTAAAAAAGTAACTTTGCTTCACCGTGTTGATGAGCTGATAGATCACCTGCAGTCAAACTCTCACAGTAAGTTTTGTCATTTATTAAGGTTGGCAAAGCACCACAGGAGATGTAGTTCTGGGGTCTACCTTTTGGCCTCCGAAGTTAAACTAAAGTAATGTCACAAACCAAATAATCATGAAAACAGTTTACATGTTGTGTTCATTTTTTAATTTTACAATAGACGGCAACAACGAAAGTTGAGTGGTTTAGACGTTTATAAATGTCTCCAGAACATCAAGTTAGCATTATTTCCCCCTTATAGAAGCTTAACCATTTTGTATATTTTATATTACACAAATCAATCCTTTTAATTAAATAATACTACACTTACCCTTTCCATTCTCTTAAGAGACTGTTAATAATTCCTTTAAGTACGGTTTTTTGGATATCTTGAGCCTGAAACAAAACAAAACTATGTAAACAATTGGCTTGATTGGCTTGAAGAAAAAACATGTCAGCAGACTGCTTGTTTTTCCTGAGTCTAACAGCATGCATATTTACAGCTTCTGGCTTGAATACAGTAATAATTTTACTATATTTATGGAGGTATGAGGGGCCCAGGGGGGGCTAGATGGTCGTATTAACACTATAGGGTCAGTAATACATGTAGTTGCACTGGTGACTATAGTGTCCCTTTAATTTAAATGGATTTCCTAGTATTTATTTATTTTTTAAAGTTGGTTTGGCACATTTTACACCCCGGTAGAGTGCTTACTCAAAAGCAGTGATTATTGATTATTAAGTACCCTACGGTAGTGTAAAATGTCTCATATCATAATATATGACTTCAAATATGGATTAATAAATATGGATTTTAACTTAGAGGGTAATCGGATGTTTGTTTTGGCTTTGAGACTATGCCTGTCCTTATCAAGTTACTGGTGTATCTCAACTGAACTAAAGAGCAGTGGATTCTATGCATATTCAAATTCTCTGCTGATGCTCAAAGGCTGAGAAACATCTCTTTTACTGGCGCTACTGCTCATAAGACATGTCCAAATATATGAATAAAATGTTAGTCTGATTTATCTGATGTGGAGAAACAAATTTTCTTACATATGTCAATTTGGATTGTTTGAATAGTGATAGAATGATTTGTTTCACAAAACCAATTCAGACAAACTGTTTTACTACACAAACACATTGTATTAGTAAATGCAATAAAATGTAACATTAAAAGAAAATATGCATTAGCAACTAGCAAGTGCCATCAATGGATCAAATCAAACCCCAATTTTGAGAAACACGGGCAACGTGGTTTATTTGTTAAAATATGGATTGTAGTTTTCTGGTTTCAAGTCAAGAATGTTAACTATAACACCCTACTTGAATTTGCAATTTACTAAATAAACTCCCTTGTGCATGTTGCTCCAACTCTGTGTCTCTTTGTTTGCAAATGCAATAGATTTGATGCATGGCAATCTGTTAAAGGATCACTCCAAGCACCAAGTAGTGGTTCTAGTGCCAGGAGTGTCCTGGCGGCTCCCACAATTTGACTTCTTATCTGATGCCAATCGCCATTCTCAATCTCCGCTACAATCACATGGAGCCATAAAAGTATCTTAACCCCTTAAGGACACATGACATGTGTCACATGTCATGATTCCCTTTTATTCCAGAAGTTTGGTCCTTAAGGGGTTAAACAATGTAATCAGAATCTTCCAGTTCGCTAAGCATAGTAGTGGAGGCGCGGAGTGTTCGCTCATCAGATTTTATGAAGTCAAACCGTTTAACTCCATCTGATGGGTGGGCACCAGGGCACTCCTGGTATATAGTTATGGTACTTGGAGTATTCCTTAAATGCTTTATGTAGTGCCTGCCTAGTCTTTCATATTAAATACTATATAGAAATTGTATCAGCTGTCTATCCTTTTAATTGTGCTGGTGTAACTATATATATATATATGTGACATTTCTATTGTTTCTACAACACATTAAACAGGTGAGTAATGCATATTAATGTACCTTATTTAAAATATAGAGAAGAATACAGATTCACATATATGCAATACAGCACCATTGTTTTTTTTATAAAATACACTTACAGTGTTTAATAAAGCATCATAAACAGCATTCAGAAATTTCGTATTGATTCTGGAATCTTCAATGGTGTTAACAGAAGCATTTACATCTCTCTGTGAATATCAATAGACAAGTAGGAAATAATGAGTTCACACAACAAGACGTATGAAAATGTAACTGAGCTTGTACGCTCTCCTATGCAGATACCGCACATTACAGTTAATACACATATAATATTATCAGAATTTATACAGAGCCAACATATTTTGCGGTGTTCTACAATAATACATTTGAAATATAAAGTATTGGTAAAAACCTTCTTTATGATGGCTTTACTACTGTTACACTCTATCATTAAACACATATATATATATATATATATATGTTTTAAATGAAAACTCCAGCGTTGGAAAGGAATGCATTTCTTTCTAACTTTGGAAGGTTCCTGTTTATCTTTGGAGTACTGGGCAACCCTCCAGACTCCTTAAATGATATAAAATAAAAAGTTAGATCACCACTAATGATGATGTCCTGGCTAATCCAAATTCTCTCAAGGAGCAGATATTGGAGGCAGGGTTCCACAATGTTCCAGCAAGTCTTCTCAAAGTAATGCTTCTCTGAGTGCTCAAGGCGAATGATGAAGGGAAGCCTCCTAGATGCAAAATGAGGATGGGAACTATGCTGGCTGTCAGGTGATAGTTGGGAGATTCCTCCTCTTCTGAGACCATCCTGATTTATAATCTCTGGTGCAAACCAATGCTTCTCATACAGAAGCACTTTGGACCTACTCGGCCAACAAGAGTCTTCTCACAGAAAAGCAATAATTTCAATGCTACTTTATTAGATGCATTCAAAGCATTTGATAACAATGAAAATGGAGAATTTCCATTATTGTAAGTCTTCACTGACTGATTCATTTAAACATGACAATTTCTGAGAAATACCAATGCTTATATGTCAGACTGCATGCACCGGGTTTTTAGGCACCAAAATCACTACTATTATTAGATGTAATGGTTAAGCACGTAGAGTGTCCCATTCTAAGTAAACATGTCATCCGCAAATTGTGTTGGAAGTTAAAAGTTCACATTCAATGTTAGATATATAAAGTCTGCACATGTTGAAATGTAGTTCAGCACTGTTCCACACGTACCAAACTGTGAATAACACTGCTGCTCAAGCTGTTAAAAGTCATCCTGAACTTACAGATAAGCTCCATTAATGGAACTATAGATATGACCACTCACTAAAGGGTGTAAAATACTCCGGGAGGTGAACTTGTATCGTGTATACCCACCATGCAGTTACATGCTATACAAGTACTTGTATGGCTAGGAGGAAGCATATATAGAAAGGATTAATCCTCATATTCTGATAAATTAAGTCATTTTGTATCCCAGTATTCTATATTTTAAGTAATCTGTAAAACGCCAGAAAAGTTACAGATTAAAAGACATATTTACCTTTTGTGTACATGCAATTCATCTACGACAGCAGAAAGATGAATATAGATTGATGCAGAAATAGTTTGATTTTGGTTGCTCAGAAGACAAGGTATGTATTTAAAAAGAACTACATACCACAATTTTTTAGCTATTCAATTGAACATTTTAACATATCTAAAAATAAAAATAATTATTCATTGCTCTCCATAGGATGTTTTAGAATACTACCTTAAAAGCAGTGTTTAACTCCACGAATGAATCAAACGTCGTTAAATAAAAATCATGCACGGCTTTCCATTCTCCTGTTGATTTTGCTTTATCCAAATCTGTCCTACAAAGAGAACAAAAATAAAGAATGAAGAAATTGTGTGCAGCCAATGAATATTCACACCACACTGCACGCCTAATCAAGCTTTAAAGTGAGTGCTGCTTTCATGATCAGTAATTTCAGAGGGTTTGCTTATAACTATGCATGCTTTTTGGCAGCACTCACTTAAATCAGAACAAACCTATAACTTCGCAATACAGCTAGATGTTTGTATATTAAATACATTTATTTCACAACCCGAGCAAGTTCTGCAAAAAAGGTTACTCTGTTTGCTTAATCATGATGCTGTTTTGACACAACCAGAGCTTCTATCTTCTAAAAGGATGTCCTACAAAATTAGGGGCTGTCCCCTTTGTGGGTCTTTGCATGTTATGCAAAGACATCAGAAGGTAACATTTATAGTCGGTTGACTGTGGCACGGAAGCACCACTAAAGGAAGTTATACTTAAATGAGCGGACCACCTGTGGACACCACCCGTGGGATCCTCCATAGCATAACTCTCATTGTAAGTGAGACGTAGCCCTTTTTTGTCATAGCTGTATCGAGTCATGGCTGTTGCAAGTGACAAACGTGGATTGTGAAAGTTATCAGTGTCATATTCTATTTTATCATTTTTAGAGTTATATCTGATTATGCCTGTATCATTATCTCTGTCCATGTTAAATAAGGGTTATTAAAACAATAAAAATAAAAAGGGATATTATAGGGACCCAGATTACTTAATGAAGTGGTCTGGGTGCCATGTTACCCCCGTTTTAGCCCTGAAGCTAAAAACATTGATGCTCTATAGGAACACCAGTGTTTGCTTTGCATAACCTGCCTCGTGTGGATATCATACTACCTTTGGAAGAGCACTGGATTGGCTGAGATCATCAATGGGTGGGGCCAAATACCAGCTTGGCCAATCGGCATTTCCTCATAGAGAAGCACTGAATCAACGCATTTCTATGGGGAGCCTTCAGCAAAAAGGCTGACTATACTCACCGGAACAACTACATTAAGCTGTTGTTCTGGTGGCTACAGTGCCCCTTTAAGAACCACTTTCATAGACTATCATTGTTTTTCCATTACATTAACCTCCAACAAACAGCCACTGCGACTGCTGACCCTTTGCCTAACTGGATTCTATTTATAGATCGTCCTTTCTTGTGCTTCTGATTAGTTAATAAGTCAAGAACCAGCAGGTACAGAGGTAAAACTTCAATGTCTGGCTGTCCTATTCTCCTCTTTATGGACCTGAATACGAATTCTGTTCCTAAGTTGTTGGGTTTTTTTTGTTTCCTCTGCATACTTTGTTCTTGTATAACGTGTCTAGATGTTTATGGAGGAAATCGTACAAAATTAAATTTGTAAAGAAAATCCAGACTCATCTAAATGAATGTTATAACATGAGTTATGTAATACTTTCTTAATACTTTTGCATAACTCTGGAGAGTGTACTTCAAAAACATCTGTGACTATACAGATTAGAGTAGAGTAATGCAACTGTTTGCTCATCTGCAGCACATCATAGGTGGATACAGTGTGTCATCAAAAGCAATACAATTTAATGTCAATACGTAATGCTACTTAATATCAATACTTAATGCAGTGCGGACTATTGACATTTCAAAAATATAAACCCCAAGGTATTTAAATTATACCATTTCTGCACACAAGTAAAAAATGATAGTGATTACCAGGTACAAACGTTACGGTACGGCTGGTTTTATGAACATTAAAATGCTGATAAGAGCGTCTGGGGAAAAATACAGAAAACTTTAAAACCATTCAAGTTTTTGGTTTTTTATTTATTTATTTTTTAAGTCCAGCTTGTTTATGCCAATATTCACAAAATATTAAACTATACAAGGCCTGCTGTTGGACGTATGAACAATATTGCCATTGAACCCATTCAATGGCAATGATGTGTACTGTATACATGTTTGGACACACTGCAGAGAAAGTTTCTTTATTGCAAAAGATTTTCAAAATATGCACATACTACACAAAACAGGTCACTCATCAGCATTCGGTGCTGCAGCAAGATACCCAGGCAATATTTCCAGCACCTGTTTGAGTGTGTCACTCACAAAATATGGATGCAACAAGATCCCAAAAGCAGATTACAGATTTCTTCTAAACAAAGATCTTTATAGATACATTTTATCATTACCAACTCGATGAAGTTATTATAAATATATATTATAAAAGTCCACATTATCCCAGCATAGACTAACTCCACACTTTGAGAATTTATGTACATGTACTAGACATAGGTCACAAACACTTAGTATCTTGCTTTTTAAGGATCACCAGATATGTTTTGAAGCTAATGCCGATGCAGATTATTGGTCCCCTTTTGGGACAATTTGCCGATAACCAGTTCTGTACACCTAAAGGAACACTCCACACTCAAAATAAATAAAAAGTATCATTTAGTAGAAATAACCCAAATAAAAACTTGCTTGCATTTAATTATGCATTTTCCATTGGGGGTATGTATAAAACCAACTTAAAAAACTGCAGTTCTCGTCTGAATCCTTTGCAAGCCCTCCCAATCTATCCCTGCCAACTCTCTGTGACTGTCAAATCAAAAAAAGTGCTTTAGGGGTCTGTAAAGGTTTTTGGAAAAAGTAACACAATTTTTACACAAATCTGGCGTTGACTGAACATGTTGACAGTAATCACACTCCTATAATTCTCAGGCAGCCAGTACATGCATGGATCCATGAAATACCAGCATGTACAGTGCTGTTACTAAAGGAATATGATTGCGGGCAGAATTCACACTCCTATCAATTTGTCAGCCAGCCCAGTACAGTAATTATGAACTGTTCAGCTCCCAGCATTTAGCCGAGCTGTGCATGCAGTAACTCACAGGGAGGAGTAATGTGAAGTTGTGACATAGCACCTCATTGGTTGGTGGCCGGAGTTCCCAGATGCAGAGGACAGCATGCAGTGATTGGGAGAGGTGACAAAGTTATCGGTAATATCGGTAAATAAGACTCAGACAGATTACTAGAAATATGCCAAAAAGCTCAAATAATTGGCAGAACCGATTACTGGTCTATCCCTAATGCTTATATTAAAAACCATAAAAAATGCAATCAGCTAGTCTGGGCCCTTAACCTGCATTTATACACTAAATTACAAATCAACTGTAATATACAATTGCTTCCCTTCCAATGACATTCATTTCTAATGCTTATTCACCATAGCACGGCCGGTAACTAGGTACCAAGAAGTAAATTGTATTTGTAAAAAAATAAAATAATTTAAATAGTAAATTAAAAGGCATTCTAGACGTGCCAGGAATACAAAACTGTATTCCTGGCACTATAGCTCCCACTTGACACAAAAATGGAGACTCCTCTAGCACCCAAACCTGGCTCATCTGCACCCATCTGGCTAACAGAGACATGTCACTTCTGCTATATGTGGGGGAGGGGATAAATATTGTTGTAAAATTTCATATTAGGTGTATTATATGGCTGTGTTATATTTTATTTTAAATTACAAAATAGTTTTACTCTTGCATCCTACAATCTCTTCTAGGTGGTACTGTACAAACAAAAGTGGCCACTAGATGGGAGTCTTGTACAGTTTTGTGCTTTCAGGTGATCATATGAGACAAGAATTAGACCATGCAGTTTTCAAGTATTCTAGAGATATCGATGTATTGCAATTCTGAATATTTGCTATGGCTTCTACTTTAAAGCAGAACTGTATATGTAAAGTGTAAACAACATGCAAGATTGATTTCCAAACAAATCAATTGAGGTATATAATTTACTTAAAGGGGTAATCCAGTCAGTTAAAAAAAAATATATATATAGTGTTGTTATTCACACTTAACTTATTTTGTACTTGTTCATAAAATGTTATAATGTATTAAAACGTACGATTTCTAAAATGCACACCCAAATCATGAGCAATGTGTTATACCAAACAAAGAAACGCCAGTCACCCACACAAATTAGGTGCAATGTGTAAGTTATGTTACAATTAGTTGTGCACAGTGGTTGCTACTCTTTCATTTTCCTCCGAAACTACGATGTTTCCACTTTGCTAAAAAATAGTTGAAATTCGCAGTTTTCTTTCTACACAAGAAAAATGGCAATTGAACTACAAGTCCCATTAACCCTTACAGGGCACATAAAGCACTGCTTATGGGAAAGTTCAACTGTGCTGTAGAAAAATAGACATGTCTGATTGGCGGAGTCATTATCTAGTTTAATATGCTGCAAACTCTGCACATCCTAGGGTTTTGCAGCAAATGCAGGATCTTCCAACCTCGAGTACCTGCTTACTAGGTCAAATAGCTTGCTTCAATAAAGGGACATGCATCACTTTAAGACAACAGTCTCCTTGAAAAGCTTTAGATTTGAAGGAGGCAGTTGCCTTACTCTGCTCTGGTGTCTGGTTTCGCTCACCTGCTTCTGGAAATTGATGCCCTGTTTTCTGTCATTAGTGGACGGGTCTGAAACGGATTTAGGTACTGGGGGGAAGGCTGAAAACTCCTCTAGCTGAGAGGCATGTCCAACAATGTAGTCTAACTTTACAGTGGGTTTATAAAACATCTATTACATACTTCTCAAAGTTTGCATTGTCTTCATTTTGGTTTGTATATTTGTTCAAAAGTGTTTGCTTGCTGGGTTAAAAAAAATAATTATTGTCAAGTGATGCATGTCCCTTTAATGCTTCCAGTTCTTCACCATTCACACACCTTGGCCCTCCGAACACCCAATCAAAATATTTCTTGGAAGATTCTCCCATTGCTTGCACATATTATGTGATGCATGCAACATAGGTCTTTGCAAAACTAGTGCCTGGCCACTTGTCATATGCTGTTAGACAGTTACCAAAACCTCTTTCTAGACTACTACACATACTGTTCACTTTAAACTAGCCAACTTTCAAGTTATTTCAAACCTCTATAAAGGTTTCTGCATTACTACAGCTTTTCTTAATAAATTATTCGAAGAAAAAAAAAGTCTACAAAACAGTAATTTTCATAATTTTTGTTATTTGCGTGAGTTTGAATAAATTCAAGACAGTTGGCTATTATTCCAGAATATCCGTACTGCATATTAATTTTGCCAAACACCACAATTTGTTCCCCAAGACATTATTTGCAACGTGCACATACTCACACAGAGAAAAATACAGTAGCTGTCCTTTCATACTGGAGTCGTGTATGGCATTGAACCACACTGCAATTGTCTGCAATTAGGCCCCTAATGTCCGATGTATTGAATTGCAATTTTAAAGGTTTTAGAAAAATAACCCCTAAGGGTATAATGTTCTTCTCGTGAATTTCTACTTTCCATCTTAAAAAGTATGATGATACCTTTGGTGGAAGAAACAGGAATGAGTACAGTTTAGTAGCTAGGTGATTATCATAAATGACAGAGCCATTACATTTCTAAAAGGCTTATTAGAAACGTGAAAATGTTATTTGAATTTGTGGTTCAGTCTACTTTAGAGTAACCTAACGTGGCTCTAAGTCAACAAATAACATGAGGTCACACATTGAATGACTTCAGTCTGTGTCCTTAAATTGGCAGCAAAACACCAATAACGTATAGTTTTTTTATGACACCATTAACTCCTGTGGATACAGGCATGTCAGGTTCGTGGGCTTGGTCAGTTCTTGACCAGTAAGTGATGGAATGTTGTGGGTGCTGAAGACACTGGCAGTGGAACAAGAGCTTTGAAACGTGGTACTTTTTTCAACATAATAGTGGTGACAGTAATATCTGGCATGGCATTAATAAGGTGTTTAACTCAAAACACGTAACAAATTTGCATCAAAAGAGGTATACCGATAAGTGAGGTTTGTATGCTCTATAATGCACAAATTGTAATACGGAGTAAACTCATCCCTGGAGTTGCACCACAAAAGAACCATCCTAGAACCTTTAATCCCTTAAGGACCAAACTTCTGTAATAAAAGGGAATTATGACATGTCACACATGTCATGTGTCCTTAAGGGGTTAAAGGTGTTGGTTTGTTTGTCTATTAACCCCTTTTAAAGTTTGCTGTGTGTTTTGTCACAATATTGTAAAGCGCTACGGAATTTGTTGGCGCTATATAATTGATCTCTCTAGAAAACTGATCTCTGAATTGGGCAGGTAAAAAAAGTAAATAATTTTTAAAATATCAGGTTAGATTTACTAATGACACATTAATAGAACAAGGTATCTAAGCAACCCTGTCCCAATATTGTGCCTTCCTGCACTTTATTAGACCTGACCAAAAGGCAGGTATTACGTATGTGCTAAACTGAAATTTTCTCAAGTATCAAGACATTTAAGGTTCAGAATGATAGGTTCTACACGTGCAGTAAGGTGCAATAAACGTCATTTACAAAATAGCTATGTTAGATAGATTTTTGGATTGAATGGTTTAATCCCACACTGACCTGATATGCGATTATTCTTAGATTTTCGCTAAAGGATTACCACGTCAGATATTCCTAAAAATAACCTTGGGCCCGAATAAGAAACTAAACCCAGCTGGGTCCTTTTCATGGATCCTGCCAAGGTGATAACTTATCAGTTGCTTGGCTTGGAGGAAATTCAAAGTCAACTGATCATGTAGAGTTAATGGAGAAAAACATGGGAGGAATTTAGAAAAAGTGAGTGATTCCAAATATAGTTCACAAGCCTAATCTGGATCTCAGGAAAGAGTCTGCAAGTGTAATTAGGTGGACAACATAATATCACCAAAAATATTAAGAATCAGTAAATTAGAAAGAAAGAAAGAAAAAACACCCCTAGCAAAACGTAGTGCAAGACTTTATTTTTTTATTTTATTTTTTATATGATGTATGAATGAAGTTCGGGTTAAATAGACTCAGAAACCCAAAAATGACATCACTGCAAGAGGTGAGTAAACTGGTAAAGTGTGCACTGCAATCACACATCAATAAATAGAAACACATGTCTCTGAATAAGCAGACCACAAGTATTCAAAAATACTAAAATGCTGGGCAGCTAACTGGGTCAGCTGAGAGGCCTATCTTACATAACCCAGATTTAAATTGATTAAAAATAAGAGAATCTACAAATTCCCACTGATATAGTAAAAACATTTTAAAAATTCTGAACCCACGTTTTTTTTATTTTTTTTATTTTTTTTTATGTTATTGGACGGTTGTGCTAAGAAATTGTAATTATGTATTTGTGTAGAAACATAATTTCTATTTAAATGGAAAATGGAGATATCAAAACGGTCAAAAAAATAAGACAAATTGATATCAGGAGCATAAGTAACAGAGTGCAGCAAGTGATTGCAAGTACCGCAAAGGGATAATGCGTCTCAAGAGTCTAGGCTTATATTGTTCAATAGACATAAGTTAAACAGCAAATCAGAATAAAAGTAGTATGCCCAGCAGAGGGCAGTGTAACATGCTCTGCTGACAGAATGAGAAGACAGTGACGGAACATACTGCTGCCCGAGGCTCGAGTGGCAGAGTGAGTAGACTTTACTCATGCATTGGAATGTGACAAAGGTAGTATTCTGTGGTATTGAATTTTAAAACTTAATAACAATTACATCGAAGTAGATTTCTCATTTTATCTCATTTTTATGTAGAAGACTTGAGAATTGTACCACAATATTAAAAGCTTCAATACAGTACCAGGTATCACTGTTCACTCCTGCTCAACAAAATGGAAATCCACATTCATGGAAAATTCAATGCGCGCACAGCTCTGACTTGGCCTGGGGGTGGAGAGTTCCCCAGCACAGAGGGAGCCCGGCGCTGGAGAAAGGTAAGTGGCTGAAGGGGTTTTAACCCCTTCTGCCCAGCGGGAAGGGGGTGACCTAATGACACTATAGTGTCAGGAAAACAAGTTGTTTTCCTGGCACTATAGTGCTCCTTTAAGTAAATCTGTGCACAAGTATAGTGAAGTGTAATTGCAGGTCTAAGATCATTCAATTCACAATTAAAATAAATGTATATATACTAAAAAACCATCCAAACAAACAGAACACTGATCATCGTACAACTTAAAGTGAACATGTGATAGGTATACATTGCTGGTGATAGCCCTTAACATGAACTTAATATATAAATAAGTTATGTATACACCCTCTCTAGTGTTCATGTGAGCATCAAGATATCACGTTTGTTGGTGTTACGCTAGTTTAAAAAAAAACAACAACTGCCTGTCTCCTCTTATTGCAAAGGCTTCCTAAAGCTCTTCCATATGTCCCAAACACTATAGCTTCATTGGCATTGTATCAGTGTCTGTCACTCTATTAATTATAATTCTATGGCCATCTAAAGGGACCCAGTTAAGTTGTAAAACTATACAAAAATGTTTTACTTGCCATGAAGGGCACTAATGGTACCATAACTACAACAGCAGGCTTTGGTAGTTATGGTGTTTTTTAAATCAGAAGCCAAGTGGCGACCTCTATTAACTTGAAAATAAAATTTAACTCACTGGAAGTCTTTTAGCGTTCGGCCACGTATAGGATTCGTCGGTTCAGGAAGGATGGCAGCTTTCATCTCAGGTGGCAACGTATCAATCGAGATGCGCTGTTTTTGTCGGACATCAAGGCAAATTGGTGGAAGGTCTCTTACTTTGAAGCAAAAACATGAGAATATTTGACATTAAGTTACATTTATTTATAAATATTATTAGACAAAATCACAGCAAATAGTATACACGCACACAAAATTTTGATTAAAAACACCTAATCTAGGCTAAAAAAATATAATGGGGGTTTAGTTACAGTATATGATCATACATTGCATAAGCCTGCCACAAAAAAATACAAAAGAAACAAAACCGGAAAAGTGGGGTTTTTGGTCAAACTAAATTAAGATTTAGGGATTAAACATTTTAGACGAAATGCATTCTGCCTCTACTTTTCATTCTTATCAAGCAGAGCACTTGTCTTGCACCTTAACTTGACATCTCCATTGCAGAACAGGGATTGGCCATGTTGTATTCTAGAATAGGCATCTTTGGAAACAACATCTTGCAAAGTAACTTATAAACAAGACAAGTCGTTATTCCAGATAACGTATTATGTGTATGAGTATTATTGCTTATAATGATCAGAATAGTTCAAAAAGAGACTTCAACTTCCAGACCAGAACAGACACCATGATTAGGAGACCCACAAGGTCGAACCTGCAGTCCATGGCTGGTTTCTGGTTACTGGTTCTTTTGGATCATAACCAATGCTATGGTTTAAAAAGTGGTGTTTAAAAAGGAATCCATTGCTAAGGATACCTGTAAAAATTCAGCATGAAGTCTAAAACACAATGCCTCTCTGTGCTCATTTGCATATCAACCTAGGAACTCTGGGAAACTGCAATTTTTTCATGTTTTGGGGCCCAAGGAGTACTTTCCAAAGTCCAACTTGAGATATGCAGGTGAAGCACAACAAAAGGTCTTCAGAATAGTTCAAACTTCTGTTTTGTATATCATCCTTTAGCAACATGCTTTATAACTGTGTGACTATAATCAACATTTTAAATTGCGAAGGATGGATCCGTCTGGCATCTACAGCAATAAAACACGTAATATCATATCTAGGAACAGTACCCACTACACATTTGTTTTGGTTTGCGTAACATTATGAAGGCAGATGGCCCAGACGTGTTTTAAGAGCTAGAATTACTCTGGTGGCCTGAGTGGGAGATAAGGATGGCGGTGTAGCCCAATTTGCGTGTGCTGAATTTGTCAATGAGGAAAGCAATGCATTTGGGACACCGTCAGCTGCTGAGCGTATAAAATGAATCACACCAGCCCACACACAAACAGCCATCAGTAGCATTGATTTTAGAAAAACGTTCATCTGTTTTCACAGCTAGAAATTGGAAAGGCATCACAGGGATTCAGGTTTAACAAAAAACCTGAAGAAAAGGTGCTCTAGAGTAAACACAGTTTTATTAGAATTTTAACTTGCTGCTGCTTTCTGGGAAATGCAAGCTGTAACAAAGACAAATGTATCGAATCTGATAAATATGAATACTCCATTAAAAAGGAAAAAAAAATAGAATTATTTACTAAACAGTGAACTGCAATGACCTGAAAACAGAATTGCCAAAATTTAGCCCAAATAAGGGCATTGGAAAATCCCTCCAACATTTTGTTCAGTGACTGGAGAAGGATGGGCAGCAAATTTATTTTGGCAGTTGCCTACGGCCTGATTAATATGATGGGCCTGTTCTAAACAGCGGAGGCCCAATAAAACAGCAAGAGGACCTAATTTTAGGTTCCATCACATGTTAAGAGCCACTAGTTCAGTGAATCAAAACTCGGGTTTAGAAAGATTTTTAAATCTGTATTTAGCAGACTTTCATAACAGTATTAATCTAAGAAGTAACAACAGCAGCTATACTTTAATTTCACGTAAAATGCTTGATAAACTACATATTTCAGAATCAATTCATTTAAGATAACTGAACACTGAGAAAGGAACATTTTAGGCCAAATTGGCTGAAATGGCCTATAAATATCAATTAACCTATCAATTAAATACAATTACTGAACTGCAATGCAATGCATTAAAACAGGTAGCTTGGGCAATTCTTATAAGAATGTGACACCCAGATATTAAGTGTAGCCACCAGGAATGCCAGCCACCATTTCCTTTATAAATATAAAAGTGTCACGACAGTGACCAATGTCACAACAGTGACCCCTTCACACAGCGTGAAACCCACAGAAAGATGGTTACCGGACCTTAGAATGGCCGGACTAGCGTCTGAGAATAGTCAAAGGAATAGCCAGAGGTCAAGGGAATACGGAAGACGGGCACACGATTATCCAAGCCAAGTAACGGGAAACCAGAACACAGAATAGTCAGAGAGATAGCAAAGGGTCAATTACCAAGAAGGACAAACAGATAAGATAGCACCAGGGGACTTTAAACAAGAACCACACTAGGGCATCTGACAAGTGTCATGATAGCCCTTTTATAGTGGGTTCTTTGGCTTTAATTTTGTAGCCACGCCCCCAAAAAGTCCGGGAGCGTGGCCACGTTTGAATTTTGGCAGCATTTTCTGACGTTGGCGCGCATGCGCCGTGTCATAAATGTGGGCGTGTTCCGAGCGGCCGGCGTCAGAAGAACTGAGCCGCCCCCTGGAAGTATCGGAGGAGGACCCGGCGCTGCGCGGGACCGGCGGGGAACGGTAAGCGCTCATTACAAAAAGGGCCAGTTATGGCAAACATAAAATAACCAACTCTAAACTGTGGCTTTAATTTGTATAGGAATAGAAAAGTTGGAATGTGAATCCACTAAATCCAGAGATGTGCTGAATGGATTCTTCAATGTTCACTTATTAAAAAGAAATAGACCGCTTTCAACTGTTGAAGTAACTAAAGTTAAAGCTGTTGCAGCTCTATTGGCCTCCTCAGACAAACTTAATACGACACATGCTAATATCCTTTTATCACTAGTAATGCCATACTGATACAGTATTAGGAGTTTAACAATTCACAGAAACAATAAACACACAATAGATCAGTCCTTTCTCAAGATGGTAAGAGACTTTATTCAGTCAAAAGTCTAGCTTGCCAACTTTCCAACCTAAAAAAGGGTCTTTGCTAAGTCTTTTCAAAGTCATCTTCAAGCAGGACATACATAAAAAGGAGAGAAATCTCAATGTATCCTTCCTGGTAAAATACTTTATAGTATTATTGTAAAGCTCTCTGTGGAGATTGATGTATTTATTTATAGTCACCAGAACAACTACAGCTTATTGTTCTTGTGAGTTTAAACAGTCCCTTCAGGCCTTTTGCTGTAAACACGTATTTTTTCGAAGAAAATGCAGTGTTTACATTACAGCCTATGGGCAGCTCTAGAGGTCAATTCCTGGGGCAGTGCTACACACTGTGCAGTACGAACATTCATTGTCTCAACCCTCTGCATGGAGACACTGAACTTTCATCATAGAATTGCAATGATACAATGCATCTCTATGAAGAGATGCTTATTGACCAGGGCTGTGTTTGGTTTGTGCTGGCTCTGCCCCCGATCTGCCTTCTTGACAGTCTCAGCCAATCCATTGCTTTCAATGGGATAGCATTGTGATTGGCTTAGAGTATCACTTCTGACGATGTCAGCCAAGAAGACAGATCAGGGTCAGAGTCAGCAGCGGCAGGCTGGAATAGAGATACAATTTTACTATATTTAGGGGGAAAAGGGGAGGGGGGAGGCTAGATGGTGTTTTTAACACTATAGGGATTGGAATACATACATACAATACTCAGCGCAATGTAATAGAATAAGCAATGGTCCAGGTACTCAAGGTGAAACCAAAGTTGGCAGTTTTATTGGAGCAACAAACCGCAACGTTTCGACCCAGGTTCAGGTAAGTATAACGCACCCTTACTTCCACCCTGTGCCCACTGGACGTCAGCAGAGATCCCAGATGGTGACAGAACCACTTAAATTACTTTGGAAAAAATATGCAAGTATGCCACATATGTAAGATTGCCCATAGGCACCATTAAATGGCATAAGTAAAAATACGTTCACTTTGCACTAAAAGAAAAAAAAGAATGTATTTATGACACAACATGGTAATGTAGTTATACTCAACACATTTTTATGAATATAAAAATGAACAGTTTTCTCTGTCTCTTTAAACCTTACTTCAGTTTAATCTTGCTAAAAAGCAGATTTACTACTTCATTAATTCTTCAAATTGTTCCTGAGATCTATTTAGCGCTTATGTCATATGATGATTTTAGCAGGTTATTATTGCAGTCACCAAGGGGAGAGTTTAAATATAACATTATAATAAGAATATCATCCCACATTTTACAAACACATGCAGATTTTTTGCACAGAGTAGCAGAAGACACACGTATATAGACTATTTAAACAAAAAAAGCCAAATTCCAAGGAGAATAATAATGGTCTCCTAAAACCAATCTCTACTCTGTTACAGCTTCTCAGTTAACTGAAGTGATGTGGCAGATATTAAATCTAAATTTCACAGCAATTTCTAGTGCGACAGTCAGCCCTGACTAGTCAGTCAATTCCAGAGCACAGTTATGCAATATTTTCTTCTTGTTCATTAGCTACTGTTTTCCTTTGTTAGAAAGGCTGAATATTAAGACACAAAAAAAGTCCATCATAGTTCTTATAGAACCTCGCAATTTTTAGATAAACGCACGGATCTAACATCATATCATTACATTCTGTGTGCTTCCCTTAAAAGTGTAATATATCTCTCACACACCCGAATAAAACCACTTTTATTTTTTGCTTTGTTGATTGTTTAAAGGAAAATCAATAAATGTTAACAAGTTAAGATAGCAATGTCACTTTAATTAGAATGTTCATATAGTATAGAGCTGATATGTGATATGCATTGTGAGTATATACATCAAAGCACTATTCACTTTAATTGTTTAGTTTTGACACTGCATTATTTGAATTGCATTTTATCACATTCATTTTGCATTATATATTATTTAAATACACTTAGGTTCATATAGCACTAGCACTATTTAATGTGTCTCCCACATTTGAATTAGTGTGGGATCCACCGATATCGGGGTACTGTGGTGTAGTGATGGACTTAACACGATATGGCCATATGGTGGAACTGAATCTCCATATTTGTTTGCGGAGATAGGGGATTTTAAATATCCCTGTAAAATGTAAAACTGTATTTTTATGTGTGCGTTGTTCCTTTATCGGCATTATAAACAGAGTTTATAACAGTCTTTGCTTGTCATAGGCATCAATCATGTGCTGTATGAGTTTATTAGCACAATGCTGAAATGCTTGGTAAGCTTTGCTGGAAATTTAGGTAAAGAGGTGAGTAGATTGAGTTGTCACCTTATAAACCATTATAGTTTACAAGTTGAACATTTGGACTTTGGCAATCACTGGAACTTTGTGGATGGTGGACAAGTCTGCGACTTGTGGTAGAGCCAGTCTTGACACAGCTAACCTAAAGGGTACTTGTCATGTCAATAACAAATTATAATTATTTGTTTTTTTAAGAGTATAACATTCTATCTACGATGCATAGTGCTAGCAGATTTGCTAGCAAGTGTATACATTGGTATAAAAATAAAAACCCATTTAAAATATGTCTTTCTTCCACCTGTCAGTCAATTCTACAAATTGCTATCTGCACATTCACTGTTGTTGCTAAGGTAACTCCCTAACACACTCTGATGTGATGCCCATAGGCGTGCGCACGGGGTGTGCCGGGTGCGCCGGGTGCGCCTGGGCACAACCTAATCCCCGCGGCACACCTGTGAGTCCTGCAGGCACTCTGCTGCCTCCAAATGCCCTCCTCCTCCCCCCGTGTTTCCCCTGTCATGGGGGGGGCCAAGAGGTGATGGACCCCACGGGTGCTTGTCTCCATATCAGGCGCGGCGAGGGAGCTGTGTGCTCTCTGCTCCCTCTCGCCACATGCTAGAGTTCACTCTCCACTGGACCACCAGGGATGGCACTTGGCAGCAAGGATCCCCTCTTCCTACATAAGGTAAGAATGGAGGGGGGAGATTTACTAATCTCCCCCCACCTTCACAATCCCTACAAACATACAGCACCCACACACATACAGCACCCTGACACAAATAGCACACACAGAGCACTCACACACAGAGTATTCTCATACACACACACACACACACAGCACACTCACACACACAGTACACTAACAGCACCCTCATAAACACACACAGCACCCTTACAAACATACAACACCCTCACACACAGCACACTAACAGCACCCTCACAAACACACACAGCGCACACACACAGCACACTACCAGCACACTCACAAATACACAACACAAACAGCACCCTCACACACACAAACACAACACCCTCACACACACACACACACACACTCACAAATACACAACACAAACAGCACCCACACACACACACACACACACACACACACACAACACCCATCACACAAACAGCACCCTCACACAGCACACTAACAGGACCCTAACACACATATACACAAAAACGCTCACACAGCACACAAACAGCACCCTCACACAATAAACCGCACCCTCACACACAGCACACTACCAGCACCCTCAAACACACATCACACTAACAGCACCCTCACACACACACACACATCATACTAACAGCACCCTCACACAGCGCACTAACAGCACACACAGCAGTGTATGTGTGTGTGTGTGTGTGTATATATATATATATATATATATATATACACACATACATACATATACATGCGGCGTGTGTTTGTGCTTTAGGGTGCACACCCTAATGCAATAGGCTGCTCACGCCTATGGTGGTGCCGGCTCCAAGATGTTTATAAAAAAGAAACTGGGTGGAGGGAGTAAAGGGCAGACTGGAGGTAGGTGCTACAGAACAGTAACACCCAAGAAGCGGAGGAAATGGTGGCGCTGAATCAACAGCAAGGTGAGTATATCTCAAAATTTTACAATGAATATACCATATATCTGTGTGATAAATCATATATTCAAGGTACTTTAAGCCAATTTATGGTCAGTTAAACTAATGACAGATTGATTTTAGGCAGAAAATGGATGTTGGAAAGGCTGATCAGTAAGTAACACACAAGTTTGAAGGTACACGTTAGGGTGCAACAAGAGGCAACAAGTGGAGCAATGCAGGTCAGTAACTGTGTAACTTTATAATACGATACGAACAGACTTGGTCAAACGAATGCAATACTCAAACAGGCAAAGCAAATACTGAAGACTCTGGCAAGGACAGGCCAGCCATGCACAGCCAAATGTAGTAACATTAGAATACAAATACACCAGAGACGTAATCAGGAACAGGCTGGGTCAAACACTGTATAACTGTACAGCAGACTAGATACAGGAAAGCGGGCTGACTCAGAAGCCAACTGGAACAGACTGTAGGACAGAATGTGCCCAAACTCTAAATGCTTCCGTATTCTGAGAAGGCCTGCAAGGCATAATGAATGATGTATTCTGAAGAGAATGAGTAAAATGAATCATTAAAGGAGCACTACAAAGTTAGGAATACATATTTATCCCTGTTCCTATATAGTTTATTGGCCCATCCCATGTTCATAAAATTAAGAATGATTTAACTCACCTTTTCCAGCACCAACACTTCCTTGGGAAGTGATCATTCTCCGCATCTCACAAGGAGCATTGGGGACCTGATGTTCATGTGCAGCGAGTACCGTGAGAGATTCCCTATAGGAAAGCATTGTTTTCCTATGATCTTCTGCGTCACGTGACTGAGTTTTACCCGGTGAGTGCAGCAGAGGCACCTGAAGCAGCTGTTATTATGGCAGCCACTAGAGGTGGATTTACCCTGCACATGGTCGCCTTTAAAGCAGGGTTAACAGGGTAGCTGTCCCAAGTCCCAGCTGTCCCATTTGCCCTCTGTCCCCAGCTATTTCTTTTAGGACCACTGACGTTGTTACAGGCAGTGGGCCCGCAAACTAAGGGTGGCCCATGCACTTAAAGCTACCTGGTGGGCATTCGTCATGAGGAGCCCAGGTGGGTGCTGTGGCCTTTCAACAGCACGGTCAACCCTCCTTCTTATCAGCATAAGCGGGAGAAAGTGACAGAGAGAATGGAGCCATGTGTGAGACTGGGGCCACGAGGAGGCAGAGGAGAGGGGACTCTGACCAGGAGTGCAGAGGCCTAACTCCCAACAGCCACAGCCAGTAAACTCCTCCTGTACCTAAAAGGTAGGAACCTGGAGAGTGGCTTTACAAGTGTAAATTTTGAATGTGTGTGACAGTGTGTCTGTCAGTTTAAGTGTCAGCATCTGTATGTTATCAATGTGTGAATCTGCATGTATGTCAGGTTGTGTATCTATCGGTATGTTGTCACTGTGTTTATAATAGGGTTAATCCTTCCTCCAATTCATCTAGCGGCTGTCTCATTGACAACCGCTAGAGGCGCTTGCGTGATTCTCACTGTGAAAATTACAGTGAGAGCACGCAAGCGTCCATAGGAAAGCATTGTAAATGCTTTCCTATGAGACCGGCTGAATGCGCGCGCAGCTCTTGCCGCGCGTGCACATTCAGCCGAAGGGGAGGAGAAGAGGAGGATCGGAGGAGGAGAGCTCCCCGCCCAGCGCTGGAAAAAGGTACGTTTTTACCCCTTTCCTCTCCCCAGAGCCGGGCGGGAGGGGGACCCTGAGGGTGGGGGCACCCTCAGGGCACTATAGTGCCAGGAAAACGAGTATATAGTGGTCCTTTAAGTGCTAAACACAATCCTGCAAGCATGGGAAATTGGAAGAGCCCCAGCTTTCAAAGCATTGTTAGAGTTGCAGAACAGGCAGGGATCTACCTTTTGGCCACCCTTGCAATAAGGGGGACCAAAACATTCTTGCACCATGGTCCTCTACTTTAGTTGCACCATTGCGTTGGGGTGGAGGGCGTGATTGAATGCCTGGGAGTGCAGGGTCTGGGCAGAGTCCAGGGGGCCCAAGCAAGTGCTTGCCCAGGGTCCAAACAATATTTAAAAATGGTGCTGATCATGCATTGTAAATATTTCTAAAAAAAATTAAAAAGCACTGTGTCCAGACCACTTCATTATGGTCTGAGTGACTTTATAGATCCTTTAAACACATACTCTTACATTACAAGAAGCAAGGAAACAGTTTTTCTAGTCCTCATAAAATAAGATAACAGATTTTGCTCCAAGCTGTGAATATTTCTTTAACTCTGGAGTTAATTAGTGTCTGAAATGCGACCGGTACATTATTGCAATGGTAAATGACTAAGAACTCAAACACAAACACCACATATTTTAAAAAATTTTTGAGTTCTATTAAAAACAGCTATTAGAAAAGCTTGTGTCTGCCCAGTCTCCCAATCTCAGCTGGTAAAGCTTCACACTATTTTTAATAATATGTAATATAAATATAGTAATAGCAATAATTTGTGAATATTGACCATAAGGAATCGGGTGTTGTGCCCATGCAGGGCCGCCATCAGAAATTTTGGGGCCCCTGACAAAGCACAAGGTTTGTGCCCCCCCTCCCGGGCCCGCACTCGCCCTACCTGGTCCGCTGACAATGATGCAGGACTGAATGTGGTGTGTATAGTGGAAGTGAATTAGAATGTGTGTAATGGATGTAGTGTTTGTGTGTATTAGATACTGTTTGTACAGTGAATGCAGAGTGTGTGTTTGTGTAGCGGATGCATTGTGTGTACAGTTAATGCAGAGTGTATGTTAGTGTAGTGAATGCAGAGTGTGTGTCAGTATAGTGAATACAGAGTATGTCAGTGTAATGAACGTAGTGTGTGTGTTAATGCAGTGAATGCAGAGTGTGTGTAAATTTGTAGTGAATGCAGAGTGTGTGTTAATGTGTAGTGAATGCAGAGTGTGTTAATGTGTAGTGAATGCAGAGTGTGTTAGTGTAGTGAATGCAGAGTGTGTTAATGTGTAGTGAATGCAGAGTGTGTTAATGTGTAGTGAATGCAGAGTGTGTTAGTGTAGTGAATGCAGAGTGTGTTAGTGTAGTGAATGCAGAGTGTGTGTTAGTGTAGTGAATGCAGAGAGTGTGTTAATGTGTAGCCTAATGGTGTGTGTGTTGTGTTAGTGGATGGCCGGGTGCGGTGGGCAAGCTATGTTGAAGTGTATTTGCGCGTGTTGGGGTTGAAGTGTGCAAATGTGTGTTGTGTTAGTGTATGCAGTGTGTGTTGTGTTAGTGCATGCTGTGTGTGTGTTGTTTTAGTGTATGCAGCGCAAAAGCCGGGCGCGGTGTATGTAGTGCGTGTGTTGTTTTTAGTGTATGCGTGTAAGTAAGTGTGTTAGTGTATGCAGTGTGTGTGTTGTGTTAGTGTATGCAGTGTGTGTTGTGTTAGTGTATGTAGTGTGTGTTGTGTTAGTGTATGCAGTGTGTGTGTTGTGTTAGTGTATGCAGTGTGTGTTGTTTTAGTGTATGCAGTGTGTGTGTTGTGTTAGTGTATGCAGTGTGTGTGTTGTTTTAGTGTATGCAGTGTGTGTGTTGTTTTAGTGTATGCAGTGTGTTCTGTGTTAGTGTATGCAGTGTGTGTTGTGTTAGTGTGTGTTGTGTTAGTGTATGCAGTGTGTGTTGTGTTAGTGTATGCAGTGTGTGTGTTGTTTTAGTGTATGCAGTGTGTGTTGTGTTAGTGTATGCAGTGTGTGTTGTGTTAGTGTATGTAGTGTGTGTGTTGTGTTAGTGTATGCAGTGTGTGTTGTGTTAGTGTATGCAGTGTGTGTGTTGTGTTAGTGTATGCAGTGTGTGTGTGTTGTGTTAGTGTATGTAGTGTGTCTGTTGTGTTAGTGTATGTAGTGTGTGTGTTGTGTTAGTGTATGTAGTGTGTGTGTTGTGTTAGTGTATGCAGTGTGTGTGTTGTGTTAGTGTATGCAGTGTGTGTTGTGTTAGTGTATGCAGTGTGTGTGTGTAAATGTGTGATCTGGGGGGGAGGGGGAGGAAGGGGCATTTTAACATTAATTTTTAATTAATTTAATTAAATGTTTCTCCCCCCTCCCTGCTTACCTGTGTCCATGGAGGGGGGAGATTCCATCTGTGGTGGTCCAGTGGGGGCCCCCCGGCTCCCTGTTACCGTCCGCAGAGGGGGCCCAGGCAGCACACAGCTTCTCCCCTTCTAATAACTCTTGCGAGACCCGCGGAGCGTTGCCATGGTAACCGGATCTCGCGAGAGTTAATAGAAGAAAGAAGAGAGGAGGAGAAGCTGTGTGCTGCCTGGGTCTCCCCCCTCTGCGGTAACAGGGAGCCAGGGGCCCGCAGCTGCACACATAGATAGCGAGATTCGCTATGTATCTGTGCAGAGAAACAAAGTGGGGCCCAGGACTGCCAGAGCAGTCCGGGCCCCCCAGGGCCGCCGGGCCCGTGACAACTGTCACGGTTGTCACCCCCTGATGGCGGCCCTGTGCCCATGTGCTGACAAGCTTTTAAATTGAAGGAAAACAAATGGATTAACATTGTGTTATTTAACAATTGTTAAAAATAGAACTGTATCGTAAGCCAAGAAAATACAAGAGACAAAAGAAAAACACGACTCTCCACGGATCACTAATTGGCAACAATCACACATATATACAGGGTGGACAGAATATGACAACGTGGAGAGTCCTACTTCTTTAAAGATTTGCTCACAAATATGTTTTAAGAATTAAATATTTAATGCTGCTATGAAAATGTGCTTTACATTAATTGTGCAAATGACATCTAAATAAGGTTTCGGTTTGTAAAACAGACGAATAAAGTAACCAATCTTTGACAAAAGCAAGTATTCTAAAGGGGGTGTCAGGCTCATCCAAACAAAGAGCAGGGGATGTGTAGTACTGTCTTATATATGTAGAGAGTGTATCATAGCAAACATCTGCATGCATGCAATTAGAAAGTTCTACTTTTACTATTAGTAAACTAACAATAATAAACAGCACATTCAAACGCAAACACCCAGACACAGGATGGCCCATAGATGCCAGCTCCCAACACATTGCATGCAGAGTAAAACCAGCCATCTAAGGGTTTAAAAAAGGTCTTTAATTGTGGGTTCGGGATGAATGCCCCTTTCCCTCCCTGAGTGCCTGGTAAATGTGACAATATTATTAATAACCCGACTATCCAGCCTTTTTCTCTGATGTCCTTGAAGAAGTGTGAATATTGGGATAATGAGACATGGATCCCTGGTCGATACTATTCTGGCAAACCCAAGACACTTGGGAAACATGCAATACCACACTAAATTAAAATAGAGCAACAAAGGGTAGAAAGCATGCTGAGCTTAAATACAGCAACTGAGGAAAGAGAGCATTCGGTGTTAAAACGCAGCAAATAAAAGCAGAGAGATATTCCAGAAAGAACAAAACACATCCAACAGTCTTCTAAAAGTAATAAATAACAGTGATATTCCTAAAGCACTGGCAGGTAAATGATGAAATCTAAGGAGAACTGGAACAGACATAGTAGGGTGTTGGCAGGCAAACATGAGTCAAACTCTTATCTAAACAGTGATATACTCTAATTTCCATTGTTATATCTGCATGACAGCCAAGACAAATTACATTGTCAGTGCACTGGAGTGATTCGATCTGACCTAATTAACTAATTATAGTGCATGGCATAATACCTGTATACAGAATTACTATCTAAATGCACTGATTGAGCTAGTTTATTTGGTTGCCATAATCAGTGATGCCTGGAATCGATTAGACATCATTCTTTGTCATTTAGAGGGGAGCTAAGAAGCTCTTCTAAAACCTTCATGAGTTTAACAATATAACAGGTATGAATTCTACATAATTGGCTCATTACTAATGCTTATATGGATATCACAATAGGAATGTTAAACAACCGCACTTCAGTTATAGAACAAAACGGTTTCATTCGTAAACTCAAGCAGAGAGCAAAACTCCTTGTCACTTTCTATTTAGAATCAGACTGCGGCTAGTGGTTGTCCTTATCAGACCTATTATTAGTGAGAGTATGGAAGAGATTTGTGGACGTGTGGGTGAATTATCTGTGCCTTTTCTAAAATTGCAGAATAGTCACACATAAGGAGAGCTTTATTAAAGTGTTGTGTTCTGAAAAATGGTGCATGGTACTAGAAATGAGTGTCAAGGTTAACCTCCCCAACACGCAAACTAAGGGGCTCAAAAGATACACAAAGCCAGACGTATTACCTGTCCTTCGAATGGCCGGATTAACGTGTGAAAGTACAGCGATGAGAACAGAATGGTCAAATGAGCCAAGATCAGGATAGAAGACGGAAGAAAAAACAAAAAACAAAGCCAAGGGTCAAGGATGCCAGAAGTACGGATAACCAGGAAACAAGCCGAAGTCAGATACCAGAAAAGACAAACCAACAGAACGCACTCTCGGGCTAAAAGAGACCACAACAGGGCAAGGAAGAGATGAAAGAGGGTGGTATAAATAGGGTTAAGTGAGAGCTGATAGGCTAGGGTACCCAATAGGGCAGTAATTAAATAGATATAGAGTGCCAGTTCAAAAGTAAAAAATGGTACTTCCATTTTAAGAAGCCTGAGACAAGGCACACGCACCCCTAGCTAGTAATAGCGAGCACGATGTCGGCCAGGCGTCTGCACAGGGTGGAGGGACAGGACGGATGCCGTGAGGAGGTATGACAGTGAGGCAATTACCATGGAAACCAATGGAATCAACCAGTTCCATTGTTGACTCTTCTATTTTACATATTTGCACCACTTTTCAGACCACGACACTATGATACATCTCACCCAGTATTTTTCATTAATGGGTCATAATGGTTGGGAAGCCAAAATCTGTCAGAATATACATGGAAGGAAAGTGACATACTTTTAACCCCTTAAGGACACATGACATGATTCCCTTTTATTCCAGAAGTTTGGTCCTTAAGGGGTTAAAATGCTTTAATCAATTGAAACTTATTTTTAATCAACACTCCTACAAAAAGGACACATTTCAGAACACTTTGAGAATTCTACACCAGCTGTTTTTTCATTGGCTGTTTCAAACAGAACTATGGCTGGTGTAACAAACATCAGCCAGTCATATTGCTGCACAAGGCATAACGCAACAATACCAAACCTGGTTTTGTTTACATCAGAATGAAATGGTGTATGTGATACTTTCTTAATCACCGTAACTCTGAATATTATCATTATTATTAATAAAGTCGTCACTTCTCACATTTTACGTACCTTCTGCACAGCTTAAACTGACACTATAGTCACCAAATCAACTTTATCTTAAAGAAGCAGTTTTGTTGTATAGATCATGCCCTGCAGTCTCACTGCTTAATTCCCTGCCATTTAGGAGAAATCACTGTTCATGCAGCCCTAGTCACACCTCCCTACATGTCACTTACACAGCCTTCAAAACACATCTTGCAAAGAGCCCACCGACTATGGTCCATTCCCATTCGGGGGTTACCCCACACAGCCGCCATTAGCAGCTTTCCCTCAGTGCCACTAGTTCGGCACTTTCCCTTCATTCGAATGGAACCGGACGTTAGCTCCCTGGAGGCCGTTCGCATGAACAAAACCCACCAACGGTTCTCAGCGGTACTTAGCCGCAACCGCTATGGAACTAATTTTGGCATGAGGACTTTGTGGTTCCCCGTTCACCTCAGTGGTACTTAGTCGGGATTGTTATGGAACTGTTTTCGGCATGAGGTGACCTTGAGGTTCTCAGACAACTTGGTCCAGGGTTTTGAACAACTTTGCGCGACCCGCCAGGAAAACGCTTTTTGGAGGGAAGGTGTCTGAGACTAAAGGAAACAAATGCTACCCCTTATTTCGGACACAGGAGCTCAAAAAAAGGTTGACCAGCAAAAGCACCAGACATTCTCCCAGATACAGAGATCTTTGGAAGGGACTTGTATTGCATTCTTTGGAGACCCCCTGCTGGGGGTTGTGTATATAAGCAGGCAACTTTCCATAATAAACCAGTTCCTTTTCACCCTTCACTCAGTCTGGATTGGTGTATGGGTGAACCAGCTATACTCTCTGCAGGAGAGCTTAATCACTTAAAGCTGTACCCAGGACCCTGTTTCAGGGCGGTAAGCGTCGTTGAGACACAAGCCATGCTGCGGCAGCAAGGGTCTGAAGCACTCCTGTGTCCCAGAGGAGAGCTAAAAAGCGAGCTTGACAGAGGTACCCAGTCGGGGTGCAAGGTAGTCCGTCACATACACTTCCTTTATTGCAAATTCTTTTTAGTTTAGAATTTCTTATCTCCTGCTCTGCTAATAGCCTTCTAGACCCTGCAGGAGCCTCCTGTGTGTGATTAAAGTTCAATTTACAGAACTGAGATAAAAACAAAAAAAAATTCTTCATGCAAGCTGTGTCATTCACAGCCAGGGGAGGTGTGGCTAGGGCTGTATAAACAGAAATACAAGTGATTTTACTCATAAATGGCAGATAATTGAGCAGTGAGACTGCAGAGGCATGATCTAAACTGCTTCATAAAATAAAGTTGTTTTGGTGACTATAGTGTTCCTTTAAAGGGCCGCTTTGGGCACCCAGACTACTTCAGCTTGTTGAAGTGGTATAGGCACAGGGTCCCTATGGCACTTAATGCTGCAATGTAAAACATTGCAGGTTTGGAGAAACTAAAACAGCCTCTAGTGGCTCTTCATGAGGACATCCAGCGTCAGCTATATCCCCATAGGAAAGCATTGATTTAATGCTTAGCTATGTGGAGTCCTCCGGGCATTAGCGCCCCCCCTCGTCAAGTGACATCGGAAGAGGCGGAGCAGCAACCGAAGGGCACTGGCGCTGGGATCCAGTATGTAAATAAAAGGTTTTTAACCCCTTATTCACCAGGGAGAGGTGGCGCGAGGGAGGGGAGAGGCAGACGGAGCTATAGTGCCAGGAATACAGCTTTGTATTCATGACACTATAGTACCCCTTTAAACACATGCAAACCACCACTTAATTCCAATGCCCTTATACAATTTTGGTTAAAATGTGTAACACATTTTATTTAGAAAATTGGGCAGACTAGATGGGCCGAATGGTTCTTATCTGCCGTCACATTCTATGTTTCTATGTTTAACACAGAGTATCTGTATAAATGTCAACACATAGGTCAGCCACCATGCAATGGCTTGTAACAAGGGCTCATCAAAGAGAAATGGTATACTGGACAGTCTGAAACATACCCACTCAGCCCTAGAACAACATATCAGCTACTTGACCTACTATTTGCACTTTCCTTATCAATTCTCCATAATCCCTGGTTTAGTAAATAAGCCCCACTAAATGCATCAGGCAGTACACAATTATTCCGGTTCTGTATAATCAAGTATACCACGATCATGCCTGCGTGGAACAGCTGTGTACATGACAGATCTGTATTTACCATTTTTGTTGTTGGGTATAACAAGTTGTGTAGGTGAGCTTCTGTTCCCGGATGCTTCTTTTTTCTGGTTTATTGTTGAAATGAAACTGCTGAACGAGGCAAACTGGCCTTTAGCTCCTCTTTCCATCCCCTGTAATTAAAGGAAGCAATCAGTGCAAAATTTGCTTTACAACTAATTTCCCACATGTGAATTGTACTATCATAAGAACATTCGGGAACACAATGTCTCAGTACCCTTCTGAAGAGATGATAATGAGGTCACTTTGTTCAACGCAGAAAAAAATAAAAAAAATAAAATAAAATTATATATATATATATATGTACACACATAGAAGGAAATTAAATAAAAATACATAACATGAAGGTGACAAAGAATTCGAACCAAAATACCAGCGGGTGCAGTGAACCACAAATTTGATCAGTTTCATTCCATAATTATGGTTGTTAGCATAATGCTACAATCATTTTGTACAGGGTAACTACAGTGCATTTGTTAAGAGAAAAGAGGCTACATTTCATTGAATATATGGAATTGTATGGAATACAAGCAAAGTAATACCTCTCTCTGTATTAACTAATAACTTTTGCATTTTTTACATTGCTATATATGTTTATTTTGTCAATCTTTGTTTTATTGTGGCATAGATTGAATGTGAAATATAGCGGTACATCCATGACATTGACAAGATGAGTCATAGTGAGACAACATGCATACGGGGACTAGCTAGCGTCCGCATGGTGACAGGTTATGCACAACTTTAATATTCAGTCAAAGTCGCAGTGTGAGTAAACATGCCACTTTTGTAAATAGACAAAACAAAATATATGCCTGGAGTAACAATCTGCACTAAACGATGTTAGATTAACTGGCACAGTATAGGCTTCATTACAGGCTACTTGTACAAGATAATAGTACCAGTGGATCCACACAATAACGAGTTGCAACAACGCACAAAACAAAAATATTGGCGCTACAAGATAGAAATTAAATTAAGTACAGATTTTTTTTGTTGGTTGACACGGCCTTTGGACAGGCTAATAAGTGATAAAACAAAATATATGCTTGGAGTAAGTACCTCGGCTAGGTAATGGTATATTAGCTACTATATAATGTATGGGCATCCTATCTAGCTACACAATCAGACTACTGAAGCTTCATGTTATCGTATAGTAACATAGCAGAATATAAAAGCCCCATCACATCAAGATATAAACATATAACAAAGTTTCCTTTTATTTTTTTGTTTGTTTGTTTTTATGTGATACTTGATTCATTATGACAATAGAATTTTGGTTGCCATTCATCTTTGGAAGAGGGCATACTATAATGAAAGAAAAATGTAATTACAGTCACCAGCTTATAAATGTCAAATTTACTTGAAGTCATAAAATATTTTAATTTTTTATTTTTTTTAAACACAAACTTCTAGCCAAATTGGTTTATGCATTTGAATTACCTGCCAGATGGGAATTCAATTTTATTTAATATTTCATATAAAAACATTTAAAGCAACACTATAGGGTCAGGAACACAAACATGTATTCCTGACCCTACAATGTTAAAAACGCTATCTAGTCCCACTTTCCCCCCTAAATATAGTAAAATCTTTATTTCAGCCTGCTGGTGCTGGCTCTGCCCCTGATCTGCCTCCTTCGCTGACATTAAGTGATGATCTCAGTCAATCACAATGCTTCCCCATAGTAAAGTATTGGATTGGATAAGATTGTGAATTCTGATGATCTCAGCAAAGAAGGCGGGCCGGGGGGCAGAGACAAACGCCTCCCTGGCCAATCAGCATCTCCTCACAAAGATGCTTCGAATCAATGCATCTCTAAGAGGAAAGTTCAGTATCTACATGCAGAGGAGAAGTGGACACTGTAAGTGTCCCTGACTGAAAAGTCAGTGTTTACAACAAAGAACTTGCAGGGACTGACTTTATTCACCAGAACAGCGACATTAAGCTGTAGTTGTTCTAGTGACTCGTGTCCCTTTAAAGGTCTGCATGTGTCCTATTGCAGTCCTGAAGTCAATGTATTTATGGCACACTAGTTGAAACCATTACCCTAGACTTAACATACCAGAGTGCTGGTTTTACCATGAACATTACTTAAACACTCAAAATAAACAAAACAAGCCCTACTTTTCTTAATGTTTTAAATGTTCTTCCTTTCTTTAATCCCTCTGTTTTATTGCATTTTAAAACCACATAAAATAGAAAATGCATGCATCCCTTAATATGGTCATCTCTTTTATGGAACCATGACTGAAGATTCTACCACATAACTATAAATAAAACGATTGTTCAATAGGTGCTAGAAGATATTTTAAGAGCCTTTATTTAATCCTTTATTAGCTTTGCAGATGTATGCAGTACAGACAATATGTAGATTTCCCATAGCATCATGTGTCTTTGGATTTCTATATCTATTTTATGTTAACACAATCCCTTCCACCATGTTAAAACACAATACAAAAAAGAAAAAAAGCTCAAGAAGAACAGCAAATAAAATAGAGCTTTTATAGGAAAAAGTTCCTAAAGAGGGTTTATAACTCCAAGCAGCATGATCACGCTGTAGTGGTTACAGACCCTGAAGTACCCTATCGCCATCCCAGGATAAGTAAACAGTTTGCAATTGATTTGACAACTTGTCAGAGGTCTGCAGAGCACCAGCCACCTTCTCTGAAATACCGTAGTAAGCCCAGGAAGGCACGGCTTAGCTCATTTACTGAGAGTGCATTGCTGATGTTCTCAGTCAACGAGCCAGTCCTGTACTGCAAGGATTAACTAATGGGAGCATGATGTAGTGGTTATAGTGATTGGAGTGCTCCTTTAATCTGAAAACTGAAAATCATTTCTGGGAGATATTTCACTCTATATTTCCTGGTAAATATGGCCTTTGAGCTGGGGAGCAGAGGCGCCTTTCTAATTAGGCGATTTAGGCGGCCGCCTAAGGCTGACCAGACACAGGAGGGGGCCCGGCGGCTAACCCATTATGCTGCCGGGTGTAAGGCCCCTCCTGTCAGTCCGCCCGGGGAGAGAGCCAGCCTCAGTCTGCAGCTCCGCTGGGTGTGAGCTGCAGACTGAAGTGTCTCTCGATCTCCAGCCAATCAGAGCTCTGACTGGAGATCGCGAGACATTCACCATGTGGTCTGCGGCTCTGCATCCGGCGGAGCTGCAGACCAGAAAACCCTCTGGACCACCAGGGAATCCTGCAAAAAACAAAAAAGATAAATTTCAACCCCCCATCACCCTGTCACCCCACTTACACTATGACACCCCCCTTCACATCCTGTCACTCACCCTGTCACCCCCTCTCACCCCACCTCTCACCCGACTAGCACTATGACCCCCCCGTTACCCCCTGTCACCACTCTGTCACCCCCTCTTACTCTGTTACCACCTTGTCACCCCCTTTACCCTGCCACCCCACTAACATTATGACACTCACCCTGTCACCACCTCCCCTCACCCTGTCACCCCCTCTAACCTCATAATCCCCTTATTTTGTTACCCCCTCTCACCCTGTCACGCACCCTTATGGTCATCTCACCCTGTCACTCCCCACACACTATGTCACCCCCCTTCTCACCCTGTCACCCCACCTCACCCAGTAACCCCCCCTTACTCTTTCACCACCCTAACACTATGTTACCCCCTATGACCCTGTCACCTTCCCACACTATGTTACCCCCCTCAGACTGTCACCCTCCCTCTTACTTTGTCACCCCATTACACTGTCACCCCCTTTTACTCTGTCACCCCACTTTCACCCAGTCACCCCCTCTTATTTGTCACCTCCCTCTCACACTCTGTCACCCCCCTCATACTATGTCACCCACCCTCACACTGTCACACCCCTCTCATTCCTGTCACCCCACTGTTACCTCCCTCTTACTGGGTCACCCCGCTCTTACTCTGTCACCTCCTCTCACCTTGTCACTCGCCCTCTCACCCCACCTTTCACTCTGTCACCCTCCCCACACACTGTCACCTCTCTTCTCACACACTGTCACCACTCTCTAAACACAATGTCACCACACTCTAAACACAATGTCACCACTCTCCGCACACAATGACACCCCCTCCATACACGTTGTCACTCCCCGCGCACACGAGCACCACTCTGCGCACTCTGGCAATGCAACAATGTATACAGTGACTAGCTCTCTATATCCAGTGCTGCAAGCTCCCTCTTCAATATATCTACAGCTTCTTATACACACACAAGTCAACTGCTATTTTTTTTCAATAATGGTGTTAGCGGGGGCCTCATGTATGAGTTTCGCCTAAGGCGTCGCCAAGTCTAGAGCCGCCACTGCTGGGGAGGTTATTACCATTCCCTGGGTTGAGGAAAAACTGTTTTAATGTGATGGGAAGTGCAGTAGAGGTAGCACAAGACAGGCTTTACCAGCAATACTGATGTCATCTTCTCCATGTGTGCATGTATACTGGGGCATCGTCCTTCAACATACCTTAAACATGTGTACTCTCTCTGGCATTGCTTCCATGATGCTATATTTCTGAAAGCATTCTTGCAGGATTACTAGCATAGCAACATAGAATTACTATAATTTAAATAGTATCCCAGGCTATGCCTTGACAGCATTGAGGTGTAGCACAATTTAATTAACAAAAATGGTTCCTAAAAGTGAACTGAGTTTTAGTCACCATGGGTGTTATTGGTTATCATGCTCAAGTTGTCTAACAGAGGATTTCTTCATTCAAGACACCATAAAACATCCACATTTCAAGCGACTCGTGTGGGACGTGCATTGTGAGTTCTCATGAGGTAGAATTTTGTTAAGTTATGAAGGAAGGGCAATATATTGTTTTTGGACAGAGCGAACAATAGCCAGCCCTTCAGTTTCTGGTCACATATGCCAAAGAAGATTTAGAGCGGAGTTCCACCGTAGAGCAAGAGTAAGCCAGGGGATGCATTTAAAATATATATTTATTTTAAAGCACATATGCACGCCTTCATTACAAAATAGTCCACATCAAGACTATAAAGGAAAATAACCTTTTCCTTTAATGAGCATGGTATGCAAAAGGACAGCATTTCTATGTGAAATAACATTTCACAATTACAATGATCCATTGACAGTGAAGCAATTCAAGCAAACCAAGGTTTGGTTGACTAATTCCTAGGATAATGATTGTTCTCCACTGTCCCTTTAATGTAACTTAATTATCTCCATTTAAAGACAATAACTCGCTGTTATTAGTTCTGTGGACCATTATTTTCCATCATGTAAAAAGACTTCCTGTTTTCTTCTTGTGGTTGTAGGAAGCCACAACAGATGCTATTGCAGCTTCTCGACAAACAAAGCAAGATGATCCTCTGCTGTGCCTTTCTACTAATAGTCTGGAAGCGATTTTCTAGCTAGAACAGAAAACGCTTACACCATGACTACACGACTGCAAATATATTGCAAATTACAGTACTAAATATGTTGACCACTGAGAGTTCCAGAGTACAGGCCAACAAATATTGGTAGTATTGAAAAACTATTGGAACAATGTAATTTAAAATTTTTTTTTTTTTTGCCAGGTTCGATCCACCTCTACTTCCCCTTCAAAATATGAAATGATTTAGAACGTATTTTCTTTTGCAGCAATTGATATATTTAGTGCCAATTTCAATTATCTATGAGGTAGGCAATATAGAGGACTATCTAGACACCAGGATGCACTTGGCTGCTCTGCATATTTCCTTTTCCAGATACCTTAAAAAATATAGAAAGAAAAGAAGAGAATAAAATGCAACTAAATAAACAGACCCCACCTTGTATTCCATCTCCAAAAGTAAGGAAAGCAAATAGTCGGTTCTATGAGAATATTCACAAAAGCCACAAGCACAAATAAAAAGCACTTGCGCATCTCATTTAACCATGGATGGAAAAAATCACATGAACAAACAAGATGCACATGCATAAAATTAACGGAAACAAGACTGGCTGATATATCTGGCATTTCCATTTTTTGTGTATATTTCTTGTACGGAAGTCCATGGATTCCTTTCAGTGTTGGAAAACTGGGGCGAGAGCATAGGTATATTTTAAATAAAAAAATTTAAAAAAATCCAAATTTAAAAATTGTAGTGCAAGATTACAGAGGATAGTTCAAAGCTTGGGTCTCACAGCTGATCAAGTTTAGAGATTATTTTTTGCTTTCCAACTGTAAGCATAGTTGCAATATTTAAGGTATTTAAAAATCCCATTATCTCCTTGTTATAAGGTTTTTTATTTATTTTATTTCAACCAGTAGACCCATTTATTTATTTAGGACATTTAATTGCCTAGGAAGTGCTGAACAAAAAAAAAATCCATGAAATTTGTTCTCAATCCTGCTTCTGAAAAATTCCCACAATACTAAAAATCTCTGGCCAACATGGCTTACTTTTCAAAAGCCCAAAATTGCCTTGTCTCAAATATGAAAATTTGGGATCAACACCTGGCTTTGTATACAGAATCAATACATTTGGATATTAGCAGATACAATTCATGGATATAAACAAATCAAACATACAGAGACAAATATTTTCTAGAACACTGAACATGATCAGGGCTCAGAAAATTGTACTAATCATATGGTTATGTAAAGAACAAGGGATTAAAGCAAAATACATCAATCAGCTATTTTTCTTTAACGTCATTGAATTTCAAAACAAAGAATGAGAGCGTGTACAAAAAAAAAAATCTCTAGACACATTTTGCCTTATGTTTAGATTACACAGCTTCCCCTTTCGTCAGATTTTACTATTGGTGAGGAGTATGGTGAAAAATTATTTTAGATTTGCTTTCATTTTATTATATATATATTTTTTCAACCAAGTGATAAACTATATTATAATAAAATGCATAAATACATTTATTTAGCAACGCATATGGGATTCTTGACATAACTGCTAAAAAGTCAGAAAGGTAATAAGGAAAAAAAAAAAATCAACCTATGAGAAAAGTATGCAGGTGGAAGTGAGCAGCGCATTGAAAGAGTCTTCAGATCCAGGTCAGTAAGAAACGAAAAGAGAGGATAAAAAAATAAAATATAGTGCAGTACTTTAATTATTGATTGAATAAAGAAGGAGGTATGGCACTGTTTTACATTGTAGCACTAAGTGCAATAGGAACACAGTACCCAGACCACTTCAATGACCTGAAGTGGTCTCGATGCCTATAGTGTCCCTTTAAGTTTAAATTCCTTGAGATATTTTGGTCCTCAAAAGTCTACATCCAGTTTAAGATATTGTATATCACAGTACAACCGAACAGACCAAAGAGTATAGCCACTAAAAAACATCACATTTTTATGAACTTTGTCACATTTTTTCCCTTGTGTCTTGCTTCTTGGAATACCAGAGAAAAAGTTACAAAAAGTAAGTATCCATTCCCAATTCTAGTTTCCTCTCGTGTACCTCTAGGGACACTAAAAAGGACCCCAAAAAGCAACTGTATAGTTAAACATATGTATACGCTGTTGAAGGGCAAAGCAATCCCACAGTAAGATCTTGCTCATTGTTGAATGAGAGCCAAGTTTGACTGGTGTGCAGAGCTGTCCCAGTTTCACTCAAAGTGTGTAAAGGATACAAACCTCTAACTTTTGGTGCACTCATATCTCCAAGCATTGGGAAACCCCTTTATGGCAGTCATTCTTCACCAATGCCACACAATCTTTTATTTGTATGGCACTCCCCCCCCACTGGTTTCATACCCTCCAGTGTTGCTATGAGCAAGTGCAAAATTCCACCTTAGAACTGGCTTTTAATAGTAAACGTGTGGTGTCAATAAATACATGGGAGTAACCGACTGCCTATATAGATTTGTATAACAAGCTTGTTACACTTGAATTCCTTTGTTCTGCATATCATATAATATATTTTGACATTACTGATTTAGTTAGCTTTAGGTTCTTCCATAATTTCACACTATTTGCATTCGTATTGTATAATGCTAGACTGATTTTTTCATCTGCTTGTACAAGTTATAGTTTTGTTATACTAACATGATTTATACTTAAAAAGAACACTATAAGTACCCAGACCACTTCATCTCAATGAAGTAGTCTGGGTGCCATGTGTCCCCACTTTTAACCATGCAGTTGAAAACAGACTTTAGTGCAGGGGTAGGCATCCTTCAGCACTCCAGATGTTTTGAACTACATCCCCAATAATTCTCTTACGTGCATAATGCTGGCAAGGCATCATGGGAGGTTAAGTTCAAAACATCCGGAGTGCCGAAGGTTGCCTATGCCTGCTCTAGTGCTTCAGAAAATCATCAGTGCTTTCATAAAGTTTGTCAAGGCTGGCAACCTTGACAATACCTCTAAATACAGTGGGTGGCAAGCCTGATTATTCTTGCCTTAGGATTGACTGTTTTGAGTACCTGTGTCAGCACATGTATGGAGTCTGTACTTCATGTTCAGAAAGGAATGATATTGGCACAGTTATCCCTATAAGACAGCCTTTATTGAAGGGTAAATCTGAGCCATACAACCTCAGTGGTCTGTTTTTAAATGGTTTGGCACTTAACTGGGTTCCATGGGTGCCTGCCACCGTACCCTCTCCAACTATAGCTAAAGTTCCACTTACAAAATTAAATATATAAATTCCATTTCTATCTGGACAGAATTGATTGTCCAAACTTCAATTTCCAAATGTCTTAAGAAGACTTCCTACTTAAAAGCTGTAAAAATCTAATGTCATCAAGCTAAGCATCAACTTAATGATGTGGTTTTGCTGCATAGATGATGTCCATATTTATAGGACAGCGTGAAACACTACAATTTCCAAGAAATGGTAAGGTTTACATTTGACAGAGAACACACCTGCACTGGCCGTCATAGTGAAGAGTAAAGTTCTTCAAAAATGGATTCACTACTTTGCCTGAGAACATGCGCCATATGTCCCCAAGGAAAAGCACTGGATTGGCAAGAAGTCATCATTTCTGATGAGTTCACTGGAGTACTCTTTTTAAACATTACGCGGGTCCAATGGAATAGGCAGGAGTCAGCACAAAATTGAGAAAGAGAAAAAAATACTATTACAAAGAGTTCATAAAGGCAACAGTTTCCAACGTATCCCTGTTCTCTTTTGGAGCAATGGATTTTAAGACTATCCATACCTTTTGATCTTGAAAAAGTGTCTTAAGCTGAATAAAATGCATTAGTTTCATTGAATTTTGATGCCTGTTGGGAAAAATCAATGTTATTTTAAGACTGCTGCATACAGCATGACCCAACTTAACAATAACTGAACAGGCCTTTTATTTGCCATATTTTCTTGAAATGTGAAATATATTGAAGGTTAACCTGCCCTGTGTAGTACTTCCCATGGTGAAGCGTGAAGCACATTAAGTAAAACACAAAAGCATTCTGTTGAGTAGGCTATAACTTAAAAAAAAAAAAAAACTATTAAGGGAATCTACTGCTAATTCGTTCTGTAATCAGGTTTACGTTTAAGTGTAGTGTAACATTTTTGTGTTGGTGTACATTTTTCATAAACATATTGGGGGGACATGTCTAAATTGTCAGTGTGAGAAGCGTGCCATGCAATTAATACCTGCAGGTATGTAGAAAGTGACAGCTCCACCACAGTTTTAAAGCGATCTAATTATTAAAGAATTTTGTCGCAGTCGCGTATAAAAAGAAAAATGTAAGAAGCAATAAAAAAAGTCACAGTGGGATTAATATTTCTGCATTTTCCCTCAGAGTGAGAAAGTAGTGAAACTGCCGTGGACCAGTTACCTCCTCCGTGAAAAAAAGAAGTTCTCCATATTGAGCTAAACCCGGCTTAGCTCATAGGCTAAGAGTGATAATCTGACACTCAGTGAGTGACCTGGTCCAGCACAGGAGTTTCCAGTTCTCAACTGAGGAAGTGAGGGGTGACTGGAGAACCCATGTAAGTTGTCAAACCTTCTTACATTGGGGGCAGTGGATCAGGGCAAGATGACATCTATACAAGGGAGAGCTGGCAGCCTTAGGCCTGGGGGTCAAATGCCTCCCTGCCCCCAGTCCCAGCCCACCCCTGCCAGGGAGGGGGAAGGTCACATTCCCTGGTGGTCTGGTGGCATGCTGTGGGCCCCCGGCTACCTGTACAGCACAGTCCATCCATACTTCCCAGCTGCTCTGCTCTAAGTCTTGTGAGCCGCAGAGCGTGTTGCCATGGTAAACCGTGGCAACTTTCTGACAAACGCGGCGCTCGCGAGACTTCGTCTCGCAGTCTACACAGACTTAGTCTTGCGGTCATCAGAGCATTGCCGCGGGTTGCCATGGCAATGCTCAGCATGGCTCGCAAGACTTAGAGCAGAGCAGCTGGGAAGTGAGGATGTACAGGTAGCCAGGCAGTCCAAAGATGCACATATATATATATATATATATATATATATATATATATATATATATATATCAATCATCGCTATATATATGTGCATGTGGGGCACAGGACTCCCCGAGCAGTCCAGACCCATTACAACCGTTATGGTTGTCATGCCCTGATGGCAGCACTGGAGACAGCGAAAGTTTTTACATGATTTAGGTCGAAAAAGAGATACAAAAAATGTTTTTAGATTTATTGAGGATTACTGGTAATCTCTAGTTTTACTGCATCAGACCAATATATGTAACAAACATGGAAACAAAAAGGAAAGTCATTACAGAGTCATTACAGAGCAATTCAAAGAAACAAATTACAGTACAACTTTACAAATTCATGTTCACATTGAGATTTGTGATTAGCATTGAGAGATTTGTGCGGTTATGAGAAGGTTTACGTTAGATAACCTTATCTAAAAAATGGCATAGCAATACTTTATGCTAATATTCTTAAAAAAACATTTCCATATCACCCTGCAATAATTATGCAGTTTATTAATGTCCGTTTACATCTAACATCTATTTTCCCATCACAAAAATATTTTAGTAAAGTGCAATCTTCGTATTATTTGATAACATTAATTCTCATGGATTTTCTTTCTAAATGTTGCTGATGAACTAACTGTATTGAAAACACAGAACTCTCCCATCAATCAGTACTGACTACAGAAACATTCCAAAACTGTTCTCTATAGCAACACACCAAAACTTTTCCAACTTCACTTAGGTAAACTGTTTTTCTTCCTGAATTCAAGCCTATGTTTCTGCTCTGATATGTTTAATAGTATTTCATACATTTTATTGGTGTAGTCTAGTATAAAAAGGGAGAGGGGTGACTGTGGTTATGGAGATTGGTAAATAAGTGCAATATAGAGTTCACTGTACTTGTCGTAATCATCACATATTCAAAAGCTTAAATGTATATCACTTTAACATTTTAGTACTTTCAATATTGGAATCTAACTGCCTTTAGCGGTCCACCAGAAACAGTACCTGAACATGTGTGAGGATATTAAGAATAAAAAATAAAAACATGCATCGTAAAGAGACACTATAGTCACCAGAACCACGACAGCTTAATGTAGTGGTTCTGGTGCCTATAGCCTGTCCCTGCAGCCTTAGCACTGTAAACTCTCCCTTTTCAGAGAAAAGGCAGCGTTTACATTGCTGGCTAGTTACACTTCTGGTGTCAGGCACTAAGCCAGCCACTAGAGTTGCTTCCTGTGTATGCATGGAGGCGCTGAACGTTCCCCATAGATATGCATTGATTCAACGCATCTCTATGACATTTTGTTGTATTTCAATACAAAAGCATTGGATTGGTTGAGATCGTCAAAATTGGACCCAGGAGGGGCCAGCTGTGGCAAGACCGGCACAACTTGAGAGAAAAAGGGAGTAAAAACATCTCTAATCTCCGGAGAGAAGGGGCCATGGATCTAATGCTGCATTCCAGCACTATATTGTTCCTATAAAGAAGAATTAAAAGGAACCCAGACCACTACAGCATTTTATAGATATGGCATTGTTTTCATTGTAAGGTAATCATGCCTCTAGTGGCTGTCTTCCTGACAGCCACTAGAGAGGCTTCCACACATATAACAGAGTTTGACATTGTCATGTGACGTTCGACGTCAAACCCCAGTTCATGACGGTCATAAGAGATGTATTTGATTGCATGTGGGCAGCATGAGCATCTTGTCCCCAATGCTTCTCTGTGAGTGAAAAAAGTAAATTCCCTTTTCATTATTTTTTAAAACTCAAAAGGGAGGGTACTGTTTTTCTGAAAATCGTTGGTTTCTCACACTCCCCAAGGGTCCAAGCTTTAGTATAAGATAAACATAGAGTCCAAGCATATAGTATAAGATAAATAAATAAGTCTTATGTTATGCAATATTTTTTACAAGTGCATCCCATTTTCAGAATTTATTTTGCATAAACATAATGGCTAAATAAACTTATAGGATTCTTTCAGAAGACTCTACACGTTCGTACTCCCACCTCTGATGCTCGCCTTCAAGACTTGTCTAGGGCTGCACTGTTCCTGTGGAACTCCCTTCCCTCCTCAGTTAGATGCTCACCCAATATCTACTCCTTCAAAAATCGTTTTAAAAAAAAAAAATCACTATTTCATGAAAGCATATCAATTCAACTGTTAATAGCTCCCAACTGATTCCTCTCCTGCAACTGTAAAAAAAAAAACAAAAAAAAAAAAAAACACTGTCTTCAGTGAATACTATTCTACCAATCTACTTCCATAATACCATCCTTACCCCACTCCCTCTAGAATGTAAGCTCTTTGAGAAGGAACCTCAACCCCTTTGTTCCTGTGCGTCCAACTTGTATGGTTACAATTACGTTTGTTAGTCCACACATTGTAAAGAGCTGCGGAATTTGTTGACGCTATATAAAAATAATAACAATAATATTAATATATATTTTTTTTTAAATAGATCATGGTCTGTGCACCAAAACCATTTTCCTTTCAGGGAAACATCAATTTTTACATTTGTCTGAAACTATCCCTCCAGTGACTGGCAAATCCAGATAATTGCCATGGGTGAGCCCTATGTTCCCACTGCTTTTTTAGGTAAAACACTGGGTGGAACAAAAGTAATCATAACTGATGACGTCACATGAGACAGAGAATCTGCTCCGGGAAAACTATCCAAGTACTAGAATGAAGGGGAGTTTAAAATCAAATTTTTTTACTTTACTTACTAATTTATTTTTTAAACGGAAGGCGCCAATAAGCAAAACTCTAACAGAAATGCTAATTTTAAAAAGAAATTACTTTATTATGTGATTGGTAATATTGGCCTCTATTTAATATTTTGGGATAAATTTTTCAATTTATTTAATAATTTTAGATAAAGTTTTAAAATAATTTCATATTTTGGAAAATATTTTGATATTTTTCATGCACGGTATAATTATTTATATTAAAAAAAAAAATACTTTAAAAGTTTATCTAAAAATATTAAATCAGTAGAAACGCTTATCAAAAATCTTAAAATGGAGGCCACTATAAGTGGTATTGTGTAGTGATCGTGATTAATGTAGGCGTTAAACGGAGCTTTTACTTTAAGAGCAGCAATGGGAGCAGTGCTGCCTCAGATTAGCAGGGGTTTCAGGCCCTGGTGGCAACTGAGAGAGAGAGAGAGAGAGAGATATAAGCGAATAATCCTTTTAATGGGAACTGCTAAAGTTTTCTTCTGCTACAATTGAATGAAAACACACTGTTAGTGGCTGTCCGCGCAGCATGATGTTGCTCAACGTGGAAAGAGAATCATTGTGTTCCACAGTTTTCTACAAGAATCATTAGATTGGCCGACTGTGGGAACCACCATGGGCCACAGGTCCTTAAAGATGCACTAGAAGAATCATCTAATTGGACCAGAGATCACCGTGATTGAGGATTTCATCTTGGGCAAATCAGGTTCAGAGTCTGACTTGTCCCAGGAGTACAAGTTGTTTTTTTGTTTTTGTTTTTTATAAATTGGGGTATAATTAAAACTAAAAAAAAAGAAACATTTGACAAAAATAAATATAATTATTTACAAAAGTTAAAATGTATGTTAAAATAAGTGACTTGGCTAAATAAGCAAGGACAAAGTTGTCCAGTTTCTGTATTAAAAAGGCTACGTTTCTTGAGGATGCGCAATGAGGCTATCAGCAGCCTATCATGGATTGAAAATAAATATGTGTGTATATATAAAACAAAAATAGTAATGCACTCCACCTTCCTTGATGTACTTGCCCGGTGCTTATCAGCAAACAGATACAGCCAAAAGTACAAGATAGCACTCCAGGGACTTCCAAGTTGAATTAATAAAACTTAGCTTTTATTAGCTCAAAATAAAAATCAACGTTGCAGTCTGTATCACAGACTTTCATCAGGATGAGCTTGCAAATCAAATCCATAAGAATATATACCCTCAATATTCCCTTAACTTACCCAGTGTGTATATATATATACACACACACACATATACATATATACAGGGACGTATTAGCCGCGAGGCAAACAAAAAACCTGCCCCCAAATGCCCAGGGCAAATGTCTTGTTGGCCTTGCGGCTAACTAAAAATCCGGGGAGGGCTGCTGGGCGGGCGAGCCACAGAGCGATGCCGGGAGCCGGAATATGACGTTATATTCCGGCTCCCAGCATCACTCCACGGCTCGCGAGGGAGCTGAGCAGAGAGCTCACTAATCAGTGCTCCCTCGCCAGCACTGCCCTCCCAGCAGCCACTGGACCCCAGGGAAAGGGAGAATATTCCCCCCCAGCATTCCCAAAGGTAAGGAGGCTGGGTGGGTTGAATTGAAAAATAAAAAAAAGTGAGTGTGTTAATGTGAGTATGTGTCTGTTAGTGTGTGTGTGTGTTAGTGCGTGTGAGTGTGTGTCTGTTAGTCAGTGTGTGTATGTCAGGGAGTGTGTCTGTTAGGGAGTGTGTTACTATGTGTGTGTCTGTATGCGTGTCTGTTAGTGAATGTGTGTGTCTGCTAGTGACTGTCTGTTAGTGAGTGTGTATGTCTGTTAGCTAGTGTATGCGTGTGTCAGTGAATGTGTGTGTATTTAGAAGGCGGGGCAGGGTGGGGTGGCGCGCCTGAGTTTTGTCATGCCTAGGGCAGCACAAAACCAGGATACACCACTGCATATATATATATATATATATATATATACACACACACACACACACACACACACACAATTCCATTGAAGTACTATCGCCTCAAATTATCACCCAACTCACAATTGTTTACATGAAACTTAACCCCTTAAAGACGGAGCCAAATGTACACGTTGTAAACAAAACAAAATGTAAACAAAACCTGGCATTTGCGCTACATGTCTGTCCAACCGTAATTCAACTCTTTCATATTAAATGCACCCACACTTATTATATATCATTTTATTCAGGGGAAACAGGGCTTTCATTTAATATCAAATATTTAGCTATGAAACATAATTTAATATGAAAAAAATGGGAGAAAATAAGATTTTGTTTGATTTTTTTAGTTCTACGTGACATTTTAACTGTCAATGTCATAATAATGTTTGCTTTTACTGCAATAAAATGCACATATTTGTATTCAGCAAAGTCTCACGTGTAAAACAGTACCCCCTATGTACAGGTTTTATGGCGTTTTGGGAAGTTACAGGGTCAAATATAGCACGTTACATTTGAAATTGAAATTCGCCAGATTGGTTACATTGCCTTTGGGACTTTATAGTAGCCAGGAATGAAATTTACACCCATAATGACATACCATTTGCAATAGTAGACAACCCAAGGTATTGCAAATGGGGTATGTCCAGTCTTTTTTAGTAGCCATTTGGTCACAAACACTTGCCAAAGTTAGCGTTAGTATTTGTTTGTGTGAAAAATGCAAAAAACGCCAATTTTGGCCAGTGTTTGTGACTAAGTGGCTACTAAAAAAGACTGGACATACCCTGCTTGCAATACCTTGGGTTGTCTACTATTGCAAATAGTATGCCATCATAGGGGTAATTTTAATTCTTGGGCTACCATATGGTCTTAAAGGCATCGTAACCAATCTGGCGAATTTTAATGTGAAAAAAATGAAACGCAAGCCTTATATTTGACGCTGTAACTTTTGAAAACACCATAAAACCTGTACATGAGGGGTACTGTTGTACTCGGGAGACTTCGCTGAACGTAAAAAGTATTACAGCAATAATATCGTCCGTGTAAGTGCTGTTTGTGCATGAAAAAGGCAAAAAAAGTCACTTTTACTGTCAGGCAGGTCCCGCTAATTGTAATTAATTAAGATACCTAATTATGTAAAAATATTACATAAATATATATGTAGAATTAATATATATATATATATATATATATATATATATATATATATATATATATATATATATACACACACACACACGTATGTGAATCTATATGTGTATTTATATATATATATATAATTTTTTTCAAAATATTTTTATTTATATATAGGTATATATATAGTGATATATACGTATATATTTATGTATGTAGATATATATATTATTTCGTTCTACGTGTATTTTGATATAAATATATATATATTAATATCACAATACAGTTAGAACGAAATAACACACATCTATATATTTTTTAATTATTTTTTTAATTTTATTTAACGTATTTACATATATATATTTATATATAATATAAAAAATTAAATAACAATTATATATATATTTAATCAGTATCAGTCTACGTGTAATTTGATATTAATATATATATATATATATATAATTATATACATATTAATAGTAAAATACACCTAGACAGTGTGTATATATTATAGAGAGAGAGAGAGAGAGAGAGAGAGAGAGAGAGAGATCATATATATATATGATCTAAGTATACATTTTTATTTTTATTTTATTTTTTACACTTTTAAATTTATTTTATTTTTATTTTCAGCCAGTCATTACAGGCAGCCCCCCTGCTGTCAATGCTGCAGCCAGCTATCCCCGCCATGTGATTGTGAGGTCCTCGCAACGACCTCACTCTCACATGGCCGGGGGGGGGCTCCCTGTGGATCCCCCCACCGCGATTGCCGGTGTGGGACCGCCGGCGACCGGGTAAATAAAGACCGGAGGGCGTACAATTACGCCCGACGGCGTTTAGCGCCACCTAAAATAGGGCGTAATTGTACGCCCTCCGGTCTTAAGGGGTTAATTGACGTAATACTTCCATATTCGGTTATCATTTATCTAAATAAATCTTTCCAAGGCAGTCATTTTTTTGGTTTGATACAACACAACCATTGGTCTATGCAGACTGCTATTGTTTTCATTTCGGTATATGACTTTGTTACCTTGAATTATTATTTTTAATCTGTAAAAAAAAAAAGCCAATGTTACATTTTGGAAAGGAATTTGGCTTTCTTTTCAAGATCTTTTCATTAAGGGTCATCTGAGGAAAATATATATATATCCAGATTAAGAGCCCAGTGGGCCTGGTGCTGACAATTATGATGGGGCCTAATTACAGAATCTTATCGACCAAAAACACAAACAGTACTACCTCCCAAGCGTCATGTATCTGATGGAGATGATGGTGTTGGAGGGAAACTCAAAGGATGCAGCTATAAGAAAACACATGCTCTATGCTAATCTCTTTCTAATTTATGCTTCCATCTTTCAAGTAAATCCATACCCCCTAATAGCAGTGTCCAGTGAAGCAGGAAGTCAAGGGGCTGGGTAAAAGGGTGGGCCACTGACGCGAATCACGTGACCAGAACTGCCAAAAGGGGCGAACATGCCCAAAAAGGGGGAATGTCTGTCCAAAAAATTGGAAGGCTAGCCTGGCATCAGTGTCCCCATGTCGCCCAGTCCCCATGTCACTAGGATACTAGGGGACACAGAGACATGGGGACACAGACACTTGGGGACACTGGAAGACATGGGGGCACTTGTGGATACAGACATGGGGACACTGGGAGACATGGAGACACTGGGAGATATGGGGACACAGACACAAGGGACACTAGCTGGGAGGCATGGGGATACTGAGACACTTGGGGACACTAGGAGACATGGGGACACAGACACTAGGGATACTGGCTGGGAGACATATGGACACTGTGAGACAGATATTTGGGGACACTGTGAGACCTAGGGACACTGAGACACTAGGGACACTGGGAGCGTGGGGACACAGACACTTGGGACATTGGCTGGGAGACATGTGGACACTGGGAGACAGATATTAGAGGACCCTGGGAGGCATGGGGACACAGACACTAGGAGACATGGGGACACTGGGCACACTGAGACACTAGGGACATTGGCTGGGAGACATGGAGACACTGTGTCCCTAGTGTCTCCAAGTACCAATGTGTCTCACAATGTCCCTATGTCTCACAGCATCCCCATGTGTCTCAGCATCCCCAAGTGTCTCAGTGTGTCCATGTTTCCCTGCTGCCTTTCCCCCCCATCCTTCACTTCCCTGAGCTGTAGTCTCTGCAGACTGGGAGCTGCTGTCTGAACTCTCTGTGCTGTGTAGCTGCTTCCCCGCGGATCAGTGAGTAGAGAGAGGCAGGAGGAATACGCTGTAACGTCCTGTCCCTGCATCTCTCCACACAGTGACCCCTACTGGCTGGTGTTAGTATTGCAGAGTAATCTCCGTTTATACTGAGAGAAATATCTGCATTTGTATACCGGCACGGCCAGGCAGCCTCAAATACCAGCTGTGCTGGTAAAATACCAGTCAGGTGGCAAACCCAAGAGTAGTGTGTAAAAAAAAAATTCTTTTTTCAAATGGGCCTATTCCATGGGCCTGAGCCTGGAGCTGCAGCTCCATCAGCCCCTATGTTAATCCGGCCCTGTGCATATAGTGTTTGTATACAATTTCATCTTGGACAATATATTATTCATTTAATATAGCTTTATTTTTTTTCAATGATGCACTCTAAATGTTTAAGAGGTACACCTTAATGTTGTGAATAAATCCTTTGCTTTTTTTCCCTCTTCCAAAGTAAAGCATTGGCATTTGTGAGAAATACAGACAGATAGGCACCTCTTTACAAATCTGTACAATTTTTACATTTGGCATCATGACGCACAAATGACAAATGCAGGTAAGAAGCATCTAATTGGAGATGCGTGGCTACTGTCCACATGCGTCATACGTTCTCAATGTTTTTCTCTATGATGAGCATTCAATTGGACCAGATATCATCAGGATCATCACACCTTGGTGAGCGGACTGTCTCTGGTGCTGGATTACAAGTACACTTAAAGGGACACTCCAGTCACTATAACAACTTAATCTAAATTAAGTTGTTATGGTACCAGGAGGCCGCTGTGCATACTCTTACCATAAGGGATTAAACTGTTCTCAAACTGTTTCACCCCAAAAGTTGTCTCCAGCGCCAATCTCTAGGCACCCTAGAGGGCATATGACTTCTAAAACTCAGTTACAGCAAGCGCGGACTGCCGCCGGGCAGGGGCATCACTGATTGATCGCTAACCCAATCAGTAGCGCCCCCATTGATTTAAAAAAAAAAAAAAAAAGGTAAGTTTCTTTACAGTTTAACCCCTTAAGATAAGAATATGCCCAGGTGCCTGCTGGCACCATAGCAACTTTATTTAGATGATAATGCTATGGTAACCAGAGTTTTCTTTCAATGACTTTGTTAAAAAAAAAAAAAAAAAAAGGTTGAAACAAGGGGCGGCCCTAAGTATAAACCTCCTAAGGAACAATCACATTGGTTCACATTTATTTTTAACATTAAAGGGATATTTTAAGCGCCATAACAATCACAGCATGCTGTACTAATTATGTTGTCAGGAGTCCTCTGGCACTGTACCCTGCATAAGAGTGAAGAACATATTGAGAACACAACAATATAAACAGCCTTGGTTGCACAGTGATGTCAAAGAGGTTTTAAACTTCTCCAAAATCCTCAATTCTTTGGTACTGAAATGCACCCCAAATTATACAAATTGCTATTCTCGATATTTTCTTTACCACTTGATAAATAATTCAACATTTTTCTTGTGGTTGCAGACAAAACAAAAATATATATGATATGATATAGCGTAAATAATTATAATAGTAATAACATTTGGATAGTTTATATAAGCAACTAGAACGATTTAAATATACTACACAACAAACAAACCCTGAGGATATTGCAAACAAATGTGCCGGCGGCATCTGTCAAAACATGACATAAGTAGTATTTTATTTCATACCACAAAACGGTAGAATGGTAGACAGGAAAAGAGACATCACGACAAACGCAGACAACAAGATCAAAGCAATAACAAGAGAACGTTAAAGACAACTTGGCTAAATAGATTGCAAGGCTACCCTTTTTTAATTCTCAATCTAATCTGAAATGTATGTCATCATAAAAAGAGATATTTTTCAGTAATTTTACCAGAGGCAGTTAATATAACGAGAAGTTCTATTTTATCCGTAGATTTATTGCAATAGAATGATATCATTTTATATATAGTATTTCATTGCTTAGCCTTCCTGCATGCACACATTGATTAAAGCATTAATATCTTTGAACCGATGGGTATTATTATTATAAAGAGCTATAATTTTATTTTTTTTCAAGTTTTTTTTTTTTTTTATTTCCTGCATGAGATCCATCTCAAATAAGTGCAATTATAATTAAAAATGTATAATTTAATAAAAAATATTCCCACATGTGCCTGTATTGCTCCCCATGGTTAATTAAGAAATCACGCAAATTACACTTTAACAATTCACAGAACACTACTGTGTTCGGTTGAGTTACTAGTTTCTACAACCTGCTGTAAAGTTATACCCATTAATAGAAACATTTAATTTAATTAATAACATTTTAAAGATGTGTCTGCTACAGCAATAAAGATACAACACAATAAATGAAAACAAATGCATGCAAGCCTGGTTTATGACAGAAGCAAATTACTCCTGTGGAATCAGTACTGTGAGGTTTCCCCATTGGAAGGCACTCCAGCTGTTATGGACTACTTTTCCCATCATGCTGTGAGTGAAAATCTGTAAAGGCAATTCAGAGCAGCTGGGTAGCCAAACATTTACCATCACTGGACTAGTGCAATAGCCCTATATCTTCTGAATCTAGATCTCACAATAAAAAAAGTAAACAGAACACAAGTCTACTGCAGACCTCTTGGATACAGACAGAAGTAAATCAATATTCTGCTTCCTGAGAATACTCAATGCCTTTTAGTTCTAGTGAGAATCCAAGAGGTTCTGCAGCACATGGGGATTTCCAGCCATGAGCAAATAAAAAGTATCAATAGCTCCTGATTGAAATTAAATCAAAATATTGCTGCTACTGTTCCTTAGAGCATCAGTCAGTGCAATGATGACTAGCCTTGGCATCCCAGATGTTTTAAGACTAAAATTCCCATGAGGCTTAGCCATTCTCCAGCCTCACATTTGGGGTGCCAAGGTTAGAGGGGTGCTCTGTGTGGGTTAGTAGAGCAAAGATGGAGATGGTACACATGACCCAAGCAAAAGAGAAACATAATTACCCCAGAGGCTGCACTGGCTGCACACAGGATGGGTGGCAGCTTGTCTCTCTGTCTCTCCTTCTCATCATGGCAGCCCAGCTGCTCATCGTCCATCTGGCACTCACTGGAGAGAGCCTCACACCCGCCTGAGTGTGAGCTCTGCACAGACATGGTGAGCTAGCAAAGCTTGATGGCAATAAAGGAGACCTGCCTGCCTGCTCGCCCTCCCTCCCTCCCCACCCAGGAGAAAGAGGAGGATGGAGGGAGCTCTCTCACACACCAATCCCCCAGCTGCTGCACTCTACCCTCCAAAAGCAGAGTGCCTGTCCCTCCTGTGCCACCCAGCACCACCAGCCAGCCAGCCCACCACCCAGCATGTCATCCAGTGCCCCCAGATCCCAGCTCAGTACACTGCTTCTGCAGCCAGAGCAGGCGCCATGTTGTTTATAAGATGTTCCTAGAGACCGGCTTGGAGACAGGGGGCGTCCTTTTTTTGTTTGGGGGCCCCTAATACGCAGTTAACGCAGAGGGCCAATGAAGGCTATTCCTACGCTGCTGTCGTAGACGTCGTTGATGGATAGCAGAGTGTGCGTAGCGTAGAGCGGAGGCGGCCGTGTCAACTGAGTAGAGTGTGTTCCCTCCTGGCAGCTGTGCTGCTTCCAGCTAGTGATACCACATACACACATACACACACTGCTGGGTGCTGGGTGGGTGCCAGCTGCTCTCCCCCCACATGCACACACTGCTCTCTAAACCATACATAAGTGGTCTGCATTTTTTTTCCTTCCCCAAAAATAGGGGTGGTAAGGTTTGCACAGACAGAGGGATGACATAGTTTTAGACTGTGATCATATCCTGATCAGCCAATATATAACAATTTTAGCTCCACACAGGGCTACAGAGAGAGGGGAGGTTTATTGACTTGAATAAGAATTGTGAAGGAATTGAAAAGAAGATAGCAAATGTTAAGGGATTGCACATGTTATGGAATACCAGAGCTGGGAACTTTTCCTGTTCTCCGCAATTTTTAGTTTAGTAAATACGTTTAAATACTAGAGTTATTTTTATTTTTTTTCCCCATTTTTTTTTTCTTAAACCAAAAATTAAAAAGGATATTAATATTTTATTTCCCCCCTTTACTTTTTGCCGCAAGTGGAAACAGTTTTATTTTATAAAAATGTCAGTGATGCCAGGGATAAAAAAAATATTACTGCGACTGTATTTTCCTTATGGAAAGTGTTATTCAGATGTCTTACTGTGCTGATGGAAGTAAAGGAAGTAAAAAAAAATTTAAAAAAATAAAAAAGTCTACACTGGTGTATTACTTCATCTAGTTTACAGAAGTGATACAGTTTAAGACACATTTATTTTAACACAATTAAAAAAAAGAAAAATAAATGGAGTTCTTTCTTGGGAGAGTCAAGAAAGAATCATTCAGTGCACAAAAATAAAAACCGTGGACATTCGTATTAAAATATTTTGATGTAGAAATAAATAAATCTACATCAAACGAATGCAAATGAGGAAGTTTGTTTTTTTAATTTTTTTTTTTAATTTAATTTTTGGGCATTACTGAAAAGCTCAGCGGTCACATTACTTGCAGTGCTTGCCAACTTTCTATAATAATTTTATAATGTCCTATCTGTCACTGGTAGCCCGTTTCCATTATATTGTAAAAAGACTTGTGCTTTATAGATAAAGGTCCATGCTTTTAAATTAGCATAATTTCTATCAGTGTTCCATCTAATTGCTTTTTGTGTATGTGCATAGGCAATGCCTAAGGCACATATTCAGGTTATTGTAAAAGAATTCTGTTTTTTCCTATCAGTATGTTGAGGTCCGGTGGGTCACTGAAAGTATATAGCACTCAACACAAGAAGTAACAATGTGCCTTTTGGATAGTGAAGTGTCACCCTTGAACATTTTTGCGGTGTTTATATTAGTATAACTCGTCTTTAAATGTGGGTTGACACGCACAATTCAAAAGAAAAATGTTGACGGCAAAATTTTTTTCATGCTATTTTACCGGCAAAGGAAAGAATTCTCACCACCTTGCCCCTCTCTTTCTCAACCACACCTAGGTCATGCTTTTCCGACCCTTCAGACTTTCTCCCAGGCTACTGAACAAGAGGTGGCTGCGCTTCTCCTTTCCTCTCGACCCACCACTTGTCCACTTGATCCTATCCCGTCTCACCTTATCAGATCTCTCTCCTCGTCTTGTGCTTCCTTAACACACATCTTCAACTGCTCTCTCTCTGCTGATGTTGTCCCTGCTGTCCTTAAACATTCTACTGTAGTACCCACCTAAAAAAAAACCACAAAAAAAAACCACAACATCTCCTGACCCATCCTCCCCTTCTAACTATAATCCCATATCCCTGCCCCCTTTTTTCTTCAAAGCTTCTGGAAAGACTTGTCTTTACCCATCTGACTTGCTTCCTCAATTCCAACTCTCTCCTTGACCCTCTTCAGTCTGGCATCCGCCCCCTCCACTCTACTGAGACTGCTCTTATCAAAGTTACTAATGACCTAATTGCAGCTAAATCCAAAGGGCACTACTCTATATTAATTCTTCTTGACCTCTCTGTTACCTTTGACACTGTTGACCATGTTCTCCTTCTCCAAACTCTTCAATCACTCTGTCTCTGTGACACTGTCCTCTCTTGGTTTTCCTCCTATCTCTCCCAACGCTCATTCAGTGTCTCCTTTTCTAATGATACCTCCTCAATTCATCCTGTCTCTGTTGGAGTCCCCCAAGGCTCTGTACTTGGTCCCCTTCTATTTTCTCTTTATACTGTCTCTCTTGGCAAACTGAAAAATGTTTTTGCTGGTAAATGCAAGGTGCATTTATACAAGAAGATACTACTATACAACATTGTGCTACAATGGAAAAGTTTATTGCCATTTACCATAGTAACACGGATGGTATCTCAATTTTAGTCTTTCATGTTAAGTCTATTCTTTCTGAAGCCCTCTTTCAGGAACAAAATTTGCCTGTGTGAATTCACCAGTTTGAATTTGTCTGAAAATTTTGAATTGTGCCCCGAATGTAATGCCCCATCGAATCTAATGAGCATTCAAATTTTGGAAACTTTATTTTCAAAAAAAGGTGAGCATTAGATTCAAGTAAATACGGTATATTATATATGCAGCCCAAGACAATTCCTCTTAGCTCATTGTGGCCTGGGCAAGCCAAAAGCTTGGACAGCTATGCTGAGGCACAGTAGCATGGGGTCCATGTCTACATTACTTTTTTAACTTGGGATGAACCTAAACAATGGCATTGATGCAAAACCAAGCATAATATATGAAAACGCAGAGGATTAGCAAAAACCTAATAGCTTCTGTTATTTCCTGTTTGTGAGCAAAATCTTGTTTGAGACCTGAGAGAGGATTAACCAAGGGGCAAGCCATTAAATGAATACTCCAGACCAATATGTGTAAAGAATAAGTCCTCTTTTTTTCAATTTACAAAATTTACAAAAACAGGCAGATTTCAATAGGAATGGCACTTTAATAAATTAATCGTATTACACCCCTTGGCTTTCAGTCAGACGTGTTCTGTTACTTCTTGTTTGTTTTGCTCAGTGGAGCTTTGCAAAGACTTCTCATTGAACTGCATTGGGAAATCTGTGATTGGACAGTCATAGAAAGTCTGGGCGGGTTTAGAAGAGGAGGGCTTGCAAAGGCTGCAGACAAGAGATTGGCAGTTTTTGCATACCATTTCTAGATATACACCTTCCCCCCCAAAAAGACATCATAAAGCATAATTAAATGCGTTATGTTTTCACTGTGGTATGTAACGGAAACTCCCACGTCACAACTTTTGGAGAGGCTTGAAAGGCAACCTCCTACCTACGGACTATGGGCCTGGTAGCAATAGCAAGTAAAAGGGGTATTGTCACTTTAGGTAGGTGTTTGGGGCCCCCGGATGCTTTCTGTACTTCCCATCTGGACTTGAGGACCTCTGTGGATTGCTGCTGAGGTACACAGAAATTTAATGCACTCCTTCATATGAGGCACTACGGAAGCTTTTGTCACAGTGTATAAAACAGTGATTTTTTATTATTTCGGAAGTAGACTGTTCCTTTAAGTGTAACCAACTGTGTATAACAGATGATCCTGTTAACTATACACATGTTAAACCTTACAGGTTACTGAATTTGCTAGCATTTCAAATCACCTTAATATTATTCTTTACAGCATTATAGAAACAAAGAATAAATACATTTTAAACAAAATCAATGTTAAAACATATCATTAACACAGATGACATACCTCTATGGATTACATGAAACTCAGAAATAAAGGAACACTATAGTGTCAGGAATATTAACTTGTATTCTGGACACTAGAGTCCTAGACCGGATGTTTAGGTGAACACTCAAGTGAAAAGGTGTAATACAGGTGGTACAAGACCCTTAGATAAATTGCATCAGTCCCATTGCTAAATTCTCTGCCATTTAATCGTAAAAACACTTGTTTCGGTTATGCAGCTCTTGCCACATCTTCCATGAGTCACACAGCTTGCTTGGGAAAAAAAGGTTTCATTTTCAGTCAGATGTTAACTTACGTTGGAGGTTTTTATCGCCTGTAAATTTAACTTTTTTTTCACACACAGGAGCTCCTACAGGGTCTAGAAGGTTATTAAAGCAGGATAAATTTTAAATAAACAAAACTTGCAAAAAAGTTACTTTAAACATGAGCTCTCTCTTTACAGGAAGTGTGTGGAAGGCTGTGGAAGTCACATGCAATGAAGAATGACAGAGAATTGAGCAGTGAGACCGCAGGGACATTATCTATTCACTAAAACTGCTTCATTGAGCTAAAGCTGTTTTGGTGCCTATAGTGTCCCTTTAATTGTGCTTCAATTAACATATTACAGATAGCAAAACTACTATAACATATAGGGTTTGACTGTACACTGCTATAGGAATATTGGAAGGGGACATTAATCAAATGATATCACCACTCTGGAGTACACCCAAATTGGCAAAAGTACAAATATTTCTGTATCATGAGGTAAAGGATATCAAACATTACTAAAAAAATAAAAAAAAATAAAAAATGTAGACAGCATGCTTTAATAAATATACTGACAATAGCTAAATTCCGATCCCAAAAATCACTGGAAAATTATGTATAAACAGTAATAGGAGTGATATACACAGTCAAATATGTAAACTTTGTGGAAGAACCCTGCTCTGTTCTAACATAACATTTCTTGCTAGATCTCTAGATAGGTATCAAAAAGGAAAATGGCAGATAGAATAGGTAAATATAACTTTATTTAAAAAATAGATTTTTATCACAGACCGCCATAAGACATGGGCAATAGCTTCCTGATCCAAGGAGAGATCTGACTGCCATTCTGGGGTCAAAAAGCAATTTTTCCTAGTTTGTTGCAAAATTGTAAAGCGCTTCAAAACATATTTGTTTGCCTTATTTTGGATCAACAGCAAAAAATGAGGTTTGAAAGGCTTAACTTGATGGATCTTTTCAGCCTATGTAAATTTTTCAGAACTTTATGTCACTTTTCAGCCTAATGCAACTATATAAGAGGATAACAGGCCTGGTAAATGTGTTGTTTTTTTTTTTGTTCTACACTATTTTTTATCCCAGTCGGGTTTCGGGATTGAATCTTTGCTGCAAGCCATTTCCTCTTTTGTGCGCAAAGGAGCCCAGTGAGAACCTGTCTCATAATTTAATGATTTGCAAATGTATCCTTTGTGGTTGTCAATTTCTTACTACATTCAGAAGAATTCTGCTACATTAGAGTGCCAGTCATAAGAGTGTTCTTTATAATGGGCTATATGGGGTAGGGGGCTACTTGAGGTTAACAAAAGAATTCTGCAATTCATGATGGAATGCCCTATACCAACCTATCAGTCTTTTCTCTTCCTCTCTCTTTAAAAAAAAATATATAAATCTACTTACTTTTTCCTACCCCTGTTAGTTACAGATAACACAACACCTGGCGATCTCTTTACCTTTCTGGACCTGAGATTTACTTGTACCCCACATCATCTAGATTGCAAAAATCATCTAAGCACATCCCTCTTCTTCAGTTTTAAAAGCACAGAGGAGTATGTTGGAGCTAAATAATAATCTAGAATTCATATGTCCACATTACATGTAGAGCAGGCTGTAATGTTGGGTCCACAAACAGCGTTAACAGTGCATTTAAAAGCACCCTGAATGAATATGCAGTTTTCAATTCAAACATTTTTTGTAACTAAAAATACAAACAAGCACGCTTTAGATTTAGCCGCCTTCCTCTGTAAGCAGTTTGGCTCCCTGTCTGTCTCAGCTTGCATAAGTTCTTGCTCAGTGTCAGACAGCTCACACATATCACTTGCAGACAGAGGCTCTACGAGGGCGAGTTTGCTGTTTATAGTGGAAATTGACATGGAATATGTTACACACAAACCCTGGCATCATCCACTATTACTTAGTACAAAATCACCCTGGCACGAGTCCTGGGATTGCCTCAGATGTGTAGGGATGTGGGCACTGTAAGCAAGATGGGATTGTGGGAGTCTTTAAAGACTGGAAATCAGTGCGTCAATAATTCCATAGGAAGATGATACTGTCCTATAATGTGACTTAGAATTTAAAGGGACACTGTAGGCACTGTAACTGCTTAATCTCATTGAAGGGGTTATAGTGTTTGCAGTGGCGTACTAACAGGGGGAGGAGGATCAGTCCGCTGGGTGACCGGCACAGCGCCCTCCTCCTGCCGGTCACTGCATGTAGTGTAGCCGAGCATGCAGAACACGGTAGAGGAGCCTCTGTTTTCGCTACCCGGTAGGACAGGAAGTGCTCAGTGAGAGCAATACACTGCTTCCTGCCAATGTGTTTGCTTACATGGAATCTAGAATATGCATAGGGGATCCAGAGTGTGTATGTCAGAAATGCAGTGTGTCTTGGTGGTGCAGCGTATGTGTAGGGGATCTATTGTGTGTTTGAAGGACCCAGAGTATGTATAGGAGATCTAGTGAGTGTGTGTAGAGGATTCTTAGTGTATATAGAGATCTTGGGTGTGTATATATGTTGATGATCCAGAGATGGGTAAGGGATCTAGTGTTTGTCTGGAATGCAGTATGTGTGTGAGGGGTTCTGTAGTACTGGCGTACATACCGCGGTCGCAGGGGTTGCAGCTGTGACCGGGCCCATCTCTCAAGGGGACCTGGCTGCCCTGCGGACTCCTGCGACCTGGTGCCTGCCATCATCATTTGCGGCCCCAGCCCCGGTCCGCGCGACAAACCGCCGGGGCCGCATGTTAAGGTGCCCATCGAGTGGCCCATGCTGTCAGGGCCACCCAATGGAGATGGATTGTCAGGGGGCCTGGTCAGCGCTAGGCGCTTTAACAGCACGACCGAGTCCCCTGTGATGAGCTAACACACAAAGACCGCGCGGGAGAAAGAACAAGGAGTCAGAGCAGGAACTCTGACTCCCATCAACCTGAACCACCACTTGACCCCATGGAAAGTCACCCTCCTGCACTTAAAAGGTAGGTAACAGGAGGGTGACTTAAATATTACATGTGTGTGTTTGTTTGTATGTGTGTGTCTGTGTCTGTCGGTATGTATGTGTGCCTGTCTGTTTGTATGCATGTCTTGTGTGTCTGTCTGTATGTATCTTTCTGTCTGTATGTGTCTTTGTATGTATGTGTGTCTTGTGCATGTCTGTCTGTATGTGTCTGCCTGTCTGTGTGCCTATCTGTTCTTATGTATGTCTTTGTATGTTTGTCTTGTGTGTGTGTGAATGTATGTGTGCCTGTTTGTATGTGTTTCTGTCTGTGTCTTGTCTGTCTGTGTCTTGTCTGTCTGTGTCTTGTCTGTTTGTATGTGTGTTTGTCGTATGTGTGTCTGTCTCTGTCTGTATGTATGTGTGTGTGCCTGTCTGTTTTTATGTATGTATGTGTCTTTGTATGTATGTGTGTCTTGTGTGTGAGTGTGCCTGTCTGTATGTGTCTTTGTATGTATGTGCCGTGTGTGTGTATGTATGTATCTGTCTGTGTGTGTCTCTCTGTATGTATGTGTGTGCCTGTCTGTCGGGGGTAGTTAGAGGGAAGGAGAGGGGGGCCCCATGGATCAGTTTTGCACCGGGGCCCCATGGGTTATGTGTACGCCACTGTTCTGTAGTATATATACATATGTTTATATGTTTGGAAGTATTGTGTGTGTATGTGGGGCAGCATGTTTGGGGGCTGCTGTGTGTATGTGTGAGGTGTGCAGTGTGTGTGTGAAGGGTGTAGTGTGCGTTTGTGAGGAGTATAGTGTGTGTGTGTGTGTGAGTGGTGGGTGTTGTGCCTAATCATTAAATTCATGAAGCACCAATATCCAAAAAGTAACAATCAATACCTAATAAGGTTTATAGCGACACAACCCAGTTTGGGATGAGTATCTTGAACTATAGGTAAGAGAAATCACACAGAGACCAAGTTGAAGATAAAAATTCACACCACACTTTATTGTCCACAAGGGGACCCAATACAAAGTAAGCTTAATTCTCATTAAGTTGTTGCATATGGTTTAGCTTGTATATTGGGTGCAATCATTCTAGTGAGGGGAGTGTCATGGACTGAGAGTGGCCTATTGTTCAATATGTTCACAGCTGTAGGCAAGTTATCTCTCCATTTGTGCATGGTCCCTTCACCAAGTTTTCTCAATTGTTTTTTCAATAACCCATTAATTCTTTCAATCAGACCAGCTGCTTGAGGATAGTAGGGTATGTGAAATATCCATTCAACATCGTTTTCATCACAAAAGTCTTGTACCAGTTTTCCTTTAAAGTGACTTCCATTGTCATTCTGAATCTGTAATTGGAGACCATAGTACTGTATTATGGTTTCCAACATTTTAATAGTATTTATTTCAGTAGCCCTCTTGCGAGGGTGAACCAATAAATATCTTGAATATGTATGACAATTTTTACTCATATGAAGTGGACCTATGTAATCCACCTGCCATATTTGCCCTGGTGTTGTTCCTCTTTTTATTTGACCTCATACCATCCCTGGTACATGTCTATTCTGCTCATGCTGACACACTGGACATTGCAGAATTACTGTTTTAATTAAATCAAGCGGCACTAAAATGCCTCGCTGTTGTGCCCACCTGTGAGTGGCTTTCTCTCCCAAGTGTCCACATTTCTGATGGGCCCAAGTAGCCAATCCCAAAAGTGAGTTAAGATTTTCAACAGACGCTTCTGAGATCTTGGCTTTCTCGTCTGCAACAGAGTTAAACAGACGATCCAATGAGTCAGTTTTACAGTGAGCATCGACATGAAAGACTGTTACCTCATTTTGATGTACTATCTCCCATATCTGCTCCCACAAATCTGTACCCCAGACTTCTTTTGTATGAATCATAAAATGATGTGACTGCCATGTAGGCAACCATGTAGCCAATCCAGAAACCAAGATTTTCTTGGTTTCTGGATTGTAAGACACTGCTTTCCATTGTCTCTCATTACCAATGTATTTTGCTGAACCATCAGTAAACCAAGCATGTTTTGCTTGATCCGGTGTTAGTTGCGCAAAAGACTTTCCCCACTTTACTGGAGATTCCCCTGGCTTGTCTGCTTCTGGCAGATAACCAGGTTCTTGTAATGGTGCATCTGCAATTTTCTCATGTACTACAGCCGTACCACTATTTCCTCTTTTAGCCCTTCTCCTGTATGTACCACTTCCATTTTATAATACTGGATTCTTGTGCATGACCTATCCTATGTGTCTTTGGGGAACTAAGTACCCATTGCATGATAGGTATCTCTGGGCGTAAGAACACTGTATGTCCTGTTTGGACATGTGCAATTCGTTTCGGTCCGAATGTGAATTCGGACGAATTTTGGGCCATTCGGGTACCTCCGAGTGTCCGAATAGATGAATTGCCGAATGGTTGAAGTCCCGAAATTCCAACATTACCGAATTTTCGAAGTGCTGAAGTTCCGAAGTTGCCGAAGTGCCGAAGCACAGTATTGCCTAAGAACTAATATACTTACCCAGTGGAAGAATGAAGAATGTTACACTGTATACAATTTTAAATAAAAAGTATACAAGCATTTGCAACACTTACAACAATGAAGTAACATACATTCATATAAAATGTAAGTTACTTAGCCAGTCAGTGTAATGACAGGAATGAATAAGTAGATAACTCCCTAATTCCCACGGTATTAGGGAGCTATCTACTAATAAAGGGGGGGGGCCTAATGTCCTCCCCCCTGGCCCCCACCCCTGAGTGGCGGGTGAGGGCCCTCAATTGGAATTAGGGGGGACCTAATGTCCTCCCCCTTACTCCCACCCCTGAGCAGCAGGTGGGGGCCCTAAATACTAATAAGGGGGGACCTAATGTCCTCCCCCTTGGCCCCCACCCCGAGCGGTGGGTGGGGGCCCTAAGGGGGGGACCTATTGTCCTCCCCCCCGGCCCCCACCCCTGAGCGGCGGGAGGGTCCTAAATAAAAATGTTACCCCCACAGGTGACTAGGGGTCCCCAAACCCCTAGTCACCCCCTGCCCCCCAAAAAACAATTAACCCCCTACCTATCCCCATCACCCTAAAAATAATGAGGGGGGGACCTTTAACTAAGTACCTGTAAAAAAAATAAAACTTACCATTCAATGTTTTCTTTCTTCTAAAATCATATTTTTTCAGCCCCAAAAAAGGCCAAATAAAAAATCCGGTTTGTTCTTCTACCCAAAATCATGTTTTCTCCTGGTTACTTTGTACAAAGGGGAGAGTAACTAAATCAGGTGTGGTATGCGTGGTCTCCAAAAACCAAAGAGTTCTATAAAGCTTTGATCTTGTTTCTTGCTTTTAGGAGTTTGAAACTCTAGCACTTTTTGCTTAGCTTTTGGAAGGATTTCCCTGTGTCCTTTGTTCCACTGTATTCCTAAGAATTTTACTGTTTGAGCAGGTCCCTGTATTTTATTGGGATTTATCTCCCACCCTTTGCTCTTCATGTGCTCAATGATCTCTTCAAGAATCTGCTGACACTGTTCTTCACTCTTTCCCTGAATCATAATGTCATCGTCGATATAATGGGATATTTTCACCTCTGACTGTATTTTTACCCCATCAAGATGTTCTGCCACCAGGCGATGACAGATGGTGGGACTATGCAAGTATCCCTGTGGCAACCTTGTGAATGTGTATTGCCTCCCTAACCATGTGAAAGCAAACTGCTCTTGATTTTCTTCAGCTATTGGAATAGTGAAGAAGGCATTAGCCAAATCTGGGGGAACTCAGGCAGTCAGACTTGGAGGGGCCCTCTTTCTGGGAACAGCAGAGACCAGCAACACGTGTCTGCATTACAGGTGGGTAGTTCTCCAAGTGAGTGCCAAGTTTCTTTGTCTTTTATACCTTTTACCAAGTATGTAACTTTTCCAAGATTTCTTTTTTTTTTTTAAATATCGTTTTATTAAAGTGTTTGCGAGGTGAATAATTTGCAGTGAGGTTATGAGCAGTGCGAAACACGCAGGTTTCAATCAGTTAGAATCTCGTTTGAGGTCTTGAGATGCGCAGATCTCTGAGGATGCAAAAGTGATTGAGACTCGCAGGTCTCCTGACACAATAAATCTCTATTTACGATATTCACTTAACATGTTGTAGATTGATTAATTACAGTCTGTCAGGTGCGTTAGCTATGGTCCTGTGGTTTGAGATCGCTCACTCTGCGTTGTGATATTATTTGTTGTTTTAGGTCTTGTCGTTCGCTTGTCCTTGCAGGCTGTAATCATCTCTCAGTCTTTAATGTCGTTCGTCTGTAATGTGTCTAGAGTGTGGATGATGGGATGGGTGGGGGGTGGTCGGTGAGCCTGTTGTGTCTTTCAGTCACCTTCTTCCCGCCTGTATCTTCTATGGCCCCGTCTCACAGTGCCTATTGGTATGAGTGTGGGGTTGTGGGGGGGTGTCCTTGCGTCTTAGTGTAGTCCTGTTTAGGGTTTGATCCCTAGTGTCAGTGTGTCTGTTAGTTCGTTTGATAAGTTCCCCTCTCAGTCTCCTCCATCCTCTATATGCATTAATGTTTCAGTGTCGCTGGGGTGGGTGCAGTGTGTTGTTTCCTCCTAGCGTGGCTCCCCCAACCTCTGGTTCTTGTTTAGCGTGCCCCCTGGCCATGTAGATTTCATTTGTAACTAGTGTGATTCTGCCACTCAGGGGTCCCAGTGTGATTCCCCGGGTATTAGGCTCATCCGCAGGAGCTCTGAGGCAGGGTGGGGATGTGGGAGGGCTGGAGGGGGGGGTTTTACTTGAGTTTTGGGACGTCGTGCGTATCTCGGTTCCCTATGTGTCTTGTTCCAAGATTTCTTATCAGTGCAGCCCAGCATGTATATCTCATGCGCATTAAGTAATCGTTATGATTGATCAGGCCAGTCATGACCACCCAAGGCCCATGCCAAACACATGCGGTACCTTTTTCTATAAAACTATGTCCCTATACTCTTATCTTTCTAAACATTGCTGACAAATCCCACTTTTTAGCACGTGGGCCTTATTGAATATTGGCCAGATATGTTATAGAACATTTTATGCTATGTCATCTTAGTTGAATTTCTTAGTGCGACACAGTTTAAGACAAGTGCCATCTTAGCCATCTATAATAGTTTCATTTGCTCAATGGTGATCAATCATGCTTAATAAAAATGGAATATTATCACAAGGAGTGTAGTATGTGTGTGTGTGTGTGAGTGTGCTGTGTATGTGAGGGATATGTATTTGTGAGTGTGTGAGGTGCTGTGTGTGAGGTGTACAGTGTGTGTGAGGGTGCTGTGTGTGTGAGGGAGGGTGCTGTGAGTTAGGATGCTGTGTGAGGGTGATGTGTGTGTGTGTGGGTGCTGTGTGAGGGTGCTGTGTGTGATAGAATGCGCTGTGTGTTAGGGTGCTGTGTGTGTTAGGGTGCGGTGTGTGTGAGTGAGGGTGCGCCGGCTCTGCATGGACCGGCCCACGGTGGTCAGACCTCAAGGTTTCTTCCCCCACCGGGTTTCTGCCTCTGTAACATGGCACATACAGAGCCAGAAGTCATGTAGCTCACTTCAGGCATCAACAAGACTTACTATTCAATGATAGGGTTTCGCCTTACATTTGGCCAGTAAGAGATCATTGTGGGCTGAACTGATAACATGACTGTGCCCTACAGCCAATGACTCTCCTCTCATTATCTACCTCTTATTAGATCAAGAGTAAGCACACTATTGTATGCTACCTAAGGTAGCTCAGTGATTACAGACTTGCACTGGGAATCTTCCTCCATGAGTTCAAATCCCATGTACAGCAAGAGTCTAAGCACTACAGTCACAAGTATCTGCTGTGTATTTAGACGCTTGCTAGAGAAACACGTGGATCATGTTCCCATATCCTTTGGTTGGATTGATATGATACTTTGAAGCCTTTATGTTGCACTATTATGCGTAGGTTCCAACCCCTATGCTTCAGTATTATGTACCTAGTCCATCCCTGGAGTAAGAAACAGATATAACAAGAGCACAGGTTTTAGAATATGCTGCGCTATATCAAACAGACAATTTCATTCTGTTTGAGATATCCGGACCATTGCGAACAAACTACGCTGATAGTTTTTCCCATGTCAAGATGACATGAGATACTGAGACTTTCATGGAGCAAACGGGCACTGCCTTGCTCGAGTACCAAGGCTAGGGAACGCCCACTACCCAGTCTGCAGGTACACGGTACGCATGGAAAGACCGGAAATCCAGATTGACTTGAGTTCTCTGGTCATTACAATCTTAGGATAAGATGACAGAACTGCCCTACTCCACTGAGCACATATCTGGAGAACATGGTTAAGAGATGGAGGGCCCTCCGTCTATACTCTATATCCCTCACGGGAGCCGTCTTGGTTCGGGTTCTCGCTAATCCACTTCTTCAACTACCATCAAGGAGACCTATGAGACTCTATGGAGGAACCCGGGGTGCCCCGACTCCTACACGGACGTCAAACTCTGGTCGCAATCTACCACTGAAGTACTGCTCAGGATGTGTAGCAGACTCAGATAAGGGCTGCCGATATTCTCAAATGGGACAACACATGATTCGGACGGTTGAAGCTAGACCCTTGTTTTTTCGTTATATCTGCTCTCTGAAGTCACCTGTCGTGAGCGAAGGGACTTTACGCCTTGCCTGCGTATTGGTAGGTGGCGTGTAGACCAGGAATCCCTACACAAATTTTGACAGATCAGGCATGGAACAGGATCGTACTACGGGTAATCGGATTGGTTCACTCTCTCACTACAGCAAGTGAGAACTCTTCGTTGTTATACAGGTCCCAACCACCATTGGATCCATACATCTTATCTCTTAGACAAGGACGTATCTGGATGGAAATCTCAAACCTGGTTTACTTTTCTTATCCCTTTGAATATTTCCAGGATTCACTATCCCCAGAATAGTCGACCACCGTTCCACCACACAAGTTCACTTTGGGGCCCTGATTGGACGTCCCTTTGGAGTACTTTCTCTACCGCAGCTGAGGATTACACAGTGCATTTGGAATACTGGAATCACTTAGGATACGGCTAGTTTGACCACACTCTTGCCTGCATAATAAATGTATTCTCGGATGAGACATCTCACCGGGTAGGTCTTGAGGGAACGAAAGATCCTACTCTGTTCTATTACGGAATTGGTGGTGGACTTAGATGCATTCCTGGAGATTGGATATCTACCTGCAAGGCCACATTGCCGGGTGACCCTGGCACGATCGGAGGAGCCACCTTACACATCAAGAGTTGTGACATGGTGCCAGTTTCTTTTCGCGGCCCTAGGTCCGCAAATGACCTTCGACATTTTACAACTACAGGAGAATGGCTAATAGGTCAGCTTCGCAGCTCATGGACCAGCGGCTAGGAAACAGGTTGCAACCCCACGTACAAATTTTAATAGTTTGGATTAATCAGGTACGTATGCAACTCTGCTTGTTGTCTCTGCTACCTGTCACCTGTCGTTATGTCTATTTTTCATAAGTAGGGTTGGGATATCTACATATTAAGGTAATTTTGGTTGCTACATTGGGTACCTACATGTTTGTTCAGAGTACATTTCATTGGCTAACCAACTTGTTAGATTCTGTTTTTCTCTCGTTTCAGTTTACAGTCCATCAACATTATCTGGTTTGGCAGTTCTTCTCGGATGGTGGACATTGTTGTATTCATTGTATCTAGGACTTCGTTTCTTCCCCATTAGATTTTCTGCCTTTTACTTTGTTTTGTCGCAGCTTGAAAGAGGCACTGATGCATGGGGAGGGGAGTTTTATAGTACCTAACTTTTTTCTGATTGGTTGTTTTATCTGTGCTGCTGTGGAGTTCTAGTAAAGAGAGATTTAAGCAAATACTCACCTCCTGTCATTAATAAAATTAAGATTATAGGTACACTAAAACTAGCATAATCTACAATTACACAGCTTTGATACCTTACTATTTGATACAATCGTACTTTGCCCCAGTTCCTGGTCTCAGTTAGGTACAATTTCCACTTATTGATACCGTTACATTGTATCATAGTGAGCTTCTGCATTCACAATCTATTCCGACTATTCAGTCTCAGACGGATTTGGTGGGGATTTTTTCACCCACTCATATATATTGGGTTTATACTTGGTGTAGGTTTAGCTCATTTATATTTACTACTATTAAAAGTTAAGATTTCTCTTTTTTGAGGACTGGCAGTGTTTTATACTGCAAGACAAAATCAATGTACCAAAAACATTATATTAAGATGTAGAGGTTTCGGTGCATAGAGTGTCATTTAAAGTTACTTTATTCAGCCTCACTCATATTTTTTTAAATAGAATTTCACACACAAAGTCCCTACTTAGAAAATGTTCAACAGCTTGTCCAGATTGCCTTACCTTCAATAAAAAAATTAATAAAATGACATAAAATTCAATAATTCCCTTGTTTTATTTCTTCATTCATCCACTGCAGTAATGTTGGATAGGTATAATGCAATACAGATTTTATGGTATCCTTTGCCTTCAGTTCTTCATAAAGAATCTGAAATCTGAAATTAACAGTTTAGACACCATAACAACTTCATTTCAATTAAGTTGTGACGGTGTCAATAGGTCACATTAAGGGGTTAAACCGTTCAAGAAACTAGCTTGAGAAGAAACGTACCTCTCAGTGAATCAGCGGCACGACTGCCCAATTCTGCAAGAGCCTTCCGGTTTCCCGATTTTGAGAAAACAGGACAGAGTGACAGGGAGATTCTGTGCTGGAACACAGACTTTGGGGTTAAATCATTCGAGAATGGTTAAACTGCTTAATGTGAGTCAGTGCCAGGGAACTCCTGGCACCATTACAACGTCATGTGAATGAAGTTGTTATGGTGCCCAGAGTAATCCTTTAATGTAAAAGTATAAAATACTTATTTTGTTACATGTAGTGAATAATTGTATTAGAAATGTTTATTACTGGCCCTTATAAATGGCCAAACTTATGGAAATACATCATATGAGGAGATTAGAGTAGTAAAATTCAGACCGGCGACAGAGAACAACAAATGTCACAGAAATAAGGAAACAAAATAAGTGAGTGAAACCAGATAACAGTATAATCCATACACTAGCTGGGTCAATACACAAATTGCAGATAGACGATTTAATGTGCTCATTTGAAAATAATGTACACAGAGTCATTGTCTGTTTAGAGCTGGTAATTTATAGGATGGTGAGAGAATACATCATAAGCCTCCACCATCCTGACAACCCACCACTAATTAGCCATTAGAATAAGGAGTGCTGGAATGATAAACAAAGCAGACAGGACAAGCAGAAGGGAAACAAAATCTGGTGCTAAAATCAATGGCGGCAAAACGCAAAGTGTCATCTCTGCTAAGCATGGGAGGGATTCTAGACAGAGATTCTTACTGTGGACTACCACCTTCTACCAGTGATGTATTTACCACAAGGCATTTGCCTAGGGTGGCACTTTCAGGGGGGCGCCAAAAAATGCCACCCCAAGCTCCCAGACAAATGCCTAGTTTGCCTCATGTTCTGGGGCTGTCCACCTTACTGTGAGTGAGTGTAGCTGTCAGTGTGTGTCAGTGAGGGTCAGTGAGTGAGTGAAAGGGTGTGTTTTTCAGTGAGAATGGGTGTGCCTGTGAGTGTGTGTATGTCATTTTATGTGTATCTGAGTGTGTGTCTGTCAGTAAAAGTGTGTGTTGGTTAAACAGTGGGTGCCAATGACTGTATGTGAGTGCCAATGACTGTATCTGTCAGTGAGTGTATATCAGTGCATGTATCAATGAGGGCATGAGGGCATGTGTCTGTCTGTCAAAAAAGGGGCCTTGAAACTAATTGGGGGGGGCAAATGTAGATTTTGGGGGTGCCCGAATTTAGTCATGCCTAGTGCAGCACAAATCCAAAATACACCACTGCCTTCTACCGAAAAGGCTGACACTGTTGAACTTTGCACAAAGTTATTAATTTGATTATGTATAGGTCAATATGTGGGTTTATAACAGATACCAAAACAATAAGAGAAAATTGGAGCCTGATCTTTATATCTCCTGCTCATTAACAATAAACCCCAGCAATTGCAAAGAAAAATGGTAAACTCCTTAACTTCTCTTTTGGTTGTATTCAAATTTAGATTAAAATTCTGAAATTAATTCTAGATACCTAGAAGTGAAAATATACATTTTAAGATTAAACTGTAGAATAATGACATTATATAAAACCCGGCAGAGAGTGTTTTGCAAGCACTGTTCAGACACGTTCCCATATAACAGCTGGATATGGGAGGTGCTCATATCTCCTAAACCACAGAGATTTTTTCTGTCCCTCCCTCCCAAGATGCACTCAAAAAACCTTTATGTATGTGGAGAGGAGAGAAGAATGTCTGTGTTTTCTCCAAAAGGACATAGAAATTATAACTACCCCAGCATAAAATTAAGATGAATTTGTGAGGAACACTGCTAACTTAACGTGTGCAGCCATAGGCCTTTAAGCTACCTGTGCAAGAAATCTTTACGGCACCCCTTCCCTGAACACACATATATTCAATACTTCACCACCCTGCAAAAAGCCATAAGCATACCATCAAATAGTTATGTAGTAATGCAATTTCTTGGCATATTATGCATATACATAGGTATATTAATAAATGTGTAAATATTATAGGCATAATACATATATTAATAATACACACATTAATATATATACAGTGAGGGGAAAAATATTTGATCCCCTGCTAATTTTGAACATTTGCCCACTGACAAAGAAATGATCAGTCTACAATTTTAATGGTAGGTGTGTTTTAACAGTGAGAGACAGAATAACAAAAAAAATAATCCAGAAAAAGGCATGTCAAAAAAGTTATAAGACATTTGCATGTCAATGAGTAAAATAAGCATTTGATCCCTTATCAATCAGCAAGATTTCTGGCTCCTAGGTGCCTTTTATACAGGTAAGGATCTGAGATTAGGAGCACTCTCTTGAAGGGAGTGCTCCTAATCTAAGCTCGTTACCTCTATAAAAGACACCTGTCCACAGAAGCAATCAAATACCAAGTTCTCCACCATGGCAAAGACCAAAGAACTGTCCAAGGATGTCAGGGACCAAGATTGCAGACCTACACAAGGCTGGAATGGGCTATAAAACCATCACCAAGCAGCTTGGTGAGAAGGTGACAACAGTTGGTGCGATTATTCGCAAATGGAAGAAACACAAAATAACTGTCAATCTCCCTCGGTCTGGTGCTCCATGCAAGATCTCCCCTCGTGGAGTTTCAGAGATCATGAGAATGGTGGGAAATCAGCCCTGAACTACATAGGAGGATCTTGTTAATTATCTGAGGCAGCTGGGACTATCGTCACCAAGAAAACAATTGGTAACATACTACGCTGTGAAGGACTGAAATCCTGCAGCACCCGCAAGGTCCCCATGCTCAAGAAAGTACATGTACAGGCCCATCTGAAGTTTGCCAGTGAACATCTGAATGATTCAGAAGAGAACTGGGTGAAAGTGTTGCGATCAGATGAGACCAAAATCAAGCTCTTTGGCATAAACTCAACTCGCCGTGTTTGGAGGAGGAGGAATGCTGCCCATGACCCCAAGAACACCATCCCCACCTTGGGGACAGGACAACTGCACCTCATCAAAAGGACGAAGTACAGTCAAATCTTGGGTGAGAACCTCCTTCCCTCAGCCAGGGTATTGAAAATTGTCGTGGATGGGTATTCTAGCATGACAATGACCCAAAACACACAGCCAAGGCAACAAAGGAGTGGCTCAAGAAGAAACACAGGAAGTGGACTGGAAGTGGCCTAGCCAAAGAGGAGCAAAGAGAAGTGGGACAAAATCCCTCCTGAGCTGTGTGCAAATCTGTTTTGATCTCTGATTGCCAACAAGGGTTATGTCACCAAGTACTAAATTGAAGGGGTCAAATACTTATTTAACTCATTGACATGCAAATCAATTTATAACTTTTTTTTTTTTATTCTTTATTTTTGCTGTGCAGATGATTACAGCATATTAACGGACGCCACAACAGCGTATTTCAAGATTCACAACATTTTGACAGTAGCATGAGGATTCACACAATTTTACATTTTTTAAGCATGCTTAACTAAACAGCTAAATTGAGTAAGATTAACTAACATACAATGAAATAAAGTAATGGTTACTTATCAATACTGAATTTACTATGCTATCGTAGTCATAATGTATAAACACGTTTTGCAGTGTAGCAA